CTGGCCCCAGCTTAGATGCCTTGTTTACTTCTGAATCTTGCTTCTCCCTAATGCCAAGATTGTCTCCTGCTTCTCCCATAAGACATGGCAAGAGCTTTTTCTAATTTTATATTTTAATACACCCAGGCCTTCTAAACAGTTCCCTTCCTGGTACTGTTTTGGTTTCTATTTTATCTTCTGTAATAATTATTTTAATCCCAAAGCAAAGCATTATGGGATTTGTGGACTGTTCTGGTCAGCTTTTTCTCCTGGCTTAGTGGTGCTCATGCAGATCTCTCTCTCTCTTTCTCTCTCTCTCTCTCTCTCTCTCTCTCTCTCTCTCATGTGTGTGTGTGCGTGCACGTTGGCCTGTGAAAGCACATATGAAATTTCTAGATAGTGAAGCAATAGTTCCCAAGTGTGTCCTGACTATCTGATACTGCTAAGTCTGGGTTGGTGTCCTCATCAACAAACTTATTAGTTCGTTGAGTTTTTATTTATTTTTTCTGCACAGTTCTGCCTCACCTCAGCAGATTTTGTAAGAATGTTTGTATGTAGGTTATGAGTCAATAACGTTTATTTATTGACAGGAAATCTTACTGAACTGGCAGTGCCATACTTGTTCTTACGCACTTCCACAACTTTTTATATAGATTTTTCAATCAGATTGGGATAAGGTTAGTGTGTCCTTTTCCAGCTTTGTGTGGACATTGGGCAACAATATATGAAAGGCTCTTAAATTGTGGTGGCTAGTTCTCCTGTCAGCTCTTATTAATTCTTAGCTGTATTAGAGGCAATAATGAAGAGATGATTGTGTGATTTACAGAATTGTTTGGGGCACTCAAGGAGTCCCTTTTATTGACAAAATTAATGAGATGTTTGCTCCTGTTTATATATGATTGGAGTACAATTCTTTTTAAAACAGGTAGTCCTCGACTTACAACTGTTTGTTTAGTGACCATTCAAAGTTACAACGGTACTGAAAAAATGACTTATATGATCATTTTTCACACTGATGACCATTTTCACACGACCATTGAAGCACCTCATGGTCACGTGATCAAAATTCAGATGCTTGGCAACTGGTTCATATTTATGGCGGTTGTAATGTCCCAATGTCATGTGATCTTTTGTGATCTTCAGACAAGTAAAGTCAGTGGGGAAACCAGGTTCGCTTAACAACCGTGTTACTAACTAAACTGCAGTGATTCACTTGATAATTGTAGCAAGAGTGGTCGTAAATTGGGGCAAAATCCACGTAACAAATGTCTCACTTAACAACATAAATTTTGGGCTCAATTGTGGTTGAAAGTTGAGGACTATCTGTTTATTAATTTTTTGCTTTTAAAATAATAAGCAAAAAACAAAACACCAAAATATATACATTGTCAAAAAATATACAAGTGCTGAAAAAATAAAGCAAAAACAAGATACAGAGAACAATGTGTTGTTACAATTCTATATACAATTATCAAACATAAAAATTCAAATGCGTATGTTTTTATTGTATAAATGAATAAAAATGAATGAATCCCATATTTCCTTAAATGATTTTATTCATACATTTATCTTTCCAATGTTGTAATATCAGCTTGTTACTTATAATAAGGGCCTGGAGAATCAGTTTAAGTTGTCCAGTTGTCAAATTCCACATACTAGACATGTAATAAAATAATATAAAATACTATCCTCTAAAAGTTTTAGGGTTTCTTGCATGGTCACATTAACAACAACAACAACAATAATAAAGTTGGAAGGGACCTTGGAGGTCTTCTAGTCCAACCCCCTGTTGTCTGTCCAGTCTCTTAAATAAAACTTCCAGTGTTGGAGCATTCACAACTTCTGGAGGCAGGTTGTTCCACTGATTAATTGTTCTACTGTCAGGAAATTTAAATTTATTTTCCCTACAATGTTCAAAGCATTCTTACCTGGTTAAAATTTTCCCAAGGTTAATTACCTTAAAGTATTTAAATCTATTTTCATGTCTTAAAAAGTAAGTAAAAAAAGACACAAAAGAAAAACAAAGAAAAAAGAAAAGACGAGAGAGAGAGAGAGAGAGAGAGAGAGAGAGAGAGAGAGAGAGAGAGAGAGAGAGAGAGAGATTTCTCCTTAGTTCTAGGTTGCTTCTTTCTTTTACTAGTTTCCATCTTTTGCTTCTTGTCCTGCCCTCCAGGCGCTTTGGAGAATAGCTTGACTCCCTCTTCTTTGTGGCAACCCCTGAGATACTGGAACACATCATGTCAATCCTAGTCATTCTTTTCATTAAACTAGACATAACCAATTCCAGCAATATAGTCTATTACTTTCTCATAATTAGGCTCTTTTTCCTTTTGGAAATGCTGATAAGGGTTATTTGAAATAAAAATCCTTCCATGTAAAAATGCAGCTAGGCAAAACTGATTTTTTCCTTGTTGCCCTCAGAAATGATACTAGTGTGCTGAAGCAGTTTCAATGTTTTTCAAACTTAAACTTGAAGCTATGTGGACTTCAACTCCCAGAAGTCTGGCTGGGGAATTCTGGCAGCTGAAGTCCACACATCATCGTGGCCAATGTTGGCAAACATTGTAATAGAGACGACCTTGAGGTCTTATGTGGCAGGATACAAATCTACCGGTTGAATAAATTATTTCAACTGTATTAATTCAAGTATTCCTGAAGTCCCTCAAGACTTGGCATGTCACGTTTGGGGGCTTCAGAGGACCAGTAAGATCTCCCGGTGGCTCCATTGCAAGTAGTCCTCGACTTACAACAGTTTGTTTAGTGACAGTTTGAAGTTACAACGTCACTGGAAAAAAGTGATTTATGACCATTTTTCACACTTTACCACCGTTGCAGCATCCCCATGGTCACGTGATCTCAAAATTCGGAAGCTTGGCAACTGACTTATATTTATTACAGTTGCAACGTCCCAAGATCATGTCATCCCTTTTACGATCTTCTGAAAACCAAAGTTAATGGGGAAGCCAGATTCATTTAACAACCATTTTACTGACTTAATAACTGCAATGATTCATTTAACAACTGGGGCCAAACTCATTTAACAAATGTCTCACTTAGCAACAGAAATGTTGGCTCTGTCGTTGTAAGGCGAGGACTACCTGTACAGGGTTAACATTTACTACTCTCTTTTATGCCTTAGGGCAGGGGTCTTCAAACTTGGCATGCTGGCTGAGGAATTCTGGGAGTTGAAGTCCACAAGTCATAAAAGGGCCAAGTTTGAAGACCCCTATCTTGGGGGGGGGTTGCATTCTAATAATGACTTCTTATTATATGTTAATTGTTTTTATGCCACCCAGAGTCACTTTTTCGGTGATGAGCAGCCATATAAATTTGATACATTCATAAATAAATATAAACATGTAAAGAAAACAAGTTGGAGAGAGACTCTACCAGCTGCTTCTGTGGAATGTGTAGGTGGGGTGCCTTCCCTCTTCTGTGGTTTTCCACCTAAATTCTAAGTCGGAATTCCAAGGCTTGCAATCCCAGCACACCTGAAAAGTGCCAAGTTGGGAAAAGCTGGGTTTTGGGTGTAACAAAGCCAGTTGCCTTCCTCAAGTGAATTATCTGATTTTTGATAGTGGCCTTGAAAGCACCTGGGAGATTTCCTTGAAGCTTAGCTATTCTAAATAAACCTCCTCCTCATTTTGGGATGGTTCTGGGAAGCTGGCAGGAAGGTGTTCCAGCTTGTTAGACAAGCCTGTGGCTTGTTCTGCCCTATAGCTTCATCTTCTTCCTAGTGACCACCTTTCGGGAATGGCCCTTTCTCATTATATTTCTTTCTTTCTCTGACATGTTTGAACCTAGTTTGTATGCCAAGGTTTCTATCTAAGAAACACCAATCCAATCTCTCAACATGTTACTAGTCTACAAGAATGTCCTTTTATAATATTGTGTCTTACTTAATTGAAGCTTTTAAACTGCCCAGTAGCTCAAACTCTGTTGATCATGTATGACTAAGTACGCTAAAAATACAATCTGAATAAAAGCATGTGCCTTAAAATAAAAAATGTGAAATAAAAGCACTGTACAGATAGTCCTCGACTTACAACCATTTGTTTGGTCACCATTAAATGGTTGCAATGGCACTGAAAAAAAGTGACTTATGTCCATTTTTCAGAGTTACAACTGTAGCAGCCTCTCCATGGTCATGTGATCAAAATCAAGGCACTTGATCATGGCAACTGGCCTCTGTTTATGACATTTGTTCCCAGGGTCATCTGAGCACCATTGGTAACCTTCCCAGCTGGCTTCTGACAAGCAAAGTCAGTGGGGGAAAGTCAGATCCACATAACGATCTCATGACTCATTTAACAATTGCAGTGATTTGCTTAACAACTGTGGTTGTAAAATGGGATACAACTCAGTTAACAACTCCCTTGCTTAGCAGTGGAGATTTTGGGCCCCATTGTGATTGTAAGTCAAGGACTACCTGTATAAACTAGTCCAGCAACACATCAGTTGTAGAAAAAATTGATTAAAATACTATTGAAAGCCAATTAAAAAGCCTAGGAAAATAGGAAAAGTCTTCACTTGTCACCAAACTGATGCTCACTGGTTTATCGATTGAGCCTCCCTGGGATAAATGGGATCCCACCATGGAACAGGTTCTCCCCCCTTTGTAGCGTCCCACTAGAGAGGTCTCCACTAGGCGACATTAAAATCATAAACCGAAAAATATGCAAAAGGATTTACAGGAAAAATGAAAGTATTCTCTTCCTCCTGCAGTGAAATGATTCAAATATGCATGATACCCACTTGGCCTATGCATGCTTGTTAGAATGAATGAATGAATGATAGCCAGAATTGTCAAGAGAGCATCTCTTGACAGCGTTGAAAAACCATAACTGGAACTGACAGCAGTTACGTTTGCCTTTTTCCAGCAACTGGATTTGGTTGTGATCCATCTGGCTTTGGAAAGAAAATCCTGTAGGGAGATTGCCTGCTCTTCTAACACTATTTCAACAGATTTTTAAAAAAACTTTTATATCACCCTTTTCTTTTCTTTCTTTCCATTTCACCAGGGCCAGAATCCTTTCGACCTGGAATTCTCTCGGTCCACTCACCTGGAATCTGTCTTCAATTTTGAATGTTCTTCTCGGCCCGGTGAGCTCCGTTTGCCTTTGAAAAACCAGTGGGAGGGACAGGGTGAAGCAGAGGTGGGCAGTTAATTTTTCCAGGGGACCATGTGAGAAACTGGGGACTGTTGTGAAGGGCTGAACTAGTTGGGCTGTGAAGGTGTGTAGGCATGCCGATGCAAACGTAGGTAAATTGGGGAGGGAAATAGCAGTCGCCTTTAAAATAAAAGCAACCCATGTAGGTTGGATAGGGGCAGCCAAAGGGCCAGATGTGGCCTTGGCAGCTGTCTAATGCCAGGCCTGGGATGAAGGCTAGTTAGGAATGAATGTATGCATTTATCAAATTCGTAGGGCCACCCAAAGGACTGGGGTCTCCTTCCTGTTTTTTGCATTCCAAAGTGAGTCTGTTTTAATCCATTGAGGAGAAATTGGATCATTGTGTATTTTCACAGCTAGCATGTCTCTTCTGAGCCCTGGGAAATGGGTTGAAATCTGGCTACAGGTAATCCTTGACTTGGAACAGTTTGTTTAGTGACCTTTCGAAATTGCAATGGCACTGAAATAAAGTGACTTGTGACTGTTTCTCACATTTCCAACTGTTGCAATATCTCCATGACCAGCTGATCAAAGTTCAGACGCTTGGCAACTGGCTCCTATTTAGGACAGTTGCAGTGTCCCGTGATCACGTGACCACCACCCCCTTTTGTGACCTTCTGGGAAGCAAAGTCAATGGGGGAAGCCAGATTCACTTAACAACTGTGTTATTAACTGAACACCTGCAGTGATTCCCTTAACAACTGCGGCAAGAAAAGGTGTAAAATGGGGGGAAGTTCATTTAACAACTGCCTCTCAGCAACAAAAGGGCTGGGCTCAATTGTGGTCGTTAAGTCGAGGACTACCTGTATTGGGAATTGGCGTGTGGGATCATACAGCCATCTAATCTGATTCAGATGGACTTCCCTTTGACTCAGTGGTGAATGCTGATGAAACCTGACGTCTATAAGCTTTGGACATGTGGTTGAATTAAGATCTTTACAAAGGATGCTAAGGCTGCACTCAAGGGGGGCTCTTCCCCTTTCTGCAATTGGTGAGAAATGCTAGCCTGAGAAAGAAGCTCCTCCCCATGTCCTAGTTTATGGGCGAAATGTAAGCTTGTCTTCAAGATCTGGCTTGCCTATAATTGTGTGTTAATTGCTTCTAAGTTTTGAATGTTATTGTAATGCTTCTATCTTTTCATCTTCCTTTAAAAACACAATATTTGTTGACAGATATGCCTTCGAGTCAGCCCATCGACATCCCCAATGCCAAGAAAAGAAACAAGAAGAAAAAACGCTGCAGAGCCACGGACAGTTTTTCAGGGAGGTTTGAAGGTGAGGTGAACATAGCCAACTCACTAGTCCACATTGTTCAGTCTCTAGGCGTGGGAAAAAGTCAGGTGGCTCTGAACCTCTTCTTGTAAAAATATTTTATTTTAAGCTTCAGTGTCGGCTCACAGATTTATGAGGGTATTGTCTCAATTCCTGTAGTAGAAGAGGAAGTTCATAAGTGTATTTATATACTAATTTCCAAAACGGTTCACAAACTAAAACAAACGGCGGTTCTCTGAAGAATCCAAAAAGAAACTAAAAGAAGGAATTGACAACTGGCAAAATGATGAAATCTATTCATGGGCCAGAAAAGAAACTAGGTTAATTTAAAATTCAACCCAAAGAACTGAAAAGAACAATAACAAGAAATTGTTAACCTGTTTTCAGTAAGCTAACTGGGAAAATCCTTATGGATCTTCTCTCATTTTCACTGGATTTTTTCATATACCAAGGCCAGCTAGCTTGTTTGCAGACAAGATAGCGTTTCTGATTTCCATATCTGGTTATAAGCTCCATTAAGCTGCTCCCTTTTGGAGAACACAATGCAAAGTACAAAACAGAAGAAGAAATAGTAAAGAAATTAAAAGCGGGGAATTTTAAAAAAAGGAAACTTAATTAGCGTACCCCAAGATCACCCTACTAGATCTATCCAGCCACAATTTCCTCCATTTTTCTCTTTCTTTTAGCCCATTCAGTCTTTCTTTTTGTATTTGTTTCTGCAATTTAGTTCTCATTTGTTGTCTCTGTGATGTCAGTGTGCTTTCCAGTGATCACTCCCTTTTGTATTCAATTAATTTGGAACTTACTCATCTTTGACCCTTTCTCGGTTGTGTTTCAGTACACACCCATGACACCCATTCTCACTACATTCGGCTTATTTTCGTGCTTCTCCTGACGTACCCTACTTTCATGTGACAGAGTGAACTGAGCCACGCTGTATTTGGCCCTTTTCACTTGGCTTGACCAATATATGTATGTATATATGTATGTATGTATGTATATGTATTTGGCCCTTTTCACTTGGCTTGACCAATATATATACATACATACATACATACATACATATATATATGTTTATATATGTTCCTTGCCACAAGCTACAAACTGCCCACAATGTTTCTAATAGCGTTTGAATGCATAAATTTCAACCACATTCCCATATTTAGTAAACGTTGGACCAGGGAGCCCAGATTCATCGGCTTGAGTTAGTTGTTGGTGGTTGTTTTTTACAGTGACTATATAATTTCATTTGCCCTATCAGACCCAACTTACCGATATTTTGATACATCGATCTTCAGATCCTTTGTTGCATCATGGAAGGATAACATTTTCAGCAATATTCTCAGACAAGAACACAATATCCCCATTTAGTCAACATCTAAGACTACCACAAGTACTTGTACATTAAACAAATAAAGGGACATGATACACCTTTGTCTTAGTCTTTCTTTGAAGTTGAGTCATTTGCTAAGTGTCCTGCTGATCATCATAGTTTAGTTTATTTCCATCTTATACTACTTTCAGCAACTAACCTTCATATTTGCACAAAGCACTCCATAGTTCAACCCTATTCAGTTCATCATATGTGATTTCTGAATCACCAAACGGGCAATACAGTTAGTCCTTGTTTAGCAACCATAGTCAGGACTGGCATCTTGGATGTTAAGCTGAGCGGTCACTAAATGAAATCACAACTGTGCTTAATTATTTCAGCTTTCCTTTGCTTACAGACCTGCAGAGGTCGTAAATGCAAAGATTGGTCGTAAAGTTATTTTTTTCATTATGGTTGTAACTGCAAAAAGTTGCTAAACAAAGACTACTTGTAAACTGTTTATTTTTATATTTGTATATTTTTTAGCTTTGATATATTTTGGTTAGCTTGCTGTAGATGCAACTGTCGCTTAGTTTTACCCCAAGCATGTATACACTAGTCTATGCCGGGGTCTCTAAAATAGACACACAACAAGGTGGTGTACTGTTGCCCTCAACTCATCAACTAGAAGGTGATCTGAAAAGAGTTAGCCTGAGGTTTCTTTGTTAGGTTTGGTTATCTTCAGTTTACACTTCTTTAATTTTGCACCAAAACACACTCAAACAACATGCTATACAAGCCACGGACAGAGATGTCTATAGCTTTCCTGTTCACAGGAAGGAGTAAATGTCATTGGCTTGTGCCATCCTTGTTTATACAATCACATCCCACCTGGAGAATTGTTTCCAGTGATAAACCTGAAGCAGGTTCATAAATGGGCAAGCTGGATGAGCGAGACACATGTCCTAGGACAGTGGTTCTCAACCTTTGTGTGACGGCAACCCCCGTCACACGGGCGCGCCGCGCATGTGCGATGCGGCGCGCATGCACGGCACTGCCCCCATGCACCGCCCCCATGCGCGGTGGCGGCCCCATGCACCGCCCCATATGCAGCGCACATGCACGGCGCCGCTCCCATGCGTGGCGCGCATGCACGGCTGCGCCCCCGTGCGTGGCGTGCATGCGCGGCGGCGCCCCCTGAGGGGGAAAAATGAAGGATCACATTGTTTGGTGACCCCCGTAAAATGGTCGTTCGACCCCAAATGGGGTCGCGACCCATAGGTTGAGAACCGCTGTCCTAGGACAAGATAAGGAAGAAATCGAAAATATTGGGCCTTAAAAAGAGAAGATCGAGGAACTAATATGGTAGCATACTTTGAAAGGAGATACAGATGTTCTTTGCCATGCAGAAGGTGGAAGACAGAATCATGGGTTAACTTAGGATGAGGTGATTTTGTTTAAGTGTAAGAAAGCTTCCCCTCAGTTGTTAAAGTAATCTCAGAGTAGAACCATTTACTTCCCTGGGGGTTGGATTTGTTGACTCTGATCCGATTAGATCAGTGTTGTTAAGCAATTAAGTAGGATGAAGCTACATTTGTTGAAACAAAACTAGAAACTGGAGAACTTAGATGTGGGTGAATTCTGGAATGGTTACCTTTGCATTTTTGGTCTTTTGTGGGTTTCCCCCCAGATCAGTGGGGGTGCTGTCTGAACACTCTGTTGAAGTCTGATTTTGGGATATGCTTTCTCTCCCTGCCCTTCTCTTTCTGCCACCACGTTCAGATGTTTACCAGCTCCAAGAAGAGATCCTCGGAGAAGGAGCACATGCAAAAGTCCAGGCCTGTGTTAACCTCATTACTAATAAGGAGTACGCAGTGAAGGTATGAATCTTTGGTCATAGTGGCTTTTCTGAGGAAAGGGAATTCTGGGAAATAATAAGGCCTGTTGTTTCCCAAACACCGAAGCCAAAAGAGTTGAGCTGAAATGTATACATGGGTGGAAATATCTGAATTTTGGTCTTCTGCAATAATAGAATCCTGGTGCATTATAGTCAGCAGCCATGTTTTTGAGAAATGCTTTGTAGTTCTTGGGCATTGGAGAAAGCGACTTGAAGACTGGGTAACACCGAGATTCCTGTTTGGTCTCAGTGGTTCTGCTCTTTACAGCCCTCTAATCTACCCCAAACTATTTGAGGAAAATGCTGAAGTGCTACAAAACCTGTGGCATGCTTTGCAAAAAAGTTCATTTTGATTGAAGAGTGGAGCCGGGATTCGTAACTAGCTTCCAAGCACTAGGCAATTTGCTTTGATCTTGGTATACTTGGGTTCTTAACCTTAATCTAGCTTTGCAAATAAAACTCCAGTTCCAGTTTGCTTACATCTTGTGTCACGTCTACCGCTTGTTTGGAGGTTTTGGCTGATGCAAGCAAAAATGTACACGAAGTCTTTAATCATATAGTTGGACTTGGGAGGCAGTTGGTTTTGTTCTGTCTGTGTCATGTTAATCTTTCCTACCTTACAGGATGGTTGAGAACATTTCAAAGACATCGGGGGTGAAGAAGTTTTAGTAAAGATAGTAATACTCTGAAATGGTAGATGAACTGTCCTACTACCTAGAGCAGGGGTAGGCAACCTTGGCTCTTTTATGACTCATGGACTTCAACTCCCAGAATTCCTGAGCCAGCATGGCTCAGCTTGGAAATCTCTCCTTTCCCTCAGCATGGCCGGCTGAGGAATTCTGGGAGTTGAAGTCCACAAGTCATAAAAGGGCCAAGTTTGAAGACCTCTGGCTTAGCTAAACATTGAAAAAGAATCTCTGTAAGTGGAAAGTTAGTTTGGTTCATTCTCTGGAATGCTAGCTACTTACTTCCAGAAAGATAATAGCCTTTTTTAAAAAAAAATGTGTAGAGTTAGTAGAGTTTCTTTTTAATAATTACCATCATCTTTTGGAAAGGGTCTATGACAATTCACCACAGCTTACTCGCCGCAGGACAAGAGTTACACCAATATCAAAGAAATGGTGGAGTAGAACCAGTAAAGAAAAAAATGCAAAAAGAAGGACAAAATGAAACGTGAATGACAAAAATTAAAATAGTTTTTTTTTATTTATGTTAAATAATTAAAATTGAATTGTTAAATTATCCCACAGCAAGGTGTCTCGCTGTGAGTTGGCTGTGGTGAGTTGGAAATGTGGCTAATTGGCATTGCCAAGGCATCAGGATATTTCTTGATCTGGAAAATAAGGATTGATTATTCCTTCCAGAGTATATTTATTATTTATATTTATTGAAGCTGTTCAAGCATTAGGCAGATGCAAATACAGTTTGTATGCAAGAGAGGTCTACTTTACATATCAGCTGATTAGCTGATTCCTCTAATAATAACACACCAGCCACATAACTGCATGATTAATAAGAATGAAACAGCTCTTCTGTTCCTAGCTTCTTTTGAAAGGCACGCTGCTGCCTAAAATAAACAGGATGTCTGTCTTCTCAGTCTTGAGAAGAATGATTAAGATTGTCTAGTCCCTTTCCTCTGCCTCTCCATTTTTATTTTTATTTTTTAAAACTTGCTTGGGAAAATTGCCCCGTGATTCTCCTGCCTAAGATATTAACATAAAACCAAGCCTGCTTTTGAATTCTTAAATGAATAGCTGTATTTAGTCAATTACAAGTGGGAGCAAGCAGGATGTCACGGTTGGTGCCAGATTAACAAAGAAATGATGGCAGAAACTTTTGGGATCTAAAGCTGGCAATTTATTTAAATTTATAATGATTTCTATTCTATTCTATTCCTATTCCATTCCATTCGCCTCAAAATGAGATGGGTGATAAATAAATTTAATAAAATAAATACTGTACATTTGTTGAACCTCGCCCCCCCCCCCCATCCCCAAGCTAGCATCTTCCAGAAGAGCTTAAACTACAATTCTTGGGCTGTATGGCAAGGGATGGTTCCAAGAAATGAATGTGTGAACATTGGGGGGGGGAGAAGCTTTTTAATTATTAATTTATCAAACCCATATGACAGATTCCCAGTGGAAGCAGTTCCCAGAAAGGCAGTGAACTACCCTGTCGTGGCCGGGTCTAGCCATCTGTTTGGGGTACTATTGTTCCTTTTCTGAGCAGCGAATTGAATGCTACATGACTTCTTCCACACATAGGACCCCACAATTTATGTCCTTGGTCCAAGATGCTTACAGCTCAATTCAGCCTAAATTTTCCTCCGTTAATTTATGGTGGACTTAATCTCTTTAAATCAGTTGCTCGGTAAATAGACAACTTGATAAAAAAAAATTAACAAAGCAGGCAACCCCCCCCCCGTAATTCCGCTCTCTGCCAAAAGGCCTAAAATTTAGTTTTCTGTTTAAAATTTCACTGAAAGGCGTCTGTCTCAGCTGCCTCTCCCAGCTTGACCTTTTCTTCTTTTCAAACCCAATTGTTCCTCCCCCAGCCTTCCCCCCCCTCATTAATCCCTCCTGCCAGCTTGTATTAGGGCAGGAAGAGTGACGCAGATGATCTAAAAACGGGACAGGGAGAACCTGGCACCAGCCCGTTTGTGTGTGCTTGTGTGTTTGTGTTGCGCAGATGCCTTGGCTTGGGGGGGGGGGGAGAAAAGGACAGTTGTAAATCTGATGGAGGAAAGAGAAGCCAAAAGGGTGGCGATGTTGAAAACCTCCCAGGGCAGAGGGAGGAGAACACAGCTGCTGCTGCACACTGCGTTCCTGCCTCTCTGGGGAGGGTGGCTTTAAAAAAAAACAAAAAGTTGGCAGACGGCGAGAAACAACAGCTCTTTCATTCATTGCAGGCTGCAAGTGGCAACTTGGGGAGCAGAGAAGTGTGGGGCCCCATAGACAAATCCTTTTTCCACCCTTTTGCTCTTTCGAGTTTCATACCCAGCCGTTTGCATATTGCTGCAGTTGCAAAGGGGTAGGCTGGTGAAAAAAAAAATCCTTGGGACATTTCAAGGAAGGAAGGAAGGAAAGAAGGAAGGAGAAAAAAGGGAAGGAGGAAGAAAGAAGGGAAGGAAGTAAGAAAGGAAGAGAAGAAAAGGAAGGAGGGAGGGAGAAAAAGAAAAAGGAAAAAAGAAAAGGGGAAAAGGAAAGGAGGGATTGAAGGGAAGAAAAAAAAGAAGGAAGAAAGGAAAGGAAGGAAGGAAAGAAAAGGAAGGAAGAAAAAAGAAAGAAAAGAAAGAAGGGAAAAAGGAAAGGAAGGAATGAAGGGAAGAAAAAGAAGAAAGGAAGGAAGGGAAGAAAAGGGAGAAAGAAAGAAAAGAAAGGAAAAGAAAGAAAGAAGGAAAGAAAGAAAGAAAGAAAGAAAGAAAGAAAGAAAGAAAGAAAGAAAGAAAGAAAGAAAGAAATCAGCCACTTGGAGAACAGCTGGAGAATCCCTTCCCTTCCTGTTCCTCTGAATAAGTCAGTGAGGTTACTGTTGTTATTATTGTGCAAGGCTGGGGGAGGGCAGAGACTTGCCAGATGCATGTCTGCTTCCCCAGACTCTTTGAATACAGTTTCACAGGTGGAACCTTGCCATTCTGAGTCAAAAGGCCCAATTTGTTCTACAGATTGCAAGAAGCTAAAGGGATTAGGAAGGGAGGTGGGGCAGCAGTGGTGGGGATTGAGGAGGCAAGGGGTGGGAAAGAAAGGGGGCATGAGAATTGCAAGCAGAGAAACCATCTGAGGCTGGGGAGGAATTTAACTCGACCTTCTGTTGTTAGTGTTTGAGATGCTAGGAAACTGTTTTTGTGAAAAAGAAATATTTCAGTTCTATACCTTTAGATGGGTTTGAGTTTTTTTAAATTACCAGTTGAAAAAAATGACCCTTTTGAGTATAAAATTGAATAAAGAAAGAGCCTGCTTTTCTTTGCATAGGAAAAAACTAATGTTTTATAGATTGGTTTCCCTAGTTTTCTAAAGTTTGGGATGTTTATGAGTTTAGAGCTTGAGTTGGCTTCAAAACTATCTTGTAAATGCTTCCATAAACATTATCTTCAGTGCCTGTTGTACTTTGCTCACGCTTCATACAGGATCATAGAGCATAATAGCTGATGCCACCGCCTCCCCATGGAATATTACTTCAGATCAGCCCTCCCCATCCCAGAGAGGATTGAACGGCAGTTGGAGGGGGGCCAAGTTTGAGAAGCGTTATATGCTTGATGTCAAAATCATTGCTCATTTTATTTGCTGAGAGAAGCAAACTTTTGAACGCAACATACCTGCTCAGAATATTTGCTCCAGCTTGACCTTGTTGTAACTGTACCCTATTCCCTTGTTGTTTTTTCTTTTAAAGATAATTGAGAAGCGTCTTGGACACATCCGAAATCGGGTATTTCGAGAAGTGGAAATGCTGTATCAGTGCCAAGGACACAGGTACTGGCCAGAGGCGAGCCAGTTTTAAGCTTGATTTTTATATCTTTGTATTCGGTTGTATCCTAATGCTGACTTCAGTAATCAGGTAGTCCTCGACTTACAATGGAGCCCAAAATTTCTGTGGCTAAGTAAGACATTTGTTAAGTGAATTTTGCTCCAGTGAATCGCTGCAGTTGATCAGTTAGTAACCCGGCTGTTAAATGAATCCGGCTTCCCCATTGACTTTACCATCATAAAATGAGTCAATTGCCAAACATTTGAATTTTGATCATGTGACCGTGAGGCGTATGTGTAAAAAAACAGCCATAAGTCCCTTTTTTTCAGTGCCGTTGCAACTTCGAATGGTCATTAAACGGACTGTTGTAAGTCGAGGACTACCTGTAATCAGGTACAAGGAATCCTCGACTTAACAACCACAGTGGAGTCCAAAATTTCTCTTGCTAAGCAATACAGTTGTTAAAGTGAGCTGTGTCCCATATTATGACCTTTTTAAAATCACAGCTGTTAAGCAAATCACTGCAGTTGTTAAGTGAATCCTACAGTTGTTAAGTGAATCCAGCTTCTCCCATTGTTACTGCTTTTCGGAAGCTGGTTGGGAAGGTTACAAATGGTGCTCATGTTGACCTGAGGAGAATGCAGCTGTCATAAATATCTGCCAGTTATCAGGCACCCAAATTTTGATCACGTGATTATGGGGATGCTGCAAAAACGGTCATAAGTCACTTTTTTCAGTGCCATTGTAACTTTGAATAGTCACTAAACGAATGGTTGTAAGTCGAGATTATCTGTACTTCCATATCAAGGGGCACTCTAGCCCTGAATATTAGCTCTAGGGAAAGGAAAGTATGGATTTCATTCTCTGTATTGTGACTGTTGAGAGGTGTTTTGCCTGCCATGGGATAAAATAGGAGGTTGATCATCAGGATTGATTTTTGAATGAAAATGTAATGGATTTAATTTCTCTTAGCCCAGGGGTGGGCAACCTTGGCTCTTTTATGACTCGTGGACTTCAACTCCCAGAATTCCTGAGCCAACATGGCTCAGCATGGAAACCTCTCCCTTTCTCCTCAGCATGGCTGGCTCAGGAATTCTGGGAGTTGAAGTCCACAAGTCATAAAAGAGCCAAGGTTGCCTACCCCTGTCTTAGCCTGTCTCTTCTTATCCCTAATTATGTCCCGCCCTTCCTTATCTTTTCTTTAGAAACATCCTGGAGCTGATTGAGTTTTTTGAAGAAGAGGACCGGTTCTACCTCGTGTTTGAGAAGATGAGAGGAGGTGAGTCAGTGGCCAAAATGAGTCGGATTTTAGATAGGAGAGGGAGAGTGTCTTATTTTTAAAAACCCATTTTTTCCAGTTTAAGTAAGGAGAGAAAAACTATAAATTATACATGTTGTACTTGTCCATATATAATCTACATCAGGGGTGTCCTGCCTTGGCAATTTTAAGACCTGTGAACTACGATTCCCAGAATTCCCCAGCCAGTTGAAATCCACAAGTCTTACAATTGCCAAAGTTGGACACATTTTATCTAAATCTTTAAGCCTCAGATATTAATTGGGCCTTTCCACGTATCTTTTCAGGCTCCATCTTAACCCATATCCATCGTCGACGCCATTTCAATGAGCTAGAGGCCAGCATGGTGGTGCACGACATAGCCAGTGCCCTTAATTTCTTGCACAATAAAGGTGGGTATAAATGAATGCTAGTGGCAAAAGTATTTTTTGTTTTTCCAAAGCATTGTCAACTTAAGTCTCTTTGCAGTCCAGTAAGCCAGGAGTTTCCAGCCTTGTTAACTTTAGCACCTATGCACTTCAAGTCCCAGAATTCTTCAGCCAGTTTTTAAATTTTATTTTATTTTAATGAGCATATCAGCCGAGCTTAATGTTGATATCTCAGATCATCTGGTTTTAAGATGTGTGGTTTTTTTTTAAAGTTTACCCCAATAACAAAAACTACATTAGGTGTTGTCACTAATAAGGTGGAATATAAATATTTTTAAATAACATCTGCTTGGGGGCTCTCACCTAAACCAGGGGTCCTCAACCCCCGGGCCACTATTGGGCGGAGCCTCTTCAGAACCGGGCCGGCATGCATATGCAGCTCCACTTGCGCAAGCCCCCCCCCCAAGGCTTCTCTTGTGTGAGTGGAGTTGCGCATGTGCGCCGTCTCTGTTCTCACGGCCTGGTTCCCCTGTCCTCCCCCAGCCGGGCTGCCAAGCCACCTGCTCCCAATGTTCCAAAAACGGAGTAGTGAGAGCAGAGGCTGAGTGGGACGAGCGGGCCCTGCTCAGCTTCCCTGACTCACTGAGGCTGCCTGCACAGGACACCCGATCTGCTTTTGGAGCGTTGGGCAGCCTCGGTGAGTCTGAAGGAGCATGAGACTGCGCCCCCAAAGGCTTCTCTTCTCCATGCCAAAAGCTTTTGCAAATAGACGAAAGGCTTTGGGGAGCAATCTCGTGCTGCTTCAGGCCTTCAATCTCTTTGCAAAAGCTTTTAGTGCCTGAGAGATGTGAAACTGTGCCCCAAAGTCTTCTCTTGTGTGAGTGGAGGGGCGCACCCACACGCCGGCTCACTGCTCATGCAGCCTGGTTCCCCTCTTCCCCCCCCCTCCCCCGCACCGCCAAGCCACAAATGTTGAGGACCATTGACCTAAATTAATAAATGAACCCTTTATGCTTGTCTCTGAATGGCAAACGCTAGAGCCAGGTCACTGGAGAGAACTGTTGGGAGTATTCAGTTCCATGTGAAGAAGAGACAGATGAAAGATTTTTTAATTAAGCCTACTCTTTGTTCCTAAGTAGCTTTTTAAAAGGGATCTGGATTAAAACAAGGGACGGGGCCCTTCTAGCTTCTGTAAACAGTAGATGTTAAGGGTGTTTGTGCTGACCATGGTTTGATGCTTGGTTAGATAGATTTATGGCTTCTTCCAGCATGATCAGATTACATAATTTGGCTCAACTTTTCTGTTGTCTTTTCCACTCCGGCAGCTGTTCGGTCATGTTCTTCCAGTCAAAAGCAGAAAGTATTAACTGCTAATGTTAAGCTTCTTTCTTTCTTTTATTACAGGAATAGCACATAGAGATTTAAAACCAGAAAATATTCTCTGTGAGAGTTCAAATCAGGTAAGCAGTAGTTTAATTGCTCCTTGATTACACTTCCCAGTGTCTGAGTGGGTCACCTGTGCTGCAAGATAGGGAGATTGAAGGAACTTGCTGATGCAGGATACTCTGATAAGCGTGCTAATAAAGTACAAATACGGGCTGTTTAGGTTGTGCGTAACAAACAAGGATTGAATTTATGACAGAATGTAAAATTCCAATTAGCATGGAGTTTCCTTCCAAAAGAGATGACCTTTCCCCCCTCCCCCATTCTCTCCCTCTGCCTGCATTTGTCTCCAACACCAGGTGTCACCGGTGAAAATCTGTGATTTTGATTTAGGAAGTGGGATCAAGCTGAATGGTGATTGTTCTCCCATCTCCACCCCAGAGCTCCTCACTCCGGTAAGTGGTTCCCCCCCACAAGGAGAAATGTATTTCATAGAATCATGGAGGGAGGGAGGGAGGGAGGGAGGGAGGGAGGAAGGAAGGAAGGAAGGAAGGAAGGAAGGAAGGAAGGAAGGAAGGAAGGAAGGAAGGAAGGAAGGACTGTACAAACATTGATCACCCAATAAAATAGATCAAGTGGATGTTTTAAAAAAACCTCAAAACTTACCCAGTCTGGTAGTCTGGAGGTCTCATTTAGGGAAAAATTGCTTTTAAATGGAAACGGATTTTACACAGTGTATATTGACTTTATGGGATTGGCTGTTAAAAACTTAGCAGGCTTTGAAATGAGATTTCAGTTGATTCTCAAAAAGCAGGTAATCAGTCAATAAGTATAAGCCACGATCAGCACATAGATTTCATTTGGCAATCTCTCTAAGTAATACCTCATCCCAGTAGAAGAAGGAGGCCATCTTGGGAATTCTGAAGGCATCTGAGCTGTCATGGGAGCAGGATGCTAGATTTACAGATCTTCCACTATCCTTTTATAGGCTTAATGTGGTAACTGATGGTTATATAGGTGGAAGGAATCTCTGGGATTTAGTGTGAATTGTGTATGTGTTATCCTCAATATAGTGCTGTGTAGTTTAGTGTCCTTAATGTAGTGCCTCATAAGAGCTGTGGTGTAGTGATTAGAATGCAGTATTGCAGGCTAATTCTGCTGACTACTAGCAGTTTGATCCTCACCGTCTTCCATCCTTCCGAGGTTGGTAAAATGAGGACCCAGGGCAATATGCCAACTCCGTAAACTGTTTGTGAAGCACTATGGAAGTGGTACATAAGTGCTATTGCTAGTGTCCCCAGAAGTCATGCCTCAGAATTTGCAGAGAAATTGAAATATCTGCTTGCAGTCCAGCATGCATAGGAAGCCACCAAATATAACCCTGAATAAACTTTTCTAGACCTGTAGCAAAATGGCTTCTCTGCAAGTTTATAGTTAGGACTGGATGCCATTGGTTTTCTTTGGGCAGATGTTTTGGGAACCATTTTTAATCGCAGTCCTTGAAAAGTTTTACACTTGTGTATGGTAGTGTAACATTCAAACTACTTTCCTTTCTGGGGTGTCTTGTAATCAGGGTTTTCTGCATGCATTGATTTCTTAACCGTTATCAGAGGAAATGAATTAAGGAAAGTAAAGGTCATGGTGTGGAAACTACATATGCTTTCTACAAACCTGAAGGATGAATCTCGACCTCCTTTGGTGAGAAATGCTGAGAAAAGTAATCAATCGTTTCATATATAGGTAGTCCTGAACATTTTTCATAGTTACGACCTTTGCAGCATCCCCATGATCATGTGATCAAAATTCATATGCTTGGTATCTGGTTCATATTTATGACAGTTGCAGTGCCCTGGGATCATGTGATCCCCTTTTGCTATCTTCTGACAAGCAAAGTCAACGGGGAAGCCAGATTTAACTTAACCGGGTTACTAACTTACCAACTGCAATGATTCACTTAACAAATTGCAGCAAGAAAAGTTGTAAAAGAGGGCAAAATTCACATAACAAGTGTCTCGCTTAACGACAGAAATGTTGGGCTCAATTGTCATAAGTCGAGGACTACCTGTATTATTTACCCTGCGATAATTACTCCCTTTTTGCATGTACCAACCTATCCTTTTGCACCATTCTTTTGAAGTTCTTGCTTAGAATCTCCTTAATTTGTAGAGGAACATTAGAGACTATTTTGCGTGCAGCTGTCAAATTGCAGCTAGACTTTTCCTGGAAAACTCTAGCTCAGTGGTCCCCAACCTTTTGGGCACCAGGGACCGGTTCCATGGAGAGGTTTTTCCACGGACTGGAGGGGGGCGTGGTTTTGTGTGCTGCCTGCATCCTTCAGATGGGGCTTTGCTTGTTTGCATGGCCCGTTTGCTGGCATCCTGTGGACCAGTGCCAGTCCACGGAGCGGAGGTTGGGGACCTCTTTTCTGGCTAATTAAGCCTGCTAGGTTTTAAAAAAAAACAACCTTTAAGCTTCATAGGAACCAGCCTTATTACTGATAGCTTTCTATGCAGAGGCACTGTAGTGAAATACTTCGCATTTTTCCTCTCCATGACTTAGGTAGCCAAAATTTATATCCAGCCACACGCAAGGAACTGCATGATGAAGTAGACTCACAGATTGAAGCAAGTAAGAGCAGCAGATCCTGGCTTTCTTGTCCTATAGAAAGCCATTTTGGTGACCCTGCCCCCTGAAAAGCTCTTCAGCCAGTCTATAGAATTTTAGTGATGCAATTTCTAAATATTGTTAATATGATTTTCTGCTTTGAGAATGCATGCAAACTTTGTGCATTTCAGCTAGTTTTTAGTTGTAAATTAGAGTTGGCATTTTTTTAAAGTGCCACCTTTGTAAATTTTCCATGCCTAGTGTGATCTCCACTTGCTCTTCTCAAATTTGTGAAGATCCATCTGATAAATCTCTATTTTAAGGGAAAGGATCTTTTAATATAGGCCCTTCAAGCAGCATCCTGATGGACTTTGGGTAACCCCAAATATTGAGGAAGACAAATAGTTGGAAGAGTAACTTTATTAATCCTTAGGAAAATTGCCCTATTAATCCTCTATCTTGGCCCCATCATTGAGTCTCTGATACTTTTTCTACCTTGCAAACTTTGTCCCAATCTCCCTGTGCAGTAATGAGGGAGGTTCTGCTGCATGAAAGTAACTGATTCTAAGGGCCTTCGGTAGATTGCTTCCCAAAATATACAGGTTGCAATACCTTGGTAATCTTCTCAGGGTTTGGAAACTAAGTAGGATCCAGCTTGGTTATTATTTGGAGGGGAGAACTTCAGAATGTAAAATATTCTGCTACCATGGTGGATTGAGTTGTGGTGCTGTGTCCTAGTTTCACTTGACTGATTTTGTTTCTGGAAGTTGCGTAGAAATGCTTTTACACACACACACACACACACACACACACACACACCAACCAGTCTTTTTGAACACGCCTGGTTGGTTCTATCCACGACTTCTCTCAGCACCAAGGCTGATCATTCTACTCTATTTGTGTGCTGAGGATGTTCACCCTTAGCCTGGGCCAGACTGATGCACTGGCAGGTTTAAATGAGATTCTGCCCTCCATCCACCTCTCTTATCCCATCCTCCCCCCATAGATGTAGGAGGCAAAGAAGCTTGCTTAAAGTGGGTCAGCAGAGCTTGCTTATGGGGTGATGGGAGGAGCAAGGAAAAAGGTGGAGATGTGGCTACAGTTTGGCATCTTTATTGTGTAGCCAGGCTAACCTACCTGTCTTGATGGGCAGGTTTGGCTCTACGGTTGAGGTTACTTGTGTGAGTGGGTATGTTTGTTTTCATGCATCTGGTTGGACACGATCTTGCCTTTCCACATTACTCAGAGGAAGTTGCTTTCTTCCTTTTGTATTCTCCTCCTCCCGTATGGCTAAGAAGTACCTAAACAAACAATAACCACTTTCTTAATTTTTACCCGTCTTTGATTTTATTCCAGGTGTTTGGGGCGTTTGATTCTTTCTGGGAGTATTCCCCTTGCCCCATAAGCATATTCACAGATGGATGGAAATTGCTGCTGCAAAGAGGGTTGTGTTTAATTTGAATTTTCCTCTCTCTCCATTCCCTCCATCCTCCTTGCTGGTCATAATGATCCCAAGGAGACCCATAGAGAGATTTATGAACTCTATGCCCTTCTCATTCAGAGCAAAGCAATAAAAAAGAGGGCTTTCCTGAACCCTTCAGTCTTTTTTCCCCATCTATTTTGTACTCCTCAGAGTTACGGGATATTTTATCTTGTTCCCATAGTAGCAGAGATCTTGAAGAATGAGTGGAGGGGAAAAAAACTCTGTTAAATTCAGCTGTATTTTTTCTTTGTAAGACTGGTAATTACAGTTTATTTTGCCTTTTCTTCCTCTTTCTGTTTTTTCTCCAAGAGATACACAGTACAGGTAGTCTTTGATTTACAACCATAATGGAACCTGTTCATTACGATAACAAGTTGTGTGAGGGTTGTAAAGCCGGTCATCAGGTGACTGACCCGATTTTATAATATTTTTGCAGCATTTAAGCAAATCATCCTGGTCCTTAAGCAAACACTGCAGTCGTTAAGCAAAGCCATTGTTCTCTGGAGGATATTTTTGCCAAAACCCAAAAGACTGGTTTGTGGGGGGGGGGGAGTGGGGAGTAAATTGTGGTAATGTGACCATCGATTGCTTTAAATAGTAATTCAGGTCAGTTGTCAAGCACTTCAGATATGGTCAAGTGACTGGGGACACACACACACACACACACACACACACACACACACACACACACAGGCTATCAGAACCAGATCATAAATAACTTTTGAGAGGCGGGCATCATAACTTTGAATGGTCGTTAAGGGAATGGTCAGAAGTTGAGGATTACCTGTGCACATTCTGCACGTATTGGGAAGTTTCGCAAACGCCTCTTATTGCAGCTGAGCAAAAAGACTTTTCTGAAACTCTGGAAGGACCCAGTCAGTGTAAATGAGCAAACATTGTTGCTTATCTCTGGTAATTGGGCACTCCAAAGTTGATTCAAATCCCCCTTCTTAAGTCTGTTGCATGAGCCAGACCATTGCCCTTGGTTACCAGGCAGTATCTTCATTTGGCTAAGGAATCATACGTTAATTCTATTTCAATAAATTGCATGAACCCAGCCAGTCGGTGTTTTCTGACCGGAGCTAGGACTAGAACGCTTTTTCATTTGTTTCAGGCTCGTGTTGGGGTCTGGTTTTTGTCTGAGATGCAGGGTGCTTTTGCTAACCCTCTGAAGAGCCTGCTGGGTTAAGGGATACGTAGTGTTCTCTCAGGTGGCTCCCTCAGGCAACTGCTTAGCTGGGAAGTCGAACACAATGCAAGGCCACAACTCAGCCCCAGAGTTGCTGGCCTGGCTCCCACAGGGCGTGCTGGTCGAGCAAGTTCTAGACTCCTGCCTTGCCCTGCCCTGTCCTGGTTTGATGCAATCGTGGGGCTTTTTTTTTTCTGCTTTTGAAAAGGGAGGGATGGAATTTGGCAGCTGATGCAACCTTGGTGCAAGCAAGGGACGTGTGACTCCTTGCACCTGCTGGTTCAATCCAGCTGCATTCAGGGACAGGGGGGAGGTGGCCATGGGTGAACTCGGTGCCTTGTGCGTTTGTGTATGTGTGTGTGTGAGTGAGAGAGAGATAGAATGAATGCCAGCTCCGTGGGCAGCTGCTATTATCTCCAGCGTTGATTTTTTTAATCTCACAGAGAGGAGGCGGATTATGACTTGCATAATGGGAAGGAAACAGAGAGGGAAATGTTCATCGCTTCACTTGTTGGACTCTTTGCTGTGGAATGTGTGAAAGGATCCCTTTGAGCATGTTGAAGAATGCATTTTCTTTCCTTGTTCAAGAATGGCTGTCTGTCCCTAGTGTTTCTTAGGTTAAGGATCTGCCACAGGCGTACGCTGGGAATTCCTTGCCCAAATGCCTGTCGGTTGCAAATTCTGGAATTTCAAACACCCCCCCCCAGACAAAAATTAACAGAAAACCACTCCTAAGTATTCCTACTCCCCACCACGTGCTTTACCTTGCTCTCATTTTTCATTAGAGGATAGATCTAAATCAGAGGTCCCCACAGCCTTCTGGGGCACCAGGGACCAGTTCTGTGGAGAAAGGTTTTTCTGCGGACCGGAGAATGAGTGGTATTGTGTGCTGCCTGCATCTCGTGGTTGAGGCTTTGCTTGTTTGTGCAGACCGATTGCTGACATGCCACAGACTGGTGCCGGTCCACAGACCAGGGCTCCGCAGCGCCCGGTCTGTGGACCGGCACCAGTCTGTGGCATGCCAGCAACCAGTCCGCACAAACAAGCAAAGCAGGCAGCATGCAAAACCACGTCCCCTCCAGTCCGCGGGGGGCAAAACTGTCTCCATAGAACCGGTCCCTGCTGTCCAAAAGGTTGGGGGCCGCTGCTCTATAAACCAATGATTTTACTTCAAGGCCTACTTGTACTGATTCTCTATTCAGGGTAGGCAACTTTGGCTCTTTTATGACTCGTGGACGTCAACTCCCAGAATTCCCATGCTGAGGGGAAAGGGAGAGGTTTCCAAGCTGAGCCATGCTGGCTCAGGAATTCTGGGAGTTGAAGTCCACGAGTCATAGAAGAGCATGATTGCCTACCCCTGCTCTATCCCAACCCCTCTCCCCCCTTGTTAATGGAAAGTTAACTTGTTATATGTGATGCACAGAACTCTCTGTGACGAGTCCTTTGGTCTGTTGACTGTTTAAGAATACATTGATTTAAACAATGGTTCATGTAGTAACCGTTCAAAGTTACAAGGACACTGAAAAGAGTGATTTATGACTGACTTTCACACTTAACGGCCGGCCATTGCAGCATTTCCCCCTGGTCACATGATCAAAATTCAACCGCTTGGTAATTGACTCAACATTTACGATGGTTGCAGTGTCCCAGCATCATGCGATCACCTTGTCCAACCTTCTGTCGAAACAAAGTCCGTGGGGAAGCCAGATTCACTTAACAACCGTGTTGCTAACTTAACAACTGGAGTGGTTCACTTAATAACGGTGGCCAGAAAGGATGTAAAAATGAGGCAAAACTCAACAAGTGTCTCATTTAGCAACAGAAATTTTAGGCTCAGTTGTAAACTGAGGACTGCTCATACTATTCATCATCACCATCTTGGCAAGAGGGAGTGTAAATTTGGGGGCTCAAATTAGCCTTTGAACTGTGTGGTAAAAGCCACGTTCTCCAAGAGGATTGCTAGAGCGAGGATTAAAAACTAAGCTTTGACTACATTTCTTTTAGACTTCAAATTCCAGCAAAGATTATTACTCTCCAATTACATATTTAACCATTTCCCCAACGCACCGTCTTCCAAACTAGAATTTGTTGGCAACCTCTGGAGTCCTCTGGGAGGTGATGCAATGGCTTTGGGGATCACATGTGCTCTTGGATCTTTCCTCTGCGGCACAGATCAAGGTTGAGAGCTCCACCAGTCACAACACTTGGAAGACTAAACAAAGACTCATAGAAACTGGGGTGGTGCGTGTAGCATTGGTATAGGGAGCAGCTGAAAGACACTTTTTTTTTCTTTCCATCCTCTCCCAAAGCCTCATTCCAACAAGCTTGGTTAAAAAAAACCTGTTAAGGTATTAGAAAGCCAGATCAATTAATAATGAATTGGGGTGTCCTGTTTCCAAGGGAATTCTTCCTTGTTCTAGGATCAGAGATGAGCCAAGCACCCCATTTTTTTGCATAACCACTGAGTGTTAGTTAGGTTCTGAGAAAAATAGTATTCAGTCACATTTGGAACATTATAAATGTTGTAACGTTTCTACCCTTGTTTTAGGAGATGATAGAACAAAATTGTTCAGAGAGCACCGGGAAACACATTGCAGGTGGTCCTCGATTTACAACCAGAATTGAGCCCAATATTTCTGTTGCTGAGTGAAACATTTGTTAAGTGAATTTTGCTCCATATTATGATCTTTCTTGCCACAGTTGTTAAGTGAATCACTGCAGTTATTAAGTTAGTAACATGGTTGTTACGTGGATCTGGCTTCCCCATTGACTTTGCTTGTCAGAAGGACTCCAAAAGTGAGCACGTGACGCCGGAACACTGCAACTGTCATAAATACATGCCAGTTGGCAAGCATCTGAATTCTGATCACGTGACCATGGGGTGGCTGCCATGGTTGTAAGTATGACAAACGATCATAAGTCACTATTTCCAGTGTTGTTATAACTTTGAACGGTCACTAAATGAACTGCTGTAAATTGAGGACTACCTGTACAGAATAAGTATTATCTATGTGTGCCTCTAGTATGAAATCCCAAAGGATCTGTGTCTTATGTACAGTATGCTAATATTTATAGATTAGAATAAGGTAGATGTATAGATTACTATTAATATTTTTGGAAAATGCTGGCTTGGGACAAGGAGGAATCTTGGTGATCATTCGAGAATTAGCAGTTGGACTTGCCAGCTTAAAACCCTCATATATGAAAAACCTATGTTTGATTTCGTATTCAATTCTCTGCATTGAAAATGGACTGCTTGATTTGAGTCATACCACATTGATTACATTAAAATAAGATTGGATAATTTGTAATTTACTACTTTAGGAATCTCTGCAATTAACGTTGCATAGTAATTGAACCATACTGTGTTTGTGTAAAATACCAACTTTAATGGGTTCACTTGTGTCTCGGGATAAACATGCCATGTGAATCCAGCTAGTACGTTTCTGTGGTTCAGGAGATCTTGGGGGAACGAATGCTTGCAGGGAATTTGAATTTAGTACTCTTGATCTTTCCGGGCTTCCATGCTGGGGGCTCAGATTTTTCCTAAGATTGTGAGAAGTGTAGGTGGGTGGGACTGTGTTACAGGAAAGAAGACATGGCCAACTTGACTGAAACTGTAGGCTATAGTTCTTGGAGATAAGTATACCGTGCTTTCCGGCATATAAGACGACTTCTGAGAGCATTGAAATCGGCGCCGAACTCGGGGGTCGTCTTATACGCCAAGTCGTCTTCTACGCCAGAAATAACGGTAGTTTCCGGCATATAAGACGACTTTCTAGGCATGCGACTTGGCGTCGAAGTCGGGGGTCGTCTTATACGCTGGGTCGCCCTATACGCCGGAATATATGGTATATGGGTTCTTATCCACTTCCCTCAACCTCTTCGCCAGGGGTCTCCAAACGTGGCAACTTTAAGACTTGTGGACTTCAACCTCCAGAATTCCTCAGTCAGTTGAAGTCCACAAGTCTTAAAATTGCCAGGTTTGAAGACCCCTGCTCTTGGCCATTCTTGCTTTGAGGGTTGGGGCAGTCTTGGGATGTCAGAGGTCAGGTTTTTTCTTCCAGGAACTCGTTGTGGAAACAAATGTCCTTAGGTGGCAAGCTGTATTTATGTTGGGTGAGGCTATGGTTATGTGTGGCTAGTAGGCTTTCATTTTTTCGCCAGCTAAAACAGAAGGTATCTAATCTAGAGACTGCGAAGGGTATAATTTCCTTGCTGAGTCCATCTGGCCTCATATCTGATTTCTGTTTCTGATCAGGGTTGTATTTTCCTCTGCAGTTTATGGCATTTGTGGCTTGCAGGAATCTTCTGTTCTTGCTTGTTTTGAGCATTTGACAGCTGAAATAGACTGCATCTAGGCATGGAGGTTCTGATGTCATTGTAGAGGACGTAAGAACAGGCCACTAACCAGCTTCCTGTTTCCAGTGGGGTCAGAAGGCAACAGCATCCCATGTCGCTAACTTCCACAGAATCTGAAGTTTAGAAATAATACTGAAACCTGGTTTCATTGAGCAATCATTGACTAGACCATTTTTGGCAGATATCCCTATGACTGCCTTATCATTCCTGATTCCATTGCCAGTAAGTTTCACTGAGAATCGTTAACGGATTAAGTGAGGGAGAAAAAGATAAGTCTCTATAGGTTTGCAAAAGAGTAACCAGAGATGAGTCCTGGCAGAAATCAGCACCTTATCTTTCTTGATTATGCTTTCCTATAGTTAACTGGAGACAAAACCTGTGCATTTAAAGCACTCACATCTGCACAAACAACCGCATCTCAATCAGCGTTTAAACTGTTGGCTGTTAACGAATTTTGTTTTCTTTTCCCAGTGTGGTTCAGCAGAATATATGGCCCCAGAAGTAGTGGAGGCCTTCAATGAAGAAGCATCCATCTACGACAAGCGCTGTGATTTATGGAGCTTGGGAGTCATTCTGTACATCATGCTGAGTGGTTACCCCCCTTTTGTGGGTCACTGTGGAACGGACTGCGGCTGGGACCGTGGTGAAGCGTGCCCTGCTTGCCAGGTGATCATACCCAGATGCTACTTCCTGTTTGCCAGTAGTGCAAAGTCCTAAAAAGTTCCATTGGCTTCTCCCTCTTTTTAGAAATGTCATAATTGGTTCCTGTATGTGTTTCTTAACTATTTTTAGATGTGCTGGCTTCTTTTCGTAACATAACTTTCTTTTCTTGCAGAATATGCTGTTTGAAAGCATCCAGGAGGGGAAGTATGAATTTCCAGACAAGGACTGGGCTCACATCTCTTTTGAAGCTAAAGACCTCATTTCAAAGCTTCTTGTAAGAGATGCCAAAAAACATCTGAGTGCAGCCGAGGTCTTCAAGCATCCTTGGGTGCAAGGGGTGAGCATCCTTGAGTGAGAAAAGATGGACATGAGATCATTTCTTTTGCCTTTCTACTTATCTCTCTCCCTCCCTCCCCCATCATCTCTCTGTTTCTATCTCTACCCATTATCCTCTATCTAGCCATCCATCATCTGTCTGTCTGTCTGTCTGTCTATCATCTATCTATCTCTATCATCTACCTATTTCTATTTCTCTATCATCTACCTATTTCTATTTCTATATCATCTACCTATTTCTATCTCTATCTATATATCTTTTTCTATTTCTTTCTATCTATCTGTTTATATCATCTATGTCTGTCTGTCTGTCTGCTCTAGAAACCACCCATCTCCCTTACAGAGGCACCCCAGGCAGTTTACAGATAAAATATTTAAAAAGTAAAAACTAAATACAAACATTTAAAACGAAGGCAAGGATAGTTAAAATTCAAAAGTTAATTAAAAGGTGTGTGTGAGGGGGTAGAGCTTTCAGGGGCTAACCGGCCCCTCAGCTGCATGCTCCCAAGAGAGAGTATTCAGTGTTAATGTAAGTTAGACTCTGAAGTTTAAAAAAAAAAAAAAAAGGCATGGCATTTATTGTAGCCAAACAACTGGCGTGGGTATATCCATGAAATCTCTAGTTATCAGAGTTATCAGTTATTGAAATGCAACCTAGCCTTTCAGCAGGGTTTCTTAACCTTGGCAATTTTGAGGTGTGTGGATTTCAATTCCCATAATTCCCTAGCCAGCCATGAGTTGAAGTCCATATATCTTAATATTGCCAAGGTGGAGAAACAATTTCTTACAGATTTGGAAGCCCCAGACATCTCTTTTCTATGAAATGAGTTTTCTGTCCATGTTCAGACTGCACCTCCAGTAGTAAACAGACACCTATGGTATTTATGTAGAAATAACCAGCTACAAGAGGAGCATACATTTGAATAGGGTTGATGTACGTATCTCCATTGTATTTATTTAAATGGAACTTTAATTTTGTCATGGAAAAATGCAGAGAAGGTGTAACTTTAAAAGGGCATTGGGGTCTGCAAGGAGTTGTAAGCAGTCATAGATGACTATTATGATGATAATATTTCTTTTCTTCTTTTTTTTTTGCTTCTAGTGTGCTCCTGATAACACACTCCCCACTCCAATCATCCTACAAAGGTGAGTGAAACATTACAGAAATACTTTTAATAAATAAGAATATTGAGGTATACCTCAAATCTTTCTTAATTTTTCCTGTAGAGAATTATAGCCACTTAATGAGGTTTCTTATCGGCTGGAAATTGGTTTTTATTCAGAAACTAAATATATGGAAAGCAATAGCTTTCTAATCTTTACTGCATTATGAGCCTTTTGGTCACAAACCAGTATAACATGTATATAATTACCACTATTTCAATGGTAATTTTAAGGTGTGTAGAACTTCAGCTTAATAACAGGTAATAGGGTGTACCAATGAAAAATGGGAAAGGCATGGCCAGAAAACATGGGCAATTCTGCTACTATCACAGCCTTCCTTCAGTGAATTCATATACCATGTTTCCCTGAAAATAAGACCTAGACTTATATATTTTTTCTTTCAAAAGAGGCAATAGGTCTTATTTTCAGGGAATGTCTTCAGTAGTGGTACCGACAGCCCTATCTAGCAGGAGCCCGCGTGGCCACCGCTGGCCTACTTCTCTGGCTGCTCGTGTATGTCATGCCCGGCCTCCGTTTCACCAGTGGATACTTTCAGGAAAGGCCTCTATAGCCGAGAACAAGGCTCGGGTTGACGGGTGTGTTCCCCCCCTCAGCTTCTGTTTCACCGGCGGAGGCCTTCAGGAAGCCTCCCCCCCCCCCCAGCCTCCGTTCTCGGTTGCAGAGACCTTTCCTGAAAATAGACCTTTCCTGAAGGCTTCTGCTGGCGAAACGGAGGCGGGGGGGATACACGTGAGCGGCTTCGAGTAGCTGCAGACGTGACAGCCATGCGGGCTCCTGGACAGGGCTGTTGGTGCCGCCATTGCGAGGCAAGACAGGTGTCAGGGCGTGGGAGGCCTGATTGCGGGGGCCCTGAGGTAAGTGGGTGTGGGGCGCGTGGGGCAGCTCCATCCCCTCCCCCACCTGCCTCGCCTCACCTTGTGGCAATGGCATCACGAACAGCCAGATGGAATGGGCGGTTAGTCAGCTGGGCAGGCTCTTAACTAGGGCTTATTTGGGGGGGGGGTAAGGCTTATATTAGACACTTGACAACTGACTCATATTTATGACCGTTGCAGTGTCCTGAGGTCTTGTGACCATTTTTTGCGACCTCTGACAAGCACAGTCAATGGGGAAGCCGATTCACTTAACAACCGTGTGACTAACTTAATAACTGCAGTGATTCACTTAACAACTGTGGCTAGAAAGGTCATAAAATCAAGCTAGGCCAGGGTTTATTTTCGGGATAGGTCTTATATGCGGGGAAACACAGTATTTAGAAAACTGATATGATTCCCCACTTTAAGCAAATAACTCTGGGTGACTAACAATACAAAACCATTCTGAAACAAAATTCAGAATACATTTAATAGCAAATGGAATAAATACAAGAACTGAACATCTCACAAGTGGTCACAATTGCAAACATACATGCTTTACTCACCCAGCCCTAACGCCTAAGCCAGGGGTAGGCAACCTTATCTCTTTTATGACTCGTGGACTTCAACTCCCATGCTGGCTCAGGAATTCTGGGAGTTGAAGTCCACGAGTCATAAAAGAGACAAGGTTGCCTACCCCTGGCCTAAGCGATGAGTCAGGCCTTCTGGAAATCAAGTGCTGTGCAGACCCCAGGCCAGACAAAATCACAGCTGACTACCAGAAACATCTATAGTTAAGCAACAAAGTAATCTAGGCCCAAATTGGGATTCCAGTCCCTCCCACAGAGCTTCGGGGAGCAAACCTGCAAAACAAGTTCCAGGTAGTCCTCGACTTACAGCTACAATTGAACCCAATGTTTCTGCTGCTAAGTGAGACAGTCGTTAAGTGAATTTTGTCCCATTTTATGACCTTTCTAGCCACAGTTGTTAAGTGAATCACTGCAGTTATTAAGTTAGCCACACGGTTGTTAAGTGAATCTGGCTTCCCCATTGACTGTGCCTTGTCAGAAGGTCGCAAAAGATGGCCACAAGACCTCAGGACACTGCAACGGTCATAAATATGAGTCAGTTGCCAAGTGTCTGGATTTTGGTCATGTGACCAGGGGGAATGCTGCAAAAGTTGTAAGTTTGAAAAATGGTCATAAGTCACTTTCTTCAGTGCCGTTGTAACTTCGAACAATCACTCAATGAACTGTTGTTAAATCGAGGACTACCTGTAACGCCGTGTCCGAAATTATTCTTCTGCACCCACCCATTTTAACGGTTAGTTGTGGGATATACAAAATTGAAGTCCCGATGTTCTTAACTTGCTTTCTGGTCGTTGCCCTTGGTAGGAACAGCAGTGCCAAAGAGTTGACATCGTTTGCCGCCGAAGCCATTGCTGTCAACCGTCAGTTAATGCAGCACGAGGAGGAAGCTGCGGAGGAGATCCACCCCATTATCATCAAAGCTACCTCATGCTCTATGCACCTCTCTCCTCCTTCCGAATCCAAGCTGGCCAAACGGAGACAGAAGACCAGCATGGCTAAAGCGAACGCCACCCAGCATCTGGTGACCCCCTTGGTCTTGGTTGGGGATCACATGTGACTGCCTTTCCTTATATACGTCCATTCCTTCCCTCACCCCCCCACCCCTTCTGTGCTTTTCGGACAAAAAGGTCTGCTTGAATAGCTTAACAAAAGATCAAGATCCAAGTTGGCTGGTTTCCAAGAATTCTTTTCTGTCTTTGATCTTGTTCGACACAGGCTGTTTTGTTTCTTGTTCCTTTTTGTTTCTCCCTCTTTCTCTCTCTCTCTCTCTCTCTTTTTAAAGCTATTTAAATTCTATTCCTCCCTTCTCTTGTTTCCCCTCTTCCCGGTGCATTTTGATAACACACATAATTTTTCCTTAAAAAGTTAAAAAAAAAAGTTGTCCCTTTCTCCCTACTGAAGGATAGCTTATCTGGGGGAGGGGGGGGCTTCTGTTCTTTTTTTTTTTCCCTCCCTTTCTCTCAGCTTCTTGTACTGTGAAAAGAGGGGAGGGAGAAACCCTTTCCCCTTGTCTGCCCCACCTCCCAAGCCTGAACTTTTTAAACGTAGCATTTTTATGTTTTGGAGAGTGTTTGCTTTTTTTTTATGTTTATTTTAATTTTGTTCTTGCTATTGGTTTCTTTTTTTAAAACAAACAAACAAACATAACTACTCGGATTCTGTATGGTTTGAGGGTCTTTTTTCCCCAAAAGCACTGGAGTGACTGAAGGTGGGGAGGAGGGAAACAATTGCAGTCCGTGGATTGTATGAATGTTCATTTATGGGGAAAATGTAGGGAAATTGCAGAGTCTTCCCTAAAACTGTATAGATTCTATAAGCTGAAAGTAGTGGTATCTGGGATATAAACAGAAGGGGGAATTGGGAAGAGGAAGCCCATCCATATAGGGCAGAATTCCTTCTCCCCAAGCCCTGGCACCGTTCACAGCACTTATTTTGTATTTTGTTCTTTTTTTTTTCTCTCTCAAGGGGCCAAGCTGCGGACAACACAAGAACCCTATTTTGTTTCAATCCAGATATGTCCTGTTAACATGGGGTGGTCCAATTTTTTTTTTAAGAGTAAAAAGGATGTTTTAGGATCTACTATAGTGGAATCTAATCACTTCATGGGGTTTTTCCCCTGTTTGATAAGGAGAGATAAAAGGTAAAAAAAAGGTTTACCGAAGTAAAAAGGAAAGATTTTACTCCCTTCCATAGAGTAACCCAGTGTTTTCTCACCTTGGCAGCTTGAAGACTGGACTTCAACTCCCAGAATGGCTGGCCAGGGGAATTCTGGGAGTTGAAGTCCACATTTCTTCAAGCTGCCAAGGTTGAAAAACACTGGAGTAAGCTATTGGGAAAAAAAAGTGAGGCTTAATCTGACCGGAAGATAGTCAACATTAATTAAACCATCCTCTACAGGGCTGTAAAAATCTTTGCAAAAATATTCATAGAGATGTATAATTGCTTCAGGTTTGCAACTGTAGGATGCCCTCTCGTATAGAAAATTCTTATTGTGGCAGAACAGTTTATGGCAGTCCTTTACAACTTTTGGTGAGTGTTTTTTAATTTTTTTTTTTTTTAAACCCAAGACGATGCGTTGTTTGAGCTCCCCATCTCAAAGATAGACTGTGGCTCAAGGGATTTATTTTGAAATATTTCCCAGTCTTGGGAGCCTCGGTTCCTCTTATTCTGAACCAGTATAGATAAAATTCCTCAGGGATGGTTGCTTCCTACGGGGACTAATTAATTTGGGGAACCTCTAGCCTCCCCTTCCCCCAATCTTTACAGAACTACAATTCTTATAATTGTGGGTTTTGTGTAAGAAAACAACAATGAATCTAGTTTAAAGCTAGGCCTGCTGGAAGCTTGTGAATCTGGGGGAGCAGAGGCAGAACTGTAAATCAAACTCAGGATGGTGCATTCAGATGTGCTAAAATGATCAAAAGCCTGCTTTTTGGAATAGGGGAAGGAAGAGAAACACTTGTATGCATGTGGTGTTTCTCATTACAGAGAAGGAACTAGAAGACTGAGTGATTTTTTTTTATAAAAAAAAATCTGTTTCAACGCGTGAAATTCAAGCAGTTAGCAAGTAGCATATTGGGGTGAAATTCTGGTAGAGGATTCTCCAAGAGGGATGTGAAAATAGTATTTGGTTAGTGGTCCTCTTTGGCGTCCACCTCTTCTCGTCACCCTTTCTGATCAGAGTATAAGTATCAACGTAAGGATTGCCAGACAATTGCGAACAGTTTGTGCTATTGCTGTCTGACCCTTCTCCAATTCCTGCGGTGTTGAGCATCTAAGCCTGGGAGACATTATAGGAATTGCCTGCATTATGGGGCCTCAAGGCTCAGGAGCATTCTGGGAAATTAAATGGCAGCTCCAATTTCATGATGGGTGTTGCTCAGCTGCTGCCTGTTGATGCTGAGTCTAGAGGAGACCAACTTGAGAGCATTTTTGTGGGGTCTCCTTCTATACCTTGATATGAAACTGTCCTCAATGTTTGGTCAGCCCATGGTTGGGTGTCAATATCCTGTTCACCATGGATCAATCATGGTGGATTAGAGGTGCTTCTGAGGACATTCTTTTATGTGAATAGGCCATGAGCTAGCTGAAAGGGAGGGAAAGGCATACCATCGCCTCTTAAAACAGGAGTCCAACCATGGCAACTTTAAGACCTATGGACTTCAGCCCCCAGGATTCCACAGACAGCATGTCTGGCTGAGAAATTCTGGGAGTTGAAGTCCACAAGTCTTACAGTTGTGCAGAGTTGGACACCCCTGACTTAAAGGCTTGAATATAATGAAACATGATGGTGCTTTCCAGGCACACCTGGAAATTTAGATTATTGGCTGTTTGTATCCACTGGGGGAGACTCAGCCCCTCTCCCCACTCTGAGACATACACCCACCACTCTGTGATACACACTCTTGAGAGCAAGTCCTACTCTCAGAATTTCTCGAAAAGACTGCGCACACATGCAGGCAGTGAAAACGTTTGTACATAAATCAGTATTGCATCATGATATAGATTGGAAAATATTCTTGAATGTGTGTGTGGTGCCTTGATAACGGTGGCAGTTGTGACTAGGCCGTGGGTGGGCAGATAACTTTTGCCACGCTCAAATCTAGTAGTATTTCTGTCTACCATCCTTTATGCATAAGCTACAGGGCAAGCAGCGCTATGCATTCTGACTTGGGAGCAACGCTTACTGACTTCTGTTGGATTTGTTTCCAACAAAGTATGTGTAGGACCGGTTGATGGCTGAAGGGCTGCCTTTCTTAAGGGTAAAGGTATGGATGGGAAAGCTTATTGAATCTGTTGGACTTCCTTCAGAGGACTCAAGGGGAGGATCAGCCAGTTAGTTACAGTTTGAAGGTGAAAGTTGTTGTTAAAATCTAGCTAGGGAGGTGATTTTGAAACTTAGTGTGTTTTGCTGTGCAAGGCAAGGGAGAGTTTGCTATTGTTTTAAGGTCAGTTTGACCTATCTGATCTCCTTTCTAAGTCTTGGGATTTTTTCTTTTAATCCAGTGATAACAAGATAGATCCTCTGCAGGACTTTGGCAGAATTGGTTGAACAGCCATGTGTATAAGCTCAATCTTGAATGATTGTGGCAAAACATCTGCTGGTGACTTCAGCTGCTATCCAGATGTGCACGTGTGGGTGTATGTGATCTAATAGGAAGGATGCTTGTCTCTGAATAAAGACTTTTTCTAAATAACAATACTATGCAAAGAAGTTTGGATTCTTTTTGCTGAGAAAGAGAAGTAATTTTTTTCAGATGCAGGATAATTGATTTTTTTTTTACATAAATGTGGAGGCTTGTAAAATAATTTGTCACCTCCTTTCTTTTCTACTTTTTGATATTTTTCTCTGCTTTCTTGACAGAAGGTAAAACAGATGGGATCTCCTTTCTAGTATTATGCTTTGCTTGTTGTGACCTTGCGGTCTTTTCCAACAGATGTGCTTTCATTAAGGAATGGGTTAGAAAGATGGTACCATCTGAAAATAATGAGGTGCAGAATACACTGGTTAGCTGAGCTGGCTACATTATGGGAGAATTTATTTTTAAATCAAAGAACTTTTTATCATACAATTCAGAACAAAATTCTAAATAGGTATGGATTTTGTCACCAATGATAAATAACCTTGTGGTCAGAAATTACTTGAACAGTGGTGGGTTCAGGCTCTTTGGCTCAAGAAAGCAGTAGCCTATCGCTTCTAAATTGCCTGATACTTAAATCCTTTCAGGATTAGAAGCAAAGGGAGCAGCTTCCAGTGTGGATGTTCTCATTCAGATGGTTTTAAATGGTATGATGGGATATAATTTGCTTTGTTTTTGCTTTTTTGTTGTTGTTTATGCTGCGTCTATCCTTCAAAAGAAAGATAGCTTTAAGAACAGTTTATCAAAAGTTAGGAATATATTTACACACCAATTTTTTTTTCCCTCTCAAGAGCATCCATTCCCCAGAAGTGACATGGTACCTATATTTGGCTGAGCATTTTAGCCTGATCCGCAACAACTCTAAACCTTTTGATCATAGGGCCAGTGTGTATGGTTGGTTCATCTGAAAAAAAAAAAATTGTGTAAAATGTCCTCCTCCCTAGCTCTTTGGGATACTACTTTGGGAGAAAGAAAAATTGCCTTCTGCTTCCCTCTGTTTGATTCTTAAAGGGCCAAAATGGGACTCCTGTGATGCCTATGGTATGCTGATAGGTTGGGAACGATGGACAGTGACTTTCAAACCAGCATTCTCAGTTGAAACGTGCTGTGCACCAATCTTTTTTAAACTAGGATACTTCTCAGGATTATTATGTCAACACGTGAAGGATTGCTCATACTCCTTTTTTGTCTCTCATTCGTGCCTGATATTTAAGAAACAAAAACATCATAGATAATTTATGAAGTGTTTGGAATCGTGTGACAAGACGTGCACAAGGTACAAAATAAAATCATGTAGAGCGCCAAATAATAACTTTTGTATCCCCCTCCTGTGTGTGGATCATCTTAACATACATAGCCCTTCTCTGCAGGGTTGAACATTTTTTAGGAGTGCAAGCGCAGTGGGTCAGAATTGTGACCCACCCAGGAAAGTGTGCTTTTTAATTGGTGAGCTTTTTAAAAGCAAATAAACTGTCTTTGGCGAGTGGGCGAAGTGAAACAATATCATATAAAAGCATTGCTAAGATCATATCTTACTCTGGGATGGTGTACCTGATCTGAATAATCTTGAGTGAAAGGATTCAAGTGTGCCCAAAAGTGAACTCTGTCCTATCTTACCTGTTATGAAAGAATGAGGTTTCTGTGCCCATTGAAATGGGTGGTTGTGGTCTGCTGGCACTGGGGTGGTTTTTTTTTTTTTTTTAAAGGCTTCTGTCAAAATAACATAACTTGCCTTAACTCATTTCCTTTGCAATGCGGAATTCCATCTTGGTTTGAAGTTGATTTTGTAAGATGAAGGTGCATCGACTGTTCAGGTTTTGAATGAAATATATTAAGTGCATCCAGATTCCATCCTGGAGGGAGATACTGTGAACCATGGGTGGCTTTTCTGCATTTGATGTAATAGCCCCTCCTGAAATTTCATCACTTGGGTGATTGGATTGGGAAATGGGTTTGAAGACTAGGAATTTGAATGCATTTGAGGTGCATTCTTTCCCAAATCTAATGGGAAAGAAGCAGCTAAGCTAGAAATTATTGTTTTCAGTGTTGGGTTTTCTCTGATGACTGATGGGATTGGTGGAAAAAAATAGAACCCACTTTAATACAGAGGGACTTAGTTAACACCATAGAAAACAAGATGGCTTGAGCCTCAAATAATCTGTCTTTTTCCATGGGGTTTGCAAACAGAATTATCATTTGTAGTATTTATGCCTTTGGCAATATGAATCTCTTTGATTCCGTTTCTTGTTCCTAATTTCAACCCTGAACACAGATAAAACATTTCCCTGTGAGCGATTTTTAAGACTTGCATTGTCTATATCCACACTTCACCCAGAGGGATTTGACTATGGTGGTTTGGAGTCTAAAATCTACAATCTCAGCATATCTGGAGGCTACGAGATTGGAAAAAGCTGTCTAGACTTCCTTTCCCCCCTTGATTTTCTTTCCTTTCCTTTTTGTATTCCTTTTTGTGTGTGTGAGACCAAAATTGGTGGTGCTTAGATTTCTTGCTTCTTAATTCAGTCGGAATTAGAGGGATGGGAGATACGGAGTGCTTGGAGGTGTTTAGACTACTCGAGCTCATTTGAATTAACCCCCAGGAATTCTGTTAAATGGGCATATAGCTTCTGGAGAGTCTTAAAACGCTGTCCTGTTCTGCACAGTTCCCTGGATTTGGAAGCCCAAAGAGTTAAACTATGTTTAAAGTCACTAGTTCTTATGAAGAAATGGACTTGTACCTTTGGACAGATATAGGAATGCCTCCAACATGCTCCCTTGACATCTCAACCATCTATTTTCTCTCAAGATTGCTTTCCATATATTTATAGTTTGCATTGTGTTATTTTCCAATTAGTTGTGCACAGACGATTCTGTTCTTGCCAAAATTCTTACTTTCAAACTTTCACATCCCACACCCCCTCAGTATTTTTCTTTATAAAAACGTTTATTGGAAAGCATCTTGTTTTGTACCTCCACGAGTTTTAATTAGCTGCATATATGAGGACAGGAGAACATATTGATGCATCTTTGACTTAATGCCCTCCTCTCCTCAGTTTAAGTCTATTTAGAACTGGTTATTTAGCATTTTACTGTGAAGTTGGTTTCTTTTCTTTTCTTTTATGAGAAAAATCAGTTCAGGAAAAATATTTTCCTCTGATTACCATAAAAGACTGCCAAAGGTTTTGTTTTCTGACATAAAGTCACCTTAACGCACCACTGGGGACTATACATGCCAGAGTCCTTCATCAAAGGACTGGTTTGAAAATGACAAATTAAAAAAAAAACTTTTAAAATCTTAAAAAAACAAAAAAAAAACAAAGCACTTTATTATGTACCAGGTGAACTGATTCAGCTTGATGGAACTTTTTCCTTTGTAACACCTTGTTGATGCCAGAATTTTTTGTATTCTGTTTTGTAAGAATTTAATAAATGCATTGAAACATGTGAATGTCTTTTTTGACTGGTGTGTATTTAATAATTTAAATGTTAGCAGGTTTTCCACAGTGGCATGAATGTGGTTGGCCACTGAAATGGGAGAACCTAATTGACTTTGTGTAGGCATGGAAACTGTGCTGGACCAGTGAGTATTGGGAGCAGAAGCTATCAAGAGACGACAAAAATGAAAAGAAAAAAAAAAGAAATTGGATAAGGGAGTTAACTTCCATTTGTTGCTAAGAAAACTAAATGGATGTGTCTGTATAGTCATCAGGAGTCAAGGGACACACTTTATTATGCATCGTATGAGTCAAGGCTGTTCAGTAAACCATGTACCGATACTAGTATTAAATCAGATTAAGCCATGCCTTGACACATGAAATAGCAAATCATGGTTCATTACATGGAGGGAAGTGTGTAGTGGGGTGCCCCAGGGCTCTGTTCTGGGCCTAGTGCTGTTCAACATCATCAACGATTTGGACGAGGGGATAGATGGGGAACTCATCAAATTTGCAGACGACACCAAGCTGGCAGGAATAGCCAACACTCCAAAAGATAGGCTTAAGATACAGAAGGATCTGGACAGACTTGAACACTGGGCACTAACTAACAAAATGAAATTCAGTGGTGAAAAAAGCAAGGTTCTACATTTAGGCAAGAAAAATCAAATGCACAGGTATAGTATAGGGCAGTGATGGCGAACCTTTTAGAAACTGAGTGCCCAAACTGCAACCCAAAACCCACTTATGCATCGTCGGATGCTGGGTGGGTGTGGCCAATTGGGTGGGCGTGGCTGCAGTGGTAGCAGACTGGGTGGGACTAAAAAGTTCAATTCCAACTTTGCAAGATCTTTTTTTTCCCCCGCGAGAAGAAATTGAACCTTTTTTTTTTTTTTTTTTGCACACACAGGCGGAGGCCTAAAGCAAAAAGTTTTTATGAAACCCAGCTGAAGGCCTAGGACTGGGACGATGGCGCGCATGCCCACAGAGAGGGCTCTGAGTGCCGCCTCTGGCACATGTGCCATAGGTTCGCCACCACTGGTATCGGGGGTACCTTGCACAATAGTAACTGTGAGAGGGACCTCAGAGTCCTTGTGGACAATCACCTAAATGTGAGCCAGCAGTGTGCTGCAGGTGCCAAAAAGGCCAACACAATGCTAGGCTGCATTAAAAGAGGGATAGAATCAAGATCACATGAAGTGTTACCACTTTACAATGCCTTGGTAAGGCCACACTTGGAATACTGCGTCCAGTTTTGGTCACCATGATGTAAAAAAAATGTTGGGACTCTTAGAGTACAGAGAAGAGCAACAAAGATGATTAGGGAACTGGAGGCTAAAGCATATAAGGAATGGCTGCTGGAATTGGATATTTCTAGTTTAATGAAGGGAAGTACGAGGGGGGACATGATAGCAGTGTTCAAATATCTCAGGGGCTGCCACAAAAAAGAGGGAGTCCAGCTGTTCTCCAAAGCACCTGAAGGCCGGACAAAAAGCAACGGGTGGAAACTTACCAAAGAGAGAAGTAACCTAGAACTAAGGAGAAACTTCCTGACCCTTAGAACAATTAATTAGTGGAACAACCTGCCTCCAGAAGCAGTGAATGCTCCAATACTGGAAGTTTTTAAAAAGACTGGACAGCCATTTGTCTGAAACGGTATAGGGTTTCCTGCCTGAGCAGGAGGTTGGACTAGATGATCTCCAAGGTCCCTTCCAACTTTACTACTACTACTACTACTACTACTACTATTACTATTTAACCATGGGTTAAATAATGTCATGATTTTTACGCTTTGCAAAATTGTAAGGGGGAAGGAGTATTGCTGGTCCGTTGTCCTTTATTTAGAAAACTACGGATCTGATGTTAGCAATTAAAACAAGTCACCGCTACCTTCTCAAGGATTCTTTGTATGCATGTCAACCAAGGCTGCACTGCATTTAGAGAAGGATTATTAACTCTTATAATTTAAGGTGAGGACCAAGATGAAATCAACACGGGCATACCAAAATATCCAGGGAGATTAAAACTTAAAACACCCAGTGTGTATATCGCATTTAATCAGAAATGGTACCGGAAGAGATATTAGAATGCTGTACCTGGTCCCCAAGGTAACAGTAAGGATACAGGAGCAACAGGATATATGGGCTGCCCTTGAAGATTGTGCATCATCTAAATCTGCTCCAGGAAGTACACTGGGTGCAATTCAAGGGGTGCAATTCAAGATTCTGTTGATCCTTTAAAAAAAAATCCTGCTTGCTTTGTACTAAATATCTTCCAAGTCCTCTGCTTTAAAACGAATCTCCGCATCTAATGAGATAAAAGCGTGAAAGCATTTTGAGGGTCCCATATGCAGGGACTCCATGATTGATAGCTCCCCTTCTGTGGAAGAGTGATCCAGTACATCAAGATCACTTCTGCCCTGCAGCCCTTGATTGAGGGCTTCAGTGAATATTATCTTGAGCTCTTACTGTCCCTTGTTTTTTTTTATTTGATTATATCCAGTCTGTAATCAAGTGGCATAACACCTTAATCATAAATAATTGAGCTACACCTTTTCTACTTATTACCATGTTTTCAAACTTTTTCAGGTAGTGGAACCTGTTAGTTAAAATCTTGAAACCTCGATTGTGAAACAAAGCTCTAGTAAAAAGATCAGCTTTTTTTAAATGTACCACAGAAGTTTTAAGATTCAAGGACCACAGAAAAATTCTAATGTTTAAGAATGTTCATTGCTTATCTATATGCATTTTATTCTCCAGTAAGGAGATTAGAGATAGATAATAGAGATAGATAGGAGAGACAGAGAGACAGACATAGATGTCAGACAAAAGTAAGCCAAGTTCATTATATAATGATTAAGAAACAATATACAGTTTATATATACTCTTTGCTTCCCTGCTCTGCATTCAGTACAATATTTCAGTTTTCACTATGGAACTGGTCATTATACTAAACCTAAAGAGGCACATTAGATGTTTAAAGAAAATGAGTGAATATTTTTGTTATTAGCCAAGTCAAAGTAAAAAGGCAGAGTTTTTTTCTTTCACTTTGGCTATGCTGACTTGTCCTTTTTACAAATATTTTGGGCTATGAGCAAATTCATCTGTACCTCCTAGTATAGGAAGTCATAAAGTAGCTGTTGGTGATAGGCTGAGTCCCAGGAAAGGCAACTTATCAGGTGTTCTGATGAGTCCACATATTTCAAAAAAGTAACAAACTAATGACTATAGCATGGAACTTTCCTGAGTCATGATAGTTTGTCAAAGTATCTGTTGAAAATAATCCATACACTCATTTAAATTCCTAGAAGAAAATTCTAAGGGTTCTGTCATACATTTGAGACTGAAAGAACTGCTGAGAGTTTCCAAGGTTGGATTCATATAACATTATGACATAACTTGGTTTGCTTGGCTTAGATTTAGGGTATTATTTGAAGGTTGGTGTAAGGACCCACCCCACTTTGCATCTTAAGAAGACAGAACTCTTGGAATATTTCTTCCAATAGGCATCCTTTAAGAGAAAATGGTTGCAGACGTTCTAGACAGGACCTGGGGCCCAAGCCCTACGGTTCAAGGTTTTAGGGGGTCCCCAGCAGCCCCACTCCACCCCACCATCTTTCCAGCGACAATCCCAGGCATTACATTTCCACCCCCTTTTTCCTCACTGCCGGTGGAAGGGAGACTTCAGAGAGGAGTAGATGAAAGCTGATGGCCCCATTGTTATGATTAGTCCTTTTGGTGGTATCCATATTCAATCCCTTTGAAGTTGTACCCAAGGAAGTGAGGGCCATAAAACCCCTTTGTTCACCCCCCTTCCCCTTCATCGTATGACAGAATCCAGAGAGGGCAGAAATGGGATTTTCCATAGTCGATAACTAGAGATGAAATATAATTGGATTCTGACAGTTGGGTTGCAAAACATGGCTTAGCCCAATGTGCAATCCAGATTGGTTAGTTATCCTCTGGCAAATCAAACTTTGAAGTAATCAAAATGAAAAGGCATCAGCTCTGTTACGTCACAACTCACAATATTTGTCTTTAGAGTGGCACACCCAGAACAATGATAAAGAATTGCAAAATGTCTGCTTATTTCGAGAACATAGGCCTTTTGTATTTGTATTCAACTTAAACACCAATGAGGCAAGTAACTATTCTGATTTATCTTTGTTTTGCATTATGGGAAATCTTTTAAAGTGTGTTTTTTATGCTAATGCTGTTCAGGTAAGAACTTTTTTAAAAAATGTAATTCTGCCTCCCCCTCTTCCCTTCTTCCCCAGATTGAGATGGCCCCAACTTTGCTGGCCTTCCAAAGGAGGTTAAAACTCCCCATTTTCCCATAGTCTGGAAGTTAATTCATGGCAACTGGACTTTTCTTTTTGGTTTGGATTGTTTCATTGCTTATCCAAGTAGCTTCTTCAGTCTGACCAAGTTGGTTAAGAGGCCCCATATATCAATATATTGTCTTTCCCATAGACATTGGGGGGAGGGGTAGATAATAATAATAATAAAGTTGGAAGGGACCTTGGAAGCCATCTAGTTCAACCCCCTGCTCAGGCAGGAAACCCTGTACCATTTCAGACAAATGGCTGTCCAGTCTCTTCTTAAAAATGTCCAGTGTTGGAGCATTCACCGTTTCTGGAGGCAAGTTGTTCCACTGGTTAATTGTTCTGTCAGGAAGTTTCTCCTTAGTTCTAGGTTGCTTCTCTCCTTGATTAGTTTCCATCTGTTGCTTCTTGTCCTGCCTTCAGGCACTTTGGAAAATAGCTTCACTCCCTCTTCTCTGTGGCAGCCCGAGATATTGGAACACTGCTATCATGTCCCCCCTTGTCCTTCTCTTCATTAAACTAGACATACCCAATTCCAGCAACTGTTCCATGTTTTAGCCTCCAGTCCCCTAATAATCTGTTGCTCTTTTCTGTACTTTCTAGAGCCTCAACATATTTTTTACATCGTGGTGATAAAAACTGGATGCAGTATTCCAAGTGTGGCCTTTCCAAGGCATTGTAAAGTGGTATTAACACTTCACGTGATCTTAATTCTATCCGTTAATGCAGCCTAGCACTGTGGTGGCTTTTTTGGCAGCTGCAGCACACTGCTGGCTCATATTTAAGTGATTGTCCACTAGGACTCCGAGATCCCTCTCACAGTTGCTACTATTGAGCAAGGTACCCCCTATACTATACCTGTACATTTGGTTTTTCTTGCCTAAATGTAGTAGAACCTTACTTTTTTCACCATTGAATTTCATTTTGTTAGATAGCGCCCAGTGTTCCAGTCTGTCCGGATCCTCCTGTATCTTAAGCCTCTCTTCTGGAGGGTTGGCTATTCCTGCCAGCTTGGTGTCATCTGCAAATTTGATGAGTTCCCCATCTATCCCCTCGTCCAAATCATTGATGAAGATGTTGAAGAGCACTGGGCCTAGAACAGAGCCCTGGGGCACCCCACTACACACTTCCTTCCATGTAGATGCGGTTCCATTGAGGACCACAAGCTGAGTACGGCCGGTCAGCCAGCTACGGATCCATCTGGTGGTGATGCTGTCTAACCCACATTTTTCTATCTTATCAAGTAGTAGGTTGTGATCTACTTTATCAAATGCCTTACTGAAGTCCAAGTAAATTATATCCACAACAGGTGTTGTTTGTTGAGGCCAACACTGGTAAATTTTTGACTGAAGACTGAAACACACCTCAGTTCTGGTGTTTTTATTTGGTATTGATTGTATTTGTGCATTTTTATAGCATTGCCCAGTTTATTTGCTTAAGAGGAGTGGCTGTATACATTTCTAAATTAAATTTAAATAAATTTCTTTATTTTTCACATTTCTGTACCATCCAGAGATGGGCAGTGTACAATAAAATGTCAAAATATAAAGCAGCATATGCAAACATTTAAAAAAAATTAAGAAGAGCTAAGAGATTAAAATTAGTTAAATTGTAAAGGGAAGGTTTTTCAGGGGACTAACCAGCCCCTTGGCTATGTGCTATCCTGGGCTCCCAAGTGATGCTGCAGAACCATATCTTACCTCCTTTTCAGAAGGCCAGGAGAGTCGGGATCTGTCTCTCCTCCAGGGGAAGAATATTCCACGTAAATAACAACAACTTTACTGTCACTTTGAATGTACACAAATCGGCATACATCAAAATGAAATTTTTGTTGCATACAGTTCTCAAAGGGTCACCACCTCTGATATACACTCCTTGTTTGTGGCCAGCTTAAGTTTCAGATCGTCCATTTTAGTCTCTAAAATACATACATATAATGATCTACTTCTAAAGATGTGGGCAATGCTGTGTGAGGTTTCTTCAGGCAGACAGACCAAACTCTGAAGCTTTATAACTTTGCTGCAGAATTTTATAACTGGAAGTCAGTGAGTCTAATTCTACATTGTACCCTGGTCTGTAGCTACCTCTAGTGTTCAATTGGTACATTTTACATCATGACTGCCAGAATTTCTAATGTCCAAACACATTTTTCATTTCTTGCCTGCAACATGCACAGCTCCAGAATTTGGTAGTGTTGATGTTATGTTCCTCCCAAACAATGAAATATATCTTCCATTGGCTGTTGTGTGACCAGATTTTTGTCCCTGCAAGATAGAATCAATATAACTTTAAAATATTTTTTTTTACTTCAAGATAAAATCAATATAACAAGAGCCAGCTTGGTGTAATGGCTAAGGTGCTGGCCTAGAAACCAGGAGACTCTGAGTTCTAGTCCCACCTTAGAAGTGAACGCCGGCTGGATGACTTTGGGCCAGTCACTGTCTCTCAGTCCACAGCTTCCTTCTGCAGTTTTGGTAGTTTTATACATTTGGAAGAGGCATCCCATTCCTCATAACAATTTTATGAACAGGGAATAAAGATGATGTCTAAAAGACTCAATTATGACTTTTTCATTATAAAGACAACATCTTCAACCCAGTGCTTTCTGAAGGGTTTTGGTAAAATAATGGCAGCTGTAGCCCCCAAAATAACCATCTGCATAACTTGTTTGCTGGAGCATGAACAGTAATGAGCAACAGTAAGCATATACTTTTAATTGACATCTGGTTCTTCCTTGGAACACATTTTCTTAATCAAAAAGACTGTAAACCTTTTGATAATTAAAGTTAGGAAGAAAGCCATTATCCCAACGCTGTCAAGTAGCCCAGCCTTACTCTTTTTTTGGTCTCTTTGTTGATTTTCACCTCCTCTTTTTTTCTGGATCAGCAATAACTTTGCTTTCAACAGAGTGTTGAAGTTAGAATTGCAGAGATGGACAACCAGGTCTGAGTTGTCCTTCTCACTTGCCAGCTTTTTTCTTTGATTATCTTGGAGAGAAACCTTTGAGCTAATGTAGGCTGGACGGATTTGCGCCTCAAAGAATAGAGACTACTTACTCCATTAGCAGTAAAGTACAAGGAGGTTCCTCAGCCTTAAAGGTGCTGAATCAAACTCCCTCCAGGGCATTGCCTTCTTAAATATGGGAACAATCTTCAGGAGTCCCTAAGCAGTCTTGCTTTCTCAGTTTAGAACAGTCATCTAGGTCCACCTGATCAGCTGGATCCAGAATCAGACAAAATAGCATAACAATATCCTCCCTTTGAATAGAGACCCCAGCTCCTGGAGAACTGTGGCTTCAGGAGCAAACTAAGCAGATGAAACCAGAGAACACTGAAAAGCAGCTACCGATAGATGCTGTTTATATTTTGTCTGTCACTCAGCTCAAAGTGGCATGTATAGTGCTCTCTCTTTCCATTTCTCCCCAAAAACCTGGGGAGTAAGTTGGACTCAGAAAATAATTGGCCTAGAATTCCATAGGGAGCTTCCATAACTGAGGATGAACCAGAATTGCTCCTCATTCAGCATCTTCACCACCACATCAAACTCAATTCTTTCCTCTCTTTTCAATGGAGAACATTTTATTTTATTCCCCATTTTCAAGCAAAGCAAAGTAGAATCAGCGTGTCTCACTTTCTCTGAATAGTACATTTTGCATTTTCCTTCCTCTTTGCTGTGATGAGAAGCCTCCAAAATTCAGATTTTCTTTGTTGCGGCAAGTTTTTCCATTTCTTTTTGGCTTCTCCAGTTGTAGCTAAATACTGCCACACACTGAGCTCCTGCTTCATCTTTCTCATTGAACAGAATGTGCTTTGTCTAAACCCCTTTCTCTCAATGAATTTCTGTAATGTATTAAATTATCATAGATTACTGCTTATTTCTATGCTTGCCATGAGAACGTCTTGTGCTACCTTCCCCACAGATTGTCAATTACTTATTTGAGTGTCACCAAGAATAATTTAATTGATAAATTGTTGATTAATCCACCAGGGAGCTTTTATGATTGAGGGTGGCTGCTGTTGGACTGAAGACTTTATCTATATATGATACTATTAAAACTCTTGTCCTATCTTTCACTGGATGAAATGGTAATTAATAGGGTAACAATTTTTGAACCCAGATACCTCAAATTTACACATTATATCCACTATTTTACACATTATATCCACTATTTGGGACCCAGGACTCCCAACGGAATGAAATTTGGGAAAGGTATGGCTGCTTCAGGGCTCCTGGCAGTTGCCGTGGTCATGTGATCTTCATTTTCAATGTTCTATGATTTCCCAGTCAGTTTAGCAATCCCTTGCTGGCTCTTCCACTTAGCAGCAGCTACTTACCTGCCTAGAGGGAAGATTTTTGATGCTCCCTGCTAGATTCCCACAAGGAAATTCAATGGGGAAGTTGGCAGGAATCCAGAAATCATTCCTGTTTCCATTATTTTTTTTGCCTCCTCCTGAATCATTTTTGTTTAGATAAGGAAATCTCTCTGAAATGATGACTCAACAGAGCACAGGTTGTCTGGTTTACAAAAAATAAAAATAAAATAAAATAAATAAATCAGGGTTTAATTGCATGCTAGGAATATGCAGGGAAACCTTAATTACTGTAGTCCTACTTCGAGATTAATTGTAATGTTAAAAAAAATTTTCAGGGTTCTTTTCCAAGCTGGGAGAAATAGACAGACACCAGGCAGCTGCTGTGGAAAGGAGGTTCAATTGGTTTATTTCTAGGACAAAGAGGTTTTGTTCTTGGGGGCAGCAACTGGATGGTACATTGGTAAGATTTTTATAGAACTGACCCTTTGTATTAGGTGTATGAAGGAAATGCGTGCATGTGTCTGATGGGTACTGCCATGGGTGGAAGAAATCATTATTGACTTAACACTAGGCCCTATCTAACAAAATGAAATTCAATGGTGAGAAAAGTAAGGTTCTACATTTAGCTAAGAAAAACCAAATGCACAGATACAGAATAAGTGTATATTAATAGTAACTCAACAGTAGTAACTGCGAGAGGTTATCTTGGAGTCCTAATGGGCAATCACTTAAATATGAGCCAACAGTGTGTTGCAGCTGCCAAAAAACCAACACAATCCTAGGCTGCATTAACAGGGATAGAATCAAGATCACCTGAAGTGTTAGTGCCACTTTATAATGCCCTGGTAAGACCACACTTGAAATATTGCATCCAGTTTTGGTCCCCAGGATATAAAAAAGATGTTGAGACTCTAGAAAGAGTGCAGAGAAGAGCAACAAATATGATTAGGAGGCTAAAACATATGAAGAACGGTGCAGGAATTGGGTACATCCAGTTTAATAAAAAAGTAGGGATGACATGATAGCAGTGTTCCAATATCTGCCACAAAGAAGGGATGTCTGGGTCAACTTATTCTCCAAAGCATCTGAAGGCAGAAGAAGAAGCAACAGATGGAAACTAATCAAGGAGAGAACCAATTTAGAATAAAGGAGAAATTTCCTGATAGTCAGAACAATAAGTTGAGCAACTTGCCTCCAGAAGTTGTGGTGCTCCAACACGGGAGGTTTTTAAGAAGAGACTGGACAGTCATTTGTCTGAAATGTTATAGGTTTCTTGCTTGAGCAAAGGGTTGGACTAATAGACCTCCAAGGTCCCTTCCAACTCTTGTTATTTTCTATATCAGTACATTTTCTTTTTGTTGTATATGTGGTTTTCATAGTTGCACATTATGAGTAAAGGAAGTATGGGCATAAGTTTTTTGTCTTTTTAATTTTGTTTGGCTTGGGTGATCAGCTTCTATTTACCTTTAGTTCTTTGTATTGCTGGCTTCCGTCTATCCATCTGCATCTCCCTCTGTATAGAGACCTAGTTTTATGAATGGAAATTTAGGGAGACAATTTAGGAGGAGACAGTTTCCTAGGCTAAAAACCGGGAATAAGCTATTCAGGGAGAGACAGGTGAATTTTTTTTTCATTCTTATGGAGGATTTCTTATTCTTTGGGGATTATTTCTTATGAGTGGTTTTCTTTTATTTTTCAGGGGAACACGTCCACAGTAACAAGAGTTACAAATGTACTTTAGCATTTGACTTGAATTTAATCTGTTCTTATTCCATGATATCCATCACCTGAGAATTATTATAGGATGCCTTATAAATACTTGAATAGGTGATGCAATAGCCATTCCTATAAAAAAAATCTGAACTGATTTATCCCTGAATGAGAAACTGTACGATTATTTTTAAAAGAAAAAATCTATCCGTTTTCTTACTTAAAACATTTTAACTGCATTTCTAAATCTGTCAGAAACACTTTTTCCCTTTGCCTACTTGAAACGATTATCCCAGAAAACATTAATATGTGCTTGTGTGTACAAACACACACAAAACACCTTTTATTTGATGGAGAGAAGCCAGCCCTTAAAAAAAATCAGAATATTTTCTGTCATGACAAGCCTCTATCTCAAACAGCCCCCCTCTTTTTAAAAAAACTTCAAAATCTCTACTTCCAGAGGATCAGGACCTCTGCATCCACCCCACTCCGCCCGTTCTTCGTAGATACAGACCCTCCCAACCGCGTTGTCAAAGCCTTTTTTCTTTCCTGAAGCGCCTCAATGTCATAGTAAATCCCTTCTTTTAAAAACAAAAACCAAAGCCCAGAGGCCACTGCACTCAATCACAGTCCAACTGAAGGGGAAAAGACGCGTTTCTCTCTCCTTCGCTTCCTCCTCATAATTAACAGCGGGGCAGGCATGGCAGCCCCTCCTCCTCACCTACCACCGCCGCCGCCACCCTGCCCGCTCGGGCTTCTTCGCCTCATGGGCCGTGGCCGCTGCTGCTGCCGCCGCCCGCCTTCCCCAGCCACCCCACCGCCGCCTCCTCCTCCTCCTCCTCCTCCACCGCCGCGCTCGGGCCTCTTCCTGGCCGCCGCCCTCGTCGTCCTCTCCGGCGGCCGCCCCCTCCTCCTGCTGCAGGCGGCCCCTCCCCGGCAGCCGCCTCCGCGCAAAATGGCGGCCGGAGCCGGGCCCGTTGGAAGCGGCGGGGGCTGCGGCAGCCTCTCCTCCAACGCCTCGGCGCCGTCGCCCCCTCAGGCCGGCAACGGGCCGCCCCCGCCACCCTCGCCGCTCCCCGCTTCGCCTGCGGCGGCGGCGCCGCCCTCGTGCTGCTCTAACAGCGGCGACGGGCCTCTACTGCTGCTCTCGCCGCCTCAGGCAGCGCTGCCGTCCCCGCCTCTCGCCGTTGCTTCGCCTCAGGCCTCCTCCTCCTCCGGGCCTACGCACAACCACGGAGCAGGAGGAAGAAGCAGCAACCCGCTGCCGGTGGCGGCCAGCGGGGCTCCAGCGGCGGCGGCTGCTTCGCCCTCGGGCCCAGCTTTCTCTTCGTCTTCGCCGCTGCTGCCCGGGCCACGGGAGCCGGCCTACAACTGGCAGGCGACGAAGCCGACGGTGCAGGAACGCTTCGCCTTCCTGTTCAACAACGAGGTGCTCAGCGACGTCCACTTCTTGGTGGGCAAAGGCCGCGCCGGCGCCCAGCGCATCCCCGCCCACAGGTCTGAGAAGGGGGCTTTGGGCGGAGGGGGGGCTCTATTCCTGATGAAGGGGGGTCTTTGGGGGGGGGCTTGGCGGAGGAGAAATGGGGGAGTCGGGTCTCTTTCCTTGGGGAGGGTGCTTGGGAATTGGGAAGGGAGGAGGAATGGGGTGGAGAGCCCTCCCCATCTCAAGGAGGAGAAAGATAAAGATGGAGGTCCTGTCCTTGGAGGGTAGCTATCAATAGGGCTGTATGCAGTATGTGGGGAAGGGAGAGATCCCTAGAGGCCCTGGAGGTATTTGGGGGGTGTCAGTCTTTAGAGGTGAAATTTAGACCATTCCTAGAATGGAAAGGGGCCATTGAGATCATGGAGTCCACCCTCCTGCTCAGTGCAAACAAATGGCAAGTTAAAGCATCCCCAAGGGATGGCTGGTTTGCTCCTGCTTGAGGCTTCCAGCAAAAGCCAGTTCCCCCCTCTTGTCCTACAACCAACGTTATGCTGGAGGAAGGAACAGGGTGGCAGATTTGGGATGAAGAGTAAGGGGCTTGGAGAGACTGGAATGAATGAGATAGGATGGGTGGGGTTGAAGAGGGGTCTGGCATTGGGGTGGGGAAAGATGGGAAAACCAGAAGGCATTAGGTAGAGTTTATTGTGGGCAAATAGCTTTGAAAAGGCTGTTTTCTGTTTTGTAGCGTGTTGGTGTGATTAGGCTGAGGGCGTGAGGATTATGCACAATAGGGTGCAGGAGTTCAGAAGTCAGGCAAAGCACAGTTAAATTTGGCCTGGCTTTCACAAATAAAAGTCTGCATTCTCAAATGCAGACTTCAGATACACTGTGGGGTTGCTGATTTTTCTGTGCAATATCACAACTGAACTGAAGAGGCTATGGAACATTTTTTGCTTAATGCACCCATGGGCAAGACTTAAAATAATATGTTAGCTAGAAGGGATATTTCAGTTGGAAATTCGAGGGAGGACTTGGTCCACAACAAGTCCAAGGGACTAGCTATATCTGGCCTGTTCATTTGCAGCAGTGATCAAGCACTAGGATAGCTGGTGCCAGTCTGTGCTGGGTTTGTTTGAGGTTGATTCACTGCTGGTGGTGTTGTGGTTTGATTGTGTTGTTTGATTTCTACAGAACTATTCAATAAAATGTACCAGATTTAAAATTAGGAAATGATTTATTAACACATGGTATGTCTGTGAAATCTTATAATAATGTAAATTAATTTCAATAAGTTTGCAGCATCACACATTTCCTCAACATGTACGCACATTAACGAGTTCCTACAACACTGAAATGATATCTGTTTGCTGCTACTAAATAGAGCCTTTGTACTACTTAAGAATGGAATTCAAAATCCTGACTAGGAGTGCAGTGCATCTCATGACACTTTTGCACAACAGAGCTGATGCTTGCTAAGAGTAAGGGGTGCAATTGTAAAATGAAAGGTTTCTTTTTAAAACTCTTTTTATGCATGTTAAGACACCAAACATAACATTTTTCTTGAAGCTAAATTGCACAGAGATTTACAGAATAAAAGACTAATACTTACATGACAGTGTAATATTTTTCCAGAATATGTAAAGTTTTAAAACCAGTGCTGTTGGCTTGGGCTAGATACTTATTCTTGCATCATGAGGCCAATAATGTGTTTGTCTCTCATACTTTGTTCTTGATTTTTTTCCTATAGCAGAACAGTTTTTGTTAAAAGGCCCTGAATTTGGTGTTAAGAACTAACAAGAGTAAAACTTAACACAGCTGTAAAACATTTATTGACAGAAGTTAAAAAGTTTTTGAACTGTCCCCTCCCCCCTCCTTTTAACAACCTCCTTATCTGGAGTTAGAGAAACCCTTAATCCATTTATAAAATACAATGTTTCCTTAAAGGCAATAGATCATTAACAGGCAGGAAACAGAATTTAGCACCTCAGCCTAGCCAGGAAGATCTCTGTTGATATAAAGAAGGTAGCAAACAGAATGTTTCTCCTCTAATCGTAAAAGCTATATTTCATGCTTGAATAAGAACATATTTCACTCACACCAAAGGCTAAAAAATGTATATAAATCTTGCTGATATGCCAGTCCGTTATCAGCTGTCCCAGAAACAAGCTTACTTTGTACTGTTTCTGACCAAATAAAATAGAGAAACTTCTTCCCATGCAGTTTCTTTTTGCGTTGTCTTTCCTCAGAGAAAGGAACCCAGGGAGATTCTCACAGCGTATATACACTTAAGACTACTTCAAGCCACTTTATTTAGAAATTGTGTAATATAACCACAACTGTTAAAAGTATCCACTTTTATTTCAGCCTGTATGACCTACGTGCTGGAATCTGGATGAATTTTCAGCATCATTCTCAGTAGTCTAATTTATGTAACTCTTAATTCTGGGGGATGAAATGTGGTATTATGGAATAAAAATAGATGAAAGATTGAGAATGGAATCCAGTCAAGTGAGGTTTTTCTTGTTTGTGTTTTCATATGTCAGGTTTGTGCTGGCTGTGGGCAGCGCCGTCTTTGATGCAATGTTCAATGGCGGGATGGCTACAACCTCCACGGAGATAGAATTACCCGATGTAGAGCCTGCTGCTTTCTTAGCTTTGCTGAAGTAAGCCTGCTTTTACGCAAGTAAAATGATTCCCACCCCACCCCAGTGGCAACCTGTCTGCAATAGGGCTGATGCAGTGCAATCCTGGGGATCATTTTTATTTTAAATACATATTTTAAAAGGGCTGTAGCTCAGGGGTCCCCAGCCCCTGGTCTGTAGACTGGCACTGGTCCATGGCATGCCAGCAACTGGGCCGTGAAAACAAGTGAAGCCCCATCAGTGGGATGCAGGCTGCACGCAAAAACACGCCTCCTCCAGTCCACGGAAAAACAACTCTCCACGGAATTGGTCCCTGGTGCCCGAAAGGTTGGGGGCCACTGCTCTAACTTATAGTTTTTTAGGAAGACATGCTGTGTCCTAGAAGGCGATCTTGTATTTTTAGAACTTTTAAAACTGGTTTCTTCCCTCCCTCCCCCCTCCAGCCCCCATATTTATGCTTCTCTTTCTGATTTTTCACACGCACCCTTTTTTTAGCCTGGATCAGATTAATTTTTTTTTCTTGCATGCTTTTAAAATACATGTCTACGAAGCAGTGTATTTAAAGATTGCCCCTTCTGCTTTTTTTTTTTTTTTCTACTCCTACTTCCAGGCCCAATATCATGTTTTTTACCCTCAAAACTTAGCAGTAGAACATCTGTTTCTCTTTGTCAAGCTGGGGCTCTTGTAAGTGTAGTTTCCATTCATGTATAGTTTATAAGCCCTTAGGAGATAGCAGTAAAGATATGGGAAAGAAAGCTGGTGAGTCACAATACCAAAATTGTACTATTATGATCAGCCTGGTATTGCAATTTAATTAACTACTATAGATATACCTGGATCTGATCATCCCATGTGTCCTGTCAGAAAGGCAGACAATATACTGCATATTGAATTAAGTATTAAAAACCCCAAAGACTCTACATAAATATAGACATTTTATAATAAATGCAGGTTTGCCAGAATAATGTTTGGAGAGATGGATTAGGATATCTCAACTGCAAAAGTCACTGACTGACTTGATTTTAAAATCTGCAAATCAAAGTCAGAAGTATAGTAAATAAAAATATGTACCCCATATGCCAGTGTGCTGCCCAGTACAGCATAATCTGTCTAAAGCAGTGGTTCTCAACCTTTCTAATGTCGCGACCCCATAATATAGTTCCCCATGTTGTGGTGACCCCCAACCACTTATACATCACCGGGTGCCAGGGGCGTGGCCAAAGAAAAGGGGGAAAAAATGGCGGACAGCCTTGTTTGGCGACCCCCGTGAAATGGTCGTTCGACCCCAAATGGGGTCCCGACCCACAGGTTGAGAACCACTGGTCTAAAGAGTTTCAATTTTAAAAAGAGGATCCTAGTCCCCATGGATTTATAGGTGAGATGAATAGTTAAAAAAAAATCCTGTTATTGAATTGGTACACAATGGGAATTCGCCTCTTAATTAGACAATAGAAGGACCTTCTGAATAACACCTAATCTGACATTTCTGATGTATTGTCTCCAATAAATAATGTTGCTTTGATTGCAATAATATTTTTTCTCCCCCCTTCCCCATTTTCCCTCTTAGATTTCTTTATTCAGATGAAGTTCAGATTGGGCCAGAGACAGTGATGACGACTCTTTACACTGCAAAAAAATATGCAGTCCCTGCCCTCGAGGCTCACTGTGTGGAGTTTCTGAAGAAAAATCTCAGAGCAGACAATGCTTTCATGCTTTTAACCCAGGTATATTTGAAATTCTTTCCCTATGGACTCACCACTTCCGCTGAAAAGTTCCTGGCATGAGATAAGGAAAGTGCTGACACTGACTGACAGGTAGTCCTCAACGTATGACCATTTTTAAAACAACCTTTTGAAGTTATATCACCGAAAAAAGCGACAGCCAGTCCTTGCACTTCTTAGTGCCACTGTATCCCCATGATCACATAATCAAAATCTGAGCACCTGCCAACTGGCATATGGTTATGAATTTGCAGCATCCCGGGATGGTGTGATAGCCATTTGTGACTTTCTTGGGACTACTGAGCAACCAAGTCAGTGGGGAAGCCAGATTCATTTAATGACCGTGTGATTTGCTTAATAACAACAGCAAAAAGATTGCAAAATTGGGCGTGATTCATTTAACAATTGCATCATTAAATGACAGAAGTTCCAGATCTAATTGGGGTCATAAGTTGACGATTACTTTTAATTGCCCACCTTCACTTATCAAGTCTCTGCAAAGCTGAGATGGATCCTTTATGACCTTCCATAGTACACCCTAGTGACTTTCCTGGCTTATGTTAAAAACTGGATAGAAAACAAACAGAACTGGTCTTATTGCTCAATGGAGTACACGTGGAGCCACAGTGTGTATTCAAGTGAATACACACTGGTGTTGTTTACAAACCATGGAATGCAGTCCAGGCAGAATTAAAATTGAGCCTAGGGAGGGGCCTATTCTGTGTCTTATTTGGTTTTCTAGATTGATTCCTATGATTTTAACATTTAAATATTGATTTATGTGTTTGTTTTTATGATTTTTTTCTCCTTTGATTTGTTGCACACGGTCTTGGTAACATTTGTCATCCTAAGGTATATAGATGGCTGAAATAATATTTGCAAATCACAGCAAATATATTTGAAAACTACAGACAAAATGGTGAAGTTCTTAAGGAAATTGTAGCTCGCCTGGCTTGGATGCCATGACAACACCAGATCCAATGTAACCCAATACCAAATGCATAAACTATGAGGCATAGTCATCACTTCATCTGTAGATATTTATTTGTATGACATTTTTATTCCATCCTTCTGTGCCTACAGCATTTATAGCTAGGAAATCTTCACCCTCCTACAAAGTAGGGAATGGACTGGGGTAAAAAGTCCTGAAGTTAACATGCTCCTTCATTTACTGATTGTTGGCTGGTTCTTAGGCAAGACTCTTCGATGAGCCCCAGTTGGCCAGCCTTTGCCTGGAAAACATAGATAAAAATACTTCAGATGCTATCAATGCAGAAGGCTTCACGGATATTGACCTGGGTAAGCTTTTCTCAGAACTAAAAGATATTCCAATAATTTGTGCTGGTTTTCTTTTGCCTGGGTGCTTCTTCTGTACCCTGAGGTGACAAAATTGACAGAGGTGTCCTTCTATGTCAGTGGTGGTGAACCTATGGCACGGGTGCCAGAGGCAGCACTCAGAGCCCTCTCTGTGGGCGCGTACACCGTCGCCCCAGTCTTAGACCTTCAGCTGGGTTTTATAAAACCTTTTTGCTTTAGGCCTCTGCCGCCATGTGCAAAAAAAAAAGTTCAATCAGTCAATTTCAACTTCACGTGGGAAAAAAAAGGTCTTGCAAAGTTGGAATTGATTGAACTTTTTAGTTCCACCCAGTCTGCTATTACCACCGCAGCCATGCCCACCCAATGGGCCACACCCACCCAATGGGTCACACCCACCCGGCACCCGACGATGCATAAGTGGGTTTTGGGCTGCAGTTTGGGCACTCGGTCTCTAAAAGGTTCACCATCACTGTTCTATGTGTTTCTCAAGGTATACCTAGCTGTAAGATAAGCAGTTTAAATCGGGTCTGTTAAAACCTCAATTTAGGCTTTTGTCCCTGCCACTGGCAAGTAAAATTAGAATAGATGCAAAATTGTTAACCTGTTTAGTTTGTCTTATTTATACAGGTTGCAAATATCAGTTGTATCTCTAGTGCAGTTTATTTCTTTAAATCACGTTTATTCTGCTCTTCAGTTTTACAGCTCTTAGACTTGTTCACAGTTATCTGTACAATTACAAGAAAGAGAGAGCTCTTTTCCACAAGCTTTAAAGCTTGATTCAAGAAGTGAGAGGGACAGATAGACAAAAGGTGGAAGAAGAAAATAAGGACATTCAGGTCCCAATCCTTAAAGTTGTTATATCCAAGTGATAAGCTTGAATGTTTACAATTTAGGTGCAGCCTCCTGTTTCAATCTCAGGAAAGAAAGAAAGTTTTTCTGCTGTGGGTTTTATGCAGAGTCTTTTTTAAAATAGAATAGAATACTTTATTGGCCAAACATGATTAGACACCTAAGGAATTTGTCTCTGGTGCATAAGCTCCCAGTGTACATGCAAAACAACAAAGTAATAACAATCACAAAGGATAATAATCATAATAAAGCTGTGGAGTTCAGCAGAACCTTCCCTTGGATGAAACCTAAGAGATTCTGAGTAGAGATACAACATCAATCTGTGAAACAGAGACAAATATTATCCCTTTTCATGACTGAATATTTTTCCACACTTCATAGCTTAAGAAAAAATGCTATCCATGGAAAATTGACCTGTCTAGAAAAGTTCTGTTTAGCCTGACTTGTGAAACATAAGTTTCTTTGTAGAGAGATTTTTAAAAAAAATTCTGTGTAGTGGGGCATATAATCACATGAGTCCTTTTGAGCAGCATTTGTACATTGATCAAGTCAGTCTCAACATCCCTCCCCCTGCTTTTGCGTCAAGTGACGGACAAAGAGGGCATTTGGTCCTAGCTGTTCATGATGTTACAAAATGCATTGTCTTGCTAATTTTGCTATGTGAAAAGTTGCCTGCAAAAAAAAGCTAGATTTCTGACGTTGCATTCTCCCAAGCTCTGTAGGAACAACAGGGAGCAAGCAGCTTCTGGAAGGAAGATAACAGTTGCAGCAACTTGCTATCCTTGTCTCTGTGTAATTGATGTGAATTGCCTCCTTCCCCCTCTTGCCAGTTTGTCGTCTGGACAGTTGATTTGCAAATAGTTGGAAGGATTCTGCTTCTCTGGGTGACAGCCTCCTTCTCTAGCTTCCATCCACTAGGGGGGACATGATAGCAGTGTTCCAATATTTAAGGGACTGCCACAAAGAAGGAGGGGTCAGCCCTGTTCTCCAAAGCACCTGAAGGCAGAACAAAGAAGCAATGGATGGAAACCAATCAAGGAGAGAACCAACCTAAAACTAAGGAGAAACTTCCTGATACTGAGAACCATTAATAAGTGGAACAACTTCACAAACAAATGGGTCCTTCAATCTCTTCTTAAAAACCTCCAGTGATGAAGCACCCAACAACTTCACAGAAGTTATGGGTGCTCCATTACTGGAGATTTTTAAGAAGAGATTGAACGACCACTTGTCTGAAATGGTATAGGTTTTCCTGCTGGATGGAGCAAGGGGTTGGAGTAGAAGACCTCCAAAGTCCCTTTCAACTCTGTTATTCTGTTATCTTCGAATTGCCTTGGATTCTGCTTGTGATTTTCTTCCAGGCTTCCACTGGCCAATGTGCTGCGCTCTATCCTGGCTCTCCTGTAGGTGTGTTCTTCTAGAACAGTGGTTCTCAACCTGTGGGTCGGGACCCCATTTGGGGTCGAACGACCATTTCACGGGGGTCGTCAAACAACGCAGTCCGCCATTCCCCCCCCCTTTTCCTTAGCTGTGCTACTCCCTTTTATTCTATTGGCTTTTGAAAGCCAATAGAATAGACTCTCTTGAATAGAGTCTAATTCTATTGGCTTTCAAAAGCCAATAGGAATTGTCCAGGCTGTCTCTGCCCTGCTGAGCCCTCCAAAAGTCCCATTCTGCAAACGGTGCTGCACCAGTTGAGTAGTCCTCGACTTACGACCGGTTGAGTAGTCCTCGACTTACGACCGGTTGGGGGGTCGCGGCATTAAAAAGGTTGAGAACCACTGCTCTAGAAGGTGCACTAAGCTCAAGTGAGGTCTGGCAGGACTGATTCTCCAGAGTTCTCCATAAAATGGAGGTTTAGAGCACTTCCTGAACTGGTAGTTCAGTCTATTAAGTTCTTGAAGTGAGGAGATTTTCAATACTGGCTGATTTCAATAGAGAGTGAAAGCATCCCCATCCCCCCCCCCAATGTTTATCCTTATCCCAAAATAGCTATGAGTGATGAATCTTGCTGGTAGTGACACTCTCTCTGTCTGATAGATACCTTGGTCGCGGTTTTGGAGCGAGACAGCCTCGGCATCCGGGAAGTGCGCCTCTTCAACGCAGTGGTCAGGTGGGCAGAGGCTGAGTGCCAGCGACAACAGTGGCAGCTGATACCAGAGAACAAGCGGAAAGCTTTGGGCAAAGCTCTCTCCCTCATTCGCTTCCCCTTGATGACAATCGAGGAATTTGCTGCAGGTATTTGGGGGACCATTTCTCAGAAGCGGGGGGGCTTAACGCTGCAAAGATCCAGTAGTTTTGAACAGCTTTGTGCTAGTATGGATATTTATGTATTCGAAAATATTTCTGCGTCATTTTGATTTTGATTCCCTGACCTATTATTTTACGGACCCCCAAAATAATAATAATGGCAGTTTAGATTACAGGGCAGTCTGTCTGTCCTGATTAACACCACCAGATATTCCTATTTGCTTCTAATAGGGCCTGTTTGCATTTTGCACTAGACCAGTGGTTCTCAATCTGTGGGTTGGGACCCCATTTGGGGTCGAACAACCATTTCACGGGGGTCGCCAAACAAGGCTGTCCGCCATTTTCCCCCCTTTTCTTTGGCCACGCCCCTGGCACCCGGTGATGTATAAGTGGTTGGGGGGTCACCACAACATGGGGAACTGTATTATGGGGTCACAGCATTAGAAAGGTTGAGAACCACTGCACTAGACCACGGGTCGGCAACCCACAGCTCTAGTCTAGAGCCTCCCAGCCTCCTTCGCCATTTGCAGAGACCGAGACTGAGACAGAGAGAGGCACTTGTGCTTCCCCTCCCCCCCTCTCTTTCCCTCCCTCCCTCCCTCCCTCTCTCTCTCCCTCTCTCTCTCTCTCTCTCTCTCTCTCTCTCTCTCTCACACACACACACACACACACACACACACACACACACACACTGGGGGAAGAGGACTGGCAGACCAAGGGCAGGAGAGAGCCAACCCAATAAGAATGTGTGTCAGCTTGTCCGAGAAGCCAGCTTGCCAGGTGAGCAGAAGATCAGAGAGAGGGAGAGAGAGAAGGTGAGAGGGAGAGGAAAGAGAGAGGGAGAGGAAAGAGGGAGGGAGGGAGAGGGGGAGAGAGAGAGAGAAAGAGAGAGAGAACGAGAACTCGTGCACAGCACGAGTTTTGCAGCTCCCAGTGTTTTCTTTTCTGTGGGAAACGGATCCAAGTGGCTCTTAGAGTGTTTAAGGTTGCCGATCCCTGCACTAGACGGCAGGAAGCAAAGGGACAGTTGCAACCAAACTATGAATGCCTGCCTTCAAATATGCCCACGAGATGAAACCAAGTCGTACTTTTTGTCTTGCATACAATTTATATTGTGAACCCTTGCCTTCATAATTAAATCTGAACACCAACTTCCATGCATGCATCTGATGGTCTCTCATATCTGGGGCAGCCTTCAGATATTTGGATGACTCTCCTGCTCTCCCTAGCACCCTCCCGACCCGTGCTGTGCATTTGGCAACTCCCTTGCATCCTTGTGCACCCTCCCTGACCCCTATGGCACCTCTCACATAGCACCCCCCCATCCCCTCGTCTTCGCAACCTTGCACTGCTCCATGCCTCCTGTGTAGCCAGCCGCTTGCCTGCCTGTGGGACTGGGACTGACTTGCCGACTTTTCTACACACGTTGGTGGTGAGAAGGAAGTTGCTTCGGCTAACAGCTGTGAGGATTCAGTCAACAATGGCAACCGGAGCTGCAGGGATTGACATCATTAAGCAATGCAGTCAGACTTTAGGACTGCATCGCTTAGCCGTGGAAATTCCAATCCCAATTGCCTTCGTAAGTCAAGAACTATGTCAGTGGTTCTCAACCTTTTTAATGCCGCGACCCCAACCGGCCGGAAGTCGAGGACTACTCAACCGGTCGTAAGTCGAGGACTACTCAACTGGTGCAGCACCGTTTGCAGAATGGGACTTTTGGCGGGCTCAGCAGGGCAGAGACAGCCTGGACAATTCCTATTGGCTTTTGAAAGCCAATAGAATTAGACTCTATTCAAGAGAGTCTATTCTATTGGCTTTCAAAAGCCAATAGAATAAAAGGGAGTAGCACAGCTAAGGAAAAGGGGGAAAAATGGCGGACTGCGTTGTTTGGAGACCCCCGTGAAATGGTCATTCGATCCCAAATGGGGTCCCGACCCACAGATTTGAGAACCACTGGACTATGTAAACATCATCCTAAAGCAGGGGGTCTTCAAACTCGGCCCTTTTATGACTTGTGGACTTCAACTCCCAGAATTCCTCAGCCAGGCACGCGTGCCTGGCTGAGGAATTCTGGGAGTTGAAGTCCACAAGTCATAAAAGGGCCGAGTTTGAAGACCCTTGTTCTAAAGAGAGAGCTGATTTCTGGGAGGAAAATCAGGGGAAAAAAATGTATCTTAGGTGTTCCGCTTTCTCCAGGACCAGCTCAGTCGGGGATCCTCACTGACCGCGAGGTGGTTAGCCTGTTCCTTCATTTCACGGTCAACCCCAAGCCACGGGTGGAGTTCATCGACCGTCCTCGCTGCTGCCTGAGAGGGAAAGAGTGCAGCATCAACCGTTTCCAGCAGGTGGAAAGCCGCTGGGGATACAGCGGGACCAGTGACCGGATCAGGTATTCTTTCCAGCGCTGCTCTTATTGACCAAGCGCTGAAAACATCATCTTTCGTATATTTATTCATCACGCAAAAATCACAAATTCCAATGAGCCAAGTTTAAAAAAAATTAAAATGCGACAGGGACGATTGACGCGTTAGTGCACTTACGCACTTCGGAACCTCTTAAATACGGGGTGCGGTTCCCAGAAGTTAAGTTAGAATTAAAATTATGAAAGTCAGTAGCTGAGACAACTGAATCGGATAAAATATTTCCGACTTTGACAACTCGGTTACAGAAATAAAATGGTCTACAATCGAGTTTAAAACAGTGTACATTAGTTCAAAGTGGTTGTTTGCACGTTATATTAGGATTAAAACTAAAAATGTCATTTACAGCTAAAACGTTACTATGTGCCATGTTGCATGCAATACGTAAATCTGACTGCAAGTGTTGCAGTTCTAAACTCTCCAAACTTAAGAATTTCAAGCTATCACTGGGTTCCCAGGTGGGGAAGTTTTGTGGTTCATCGAATTGCCTTGGGAAATTTTGGAAGAACTTCTAATTACCCCAGTCTGGTGAAATGATTAGCAGCAGGCTGTCATCTAAAGCAGATATGGCTATCTGAACTACATTCATTAACAGAGTAGCAAGTAACAGTGCCCCTGCTGCGTGGAAGGAGCAGGGAAGGAAGGGCGGAAAGAAGCCTTGGGAAGAATTTCCATGTTTTGCTTTAGAGTGGCGTGCTCAAAAAGTAGGTGGGGCCAGGATAAGAGTGGGCACAAACCAGAAGCAAAGTAATTAAATTTAAAAAATTAATTTTGAAAAGTCTCTAGTTTGAGCAATGAAATATAATCCTGGGAATGTCATTGTGGGACCGAAGGCAGACAAATGAAGTTCAGATGATAGACCCCCAATATGGGACATGGCTAAGAAGAGGAGAAATATTGATTCATAGGTGCGACGGGTCAGGTATGCCCTCATCTGAATCACCTTGCTGTCTTCCATACAGTTAATGTCCCATCTATACCAGGGATGTCCAACCTTGGCAACCTTAAGACTTGTAGACTTCAACTCCCAGAATTCCCAATCTGGATGGGGAATTCTGGGAGTTGACGTTTAAAGTTGCCAAGGTTGGACACCCCTTTTCTATATTATACTTTGTGTGAGAGTTTAAACTGGGACACGTTGATCTTTACTCCGGTAACAATAAATGGATCAATAATACCAGCAGATCACATAGTCTACTGTCTGCCTTGCAGCCTGAAATTGAGGCTAATTAGTTTATTCATCTTCATATACTGTAGCAAAAGAAAGCCTTCCTTTAGGTCCTTCTGGGAACAAAACAAACGGTAATCGGATGCATAAAATAACAAGCATCTGGCACCACTTCAAAGATTTGTTCCCTTTTTAGTTTCCATCCCATTAATTTTTATTTGAAACGATGGTATGCAGATCAGGATTGGGGGCTATTGCTGACTTGCTAGGTTACTTTCAAATCTCAGGATTTGGAAGTTTTGGGTATTCAAAATAAGAGAGCTGTCTCCCAGAGGACAGAGAAGAAAGAAGGGAGAAACTTTATAGTAGGAGTAGCCTCTTTTCTTTCACATTGATTTGGTTTATTTTTTATTTGTTTGTGTGAACTCTGTAGGTTCTCTGTCAACAAGCGGATATTTATAGTTGGATTTGGGTTGTATGGCTCGATCCACGGCCCCACAGATTACCAAGTAAATATACAGGTAGATAACTTTCTGGATTTGATTTGCATGAATGGGCTGTGAAGCAACACGAGTGAATGTACAGGTACATCACTTCTTCTAGATCAGTGATGGCAAACCTTTTGGGCTCCCCATGTCAAAAAAATTGCTGACTCAGGAATTCCGGGAGTTGAAGTCATCAGTCATAAAAGAGCCGAGGTTGCCTACCCCTGGTATAGGGCTTCCTGAGCAAGAGCTTAGTCTAGAACAGGGGTCCCCAGCCCCCAGTCCATGGACTGGTACCGGGCCGCAGCAAAATGTTGGGGACCTCTGGTCTAGAAGACCTCCAAGGTCCCTTCCAGTTCTGTTAATCTGTATGTGACCCCCAGGAAAAGCACACCCATTTTCATGCGGCCTTCCCAGCCTCTGAAAATCATGCAAGAATGGGGCATGCTTTTGAAAATAGTTGTGAATGGGTGTTGGTGAACGTTGGTATGCCGTCCAAAATGTTGTGGTGTGTCAACTTTGACCCAGGTGTCATAGGTTCACCATCACTGTCCCAGACCTTGTTATCAGAAAGGAACATTGCTGTTGTTTCTATAAACAAAGTTATGACTTCTTCCATTCACGTATATTAGAAATTTAAAAAACTATATGTTCCCCCCCAAAATATCATGATTACATTTTCCATATCCCGTCTCTTTTCCTTCCACCTTTTCAGATAATTCACACAGACAGTAACACCGTCCTGGGCCAAAACGACACTGGATTTAGCTGCGATGGATCCTCCAATACTTTCCGGGTGATGTTTAAGGAGCCTGTGGAGATCCTGCCCACTGTCAGCTACACAGCCTGTGCAACGCTGAAGGTGCTCAGGGTCTCAAAAGAGGGAATATCCTTGAAAGAGCAACTCCGGAGCCTTTTCTGAATTTGCTTTGCTTGGTGGGGAGAAAGCAAGGAACAGCTCAGGAGGCTGGTTTTAAGATTTGCTAGTTATTTGTGCCCTGTTTGTAGTCCTGAATCTCCTTGGGTGGGCCCTTCATGATGGTGATAGGGTGGAAGCAGAGAACTTGGGTGATTGGTTATTCTTGTAAGGCACAGGTAGTCCTTGACTGACGACCATGTATTTCGTGACCATTCAAAGTTACAATGGCACTGAAAAAAGTGACTTACGACCATTTTTCACACTTAGGGCCGTGGCAGAATCCCTGTGGCCACGTGGTCAAAATTCAGATGCTTGGCAACTGGCTCCTATTTATGATGCTTACAATGTCCTGGAAGGTCACTTTTTATGATCTTCTGATAAGTCAACGGGGAGGCCAGATTCTCTTTACCATTGTATTACTAACTTACCAACTGCAATGATTCACTTAACATCTGTGACAAGAAAGGTCATACGTTGCGCCAAAGCACACGTAACTGTCTTGCTTAGCAACAAAAATGTTGGGCTCAATTGTGGTTGTAAGTCAAAGACCGCCCCCTGGGGTGGGGTATCTTGGACTCCCGAGAGGAAAGGCAGAAATGCAACCATTAAAAATAAACCACTGGCTGTGTACACTTTGGTGGGGTGCTCAGCGTTCAGGCCCGCTGACGTCCCTAGGAGTCCAGGGGGTGGTCCATGCTCCTCAGCAGGGCAGCCTCGCGACTCAAGGAATGGCCTTCTCACAACTTTGTTTTTCAATGGTTCGTAATACAGGGACCCGACTCTCACTATGGAACCAAAGGATTGCGGAAGGTGGTCCACGAGTCACCAACCACAGGGACAAAGACCTGTTTTACTTTCTGTTACGCTGCCGGCAACAACAACGGCACCTCGGTGGAAGATGGACAGATCCCAGAGATCATCTTCTACACATAGCAGGTGCTGCTGGAAATTGGCTGTTGGACAGGCTTGGCGCTCCCCTCCCGCCCCCTCCCACCTGAGACCGCCAGCTTGTCCTGCCGCAGTGATCGGATGGGCTCCCGTCAGCAGACTCAGACTGGGCAAGCATTCCCAGGTTGCACGTGCTCTACATCCAGATGCATGTCGGCCTCGCTGGACTGAGGCTGGCAATCTCTTCTGTTTGTGTTTGGCAACCTGGCTGGATGATTTCCTTGCAATGAATGTAGCTGCTTTTACATCTAGTCATTCTCATGGAGGAAACTTACTCTCAACCCCCCCCCACCAAAGAGATTTCCCCCCCCTCCCCACATTTTTGGCAGGCAGGAGGCTAGCATGGGTTGGGTGGCAAAGGCAGCTTAGATGGTGATATATATATCAGCGAAGTGGTAGGTCTTCGTTCACATTCCCCTTGCCCTCTCCCAGTTGTCTAGTAAGACAAATGACTTATTCTCTTTGGGGTAATTGCGTGTACACAGCCTGAAGGTGGGGGTGAGCCTCTTGCATGGCAAGCAGCATTTCAAGACAATCCTTGACTTTTGAGAGAATAGCAGAGCTAAACAAAGGCCAATCAACTGACCTTCCAGTGCAGGGTTTCTCAAACGTGGCTCTTTTAAGAGGTTTGGACTTCAGCTTCCAGAATTCCCCAGCCAGCTGTTCCTGTGCATGTTTGCTGGCATTCAAGGAAAGTAAAGTGTGAATTTACTGACCTGATGTGGCCCGATATGTCAGAATGGGACCCCAATCATATCCAGATGATAAAGGCAACCCTGCTTGGTGAGGAAGATGCAGATTTATTGGGAGGCTACTATATTTGGAGGGTGATATTGGGAAAGGCTGCCTTAAGATTACTTTAGACAACTTTTCCTACTTGCGTGAGGTTGCTGAAGAGTCAGCAGCAGATTGTGGCTCTTCATTTTTGCCAAGAGGCAGTTTGCAACCATGTGTACTTGAGCATTGTAATTAAGAGAAGCATCTAAATTTCTGGCCTTTCGTCCTTCGGAAAGTTTCTTCTGCTGCTAATATAGTGCAACTTAACAATGCATTTTGATTCTTGTTACCCTAGTGACAGGCTGGTGCTGTGGTTAGTTTGTGTTTGTATGCGTGTGTGTATTTCCCCTTAAACAGGGAGAGAACGCCCTGGGTCTTAAGCCATTTTTTGCAGAAATCGAATTCAGAGAGAGAGAGATTTTAGGATTTTTTTCAGGAGGAAAAATGCCTTTTTACATTCACGAATTCTTAAGCTAAAATATGGTTCTTTTGGGATGGGCAAAAAAAGCATATTTTTTTTTACTATTGTTCAGATGCATTTAGGATGGCTCCAGGCAACATCAGCTTGTTTGGCAGAACAGCTTCCCCAGCTGTGCTTTGACTGAGCATAAGTTGGACTAGCAGTCCCTGACTAAAAGGACTCTGTGACTCTTGGCCAGGTATTTCTTTATTCACTAGCGCCTAAGTCTCAGCTGTCAGTGTGCTATGGATGCTACTTTCCTACACTTGTTACTTTGGGGAAATTGCAGTATGAAGCAATCAATTATTTGAGGTTTATTTAAATACGGGTTCCCCCCCATCCCAAAAATATGGCGGAGTGGGGTACTGGGTCAGCTTTTCATTCTGGTGGGAGGGCAAAACTAAATCCCATTGTGATGATCTACAAATTCATTTACCCACTGTGACTGTAAAATTGTTGACATCCACGATTATTTTGATCAAGAGTTTGGTGTGATTCTTTGCACCCAAACCTATATATACACGCCTTCTCCAGAGTAATAAATCAGCAAGAAAGCACTTCAATTCTCTGAGAAATAGTTCCTCATACTAAATATCTGTGCAGTTCTTCTATGATAATCAGATGTGTTTTCAAATAGGATCCCTTGACTTTATCCCGATAGCATTAAGACTGTGTTTGATGCGCCAAAGTTGAGTCCATCTTCCTCTGATTCTCACTAAAAAGAGTATTTGACCACAAAAGTATCAACTGGGACAGAATCTTTAATCAGGAAAAAAAAGTACCGTATATTCTGGCGTATAGGGCGACCTGGCATATAAGACGACCCCCGAGTTCGACGCCGAGTCGCAAGACGATCGACGCCAAGTCGCATGCCTAGAAAGTCGTCTTATATGCCGGAAACTACCGGTATTTCCGGCGTATAAGACGACGCCGAGTCACATGCCTAGAAAGTCGTCTTATACACCGGAAACTACGTTATTTCCGGCGTATAAGACAATAGACGCCAAGTCACATGCCTAGAAAGTCTTATACGCCGGAAACTACCTTATTTCCGGCATATAAGACGACTCGGCATATAAGACGACCCCCGAGTTCGGCGCCTGTTTCAACGCTCTCAAAAGTCGTCTTATACGCCGGAATATACGGTAGCTGCGTTTCCTGTTGAAACTACTTGTATGGAAATACAGATTATTCCACAGAGGTCCTTGAGCCTTATGTCACGCGAGTCTGTTTTTGATTCTCCCTTCTATATTATTAATCACTGTATAATATGTGTACATTTCTATTACAGCCAGTATGTAGACTGGAATCATTCTCCAGTTACTAGCTCCCCATCAGCAAACTACATAGTAGAGAAAATATGCACATCAGTGATTTTTATGAAGAGGCTTATTCAATATCCACATATTAGTTCATAGGGCTCTAAATTTTATAGCTTGCTTTCCTGCTAGACTGAGAGGATTCTCAGCATCCCCTTCTCCTTCACCACCCTTCATTTTTCAGAGAACTGTTTTCTCAGCAATGTGCTAATCTGTTTTTCTGTAGATGAAAAATAATCATTGAATATGTTTCTAAAAAGGCCTACTTAAACAATAGTTTAAAGATAGTTTGTAACTGATGGCAGGCTACTTTTAAGGTGGATGACCGAAAGCAGTCATCCTTTGAAATCCCTTTGGAGGGGTAGGTAGGCCTCTGATTATTGTATAAAATTGGGTGTTTATTAAAATGTCAGCAGCTGAAGGGAAAGTTCAGTTGAAGTTCTTGGAGCCTGTCGCAAATTCTAGCATTTGCAAATTAATCTGGGTGATGCCAAGAGCAAACTTCCAATAGTGTCACCAACTGCTCGTGCGATGCTCTACAATAACAATTGTATCAGAAACTGTATTATTCAGCGTTTCACCACCTCTCCTTCGTTTGTAAATAGCAAATGAATAAAGGCATCAGTTTGTCTTTAAGCATTTTTGTGTGTGTGACACGAGAGAATGGGCACCCACAGCCAGTAGTTCAAATTGCAGATTTAATATTGTTTGAATATGTTTTATGAGCAGGAGAGCCCTCTTTGAAGCCGGGGTAGGCCACCTTGGCTCTTTTATGACTCGTGGACTTCAACTCCCAGAATTCCTGAGCCAGCCATGCTGAGAGGAAAGGGAGAGGTTTCCAAGCTGAGCCATGCCGGCTCAGGAATTCTGGGAGTTGAAGTCCACGAGTCATAAAAGAGCCAAGGTTGCCTACCCCTGCCCTCGACCATCTGCAACAGTAAAGCTGTGGCAAGAGTTGTTGACAGCATCGGCATGCTAGACCAAGAATCAAGACACTGAATAGAACGGTTTCTGTTCTTGAAACTATTTTTGGATCAGCAGGTGCTGATCTACTTCTGTGAAGCTTAACCATCAGTATGTTTTGATTCCCAGATTTTCTTGACTTTGTAAGCTAGGTAGGAAATCACTTTTTAGAGGAGGCTTTATTGTAGACAGTTACTGAATTTGCCTAGTCTGAGTTCAGGATGCTCATTTTTGATAAGGAATACTGGTAAGGAGAGATGCATCCTCTGGCATATCAGCTTATGTTTGCAAGGCTCTTGCCAAAGAAGAGAAAGTGCGCTGGAGCAGAAGCAACTGGCAACGGTGTCAGATGATCCTGAAGTTTCATTTAGGAAGAAAAAGCACAAATGTGCGAACAAGCCTCCAGTTAGAAGGATGCACCAACTCCACAAGTTATGTTCTGCAATAACATGGACTTGGCCAAAATGAGATTCAGTCATACAAGCCATCATATTGCGGGATAAGATGGTTTATTTTGCTTATGTCGTGGTTCCGACAGATGAAACTCTTAAAGAACTTCTGTAGCGAGTGGAACACAGCAATTTGTTTTTTTTTGTTAAGCTGAGTTTAGGGCGAAACATTTGGGCGAGTCCAACCTGGATGTAACATAGCGTAGTTGTTTAGAGTGGGTGGGTTGTATATTTGTGGACAGTGAGTAGGAACTGAATCTTCATTTTTTGAATGCTGGAAGATTAGGGCAAAAAGAGGAGGAGGCTGCTCATCTCATGCCGAGGCTTCCATTTAAGGAAAAAAAATGGAGAACACTTTCTCAACTTCAGCACCTTTAAGATGGGTGTGGATTTCTGGGATTTGAAGTCCTCCCATCTTAAAGGGGCCAAGGTTGAAAAATGTAGTTCTAGAGACTAGACACTTTCTGCACCCTTACAGGTAATCCTTGACTTTCAGTTGCTTAGCAATCATTTGAAGTTACAATGAACCTACCTGAAGGGAGAAGGGTAATTTATGACCTGGATTTAAAATTTAGATAGTCATTCTCTCCCCTCCCGTCATGTGACCGCTCTTCAGGTGCTTGGCAACTAGCCCACATTTATGGTTGTTTGCAGCGTTCTATGGGTTCTATTAAGGAATGCCACATTTATTAAGGACCACCACAAAATAGCTCGTACAATTGGTTCAGTCATAAGATAAACCCACTTTATGACTAGGGCAGGCTCTATTATCGTCGTAACTTGAGGACTACCTATACAGAACTGATTACTTTTCCAAAATAAGTCACCGAAAATTACTTCCACTCTTTTCAAAATAAAGCATCTGTACTTTAAACCAAAACACAAGAAAACATTTTTGGAGAATTTATTTTTTTAAGGTTTTTTTAATTTTTAGTTTTTCAGGTTTTTTTTTCTCTTTTTATTATTTTTTTTAAAAAGCCCTAACTTCTATGGCTTCAAAGAAGCTTCAAGAGAAACTTATACACCATAACCTGTGTACACTTCTTTTTTTTAAAGCAGTAACTAAATTTGCAATGCCACAATCTCTCTTCTGCTTTGGAGCTACACCAGTACAAATCTCATTTCTATTCAGACTTGAAATTACTTTTTTCTTTTGTTACATAATTAAAAAATAAAACAACCACACAAATCTGTAAAATTCATTTTGATGCAAATCAGACAACGTGGGCCAAAACATACACCTGATAAGACCAGAGAGCTTGGCGGGCCACCGTCAACCCTCATTGATGTGTTTTTGTTTTCTGTCATTAGAGTTGTCCCTTAAAACTTTTGTCACATTCAAAAAGAAAAAGAAAAATAAAGAAAAAAAAAACGAATAATCCACATTGCAACTGGTAGTCCAAGCACACTCATGCACTCTTTACATAAACATCTTATTTTTAAAAAATTTCTTTTACACCTTCCTGGGATTGGAACTATATAATTTTTTTTCCAGACCAATGCTTAAGGCTGTATTCTGTTTTTCTCTTTGCATTGTTTGGGAAAGAAACTCAAACACTGCACATATCTAAGCAATCCTATTTTAATGGAAGTTGCCCAAATCAAGAATTTTCCCTAGGACCTCCTGTATCCTTGTGATTCTAGCATTGGCAGAGGCACTGCTGTTAACGTTTATAAACTAAGACAAATAAAGTGAGATCATGTTGAATTTTAGTCCCTGCTTTCCTTTTTTTTATTTATTTCAAATGGCCACAAAAACATTCATTCAAATAGGGCAAAGAAATTTATATCCATCTTGAAAAAGCACAAAAAAATTAAGTGCCAGCTTTTGCAATAAACGTTGGGTTGGGAGGATCCGCACCCACTCCATTCCCTTCAGAGTCATCTGCAGGATTGCTATCGATTATGCAACCCCGAAAGGAGGGGGTTCAAATCTTAAAACCCACATTGGGGAGGGGAGGGGAGAGGGAAGAGGTGTAAATCTAGTTCTACAAAGTGAACAACTTCAAGGCTATAAGGTGAGGAGGCAGTAACCCTCTCATTATTAGGAGGGGGTGAATGAAGTCCAATAGATATGATTTAGCACTAATGAGGTGTGTGGCGAATTTTAAAGTTGCACTCCTTTGGTCTGTAGCAGCACCCACCCACCCAAGGGTGCTCTTTAGTTTAGCAGAGACCAAAGTGTTTATCCCCCTACCCCCCCCCCCAAACTAACCCTGCCACCATTTCCCTAGCAGGCCACATCCCGACATTCCAAGTGCCGTAATTACAGCACAGGGCGAAAGACGAATAGTTTGAAGCAACGCAGGGGCAACTGTCTTATCCCTTGGTAAAAAAATATATCTAAAGAAGTAACCAAGCTGCACTGCTATTGTCACAATGCTGAAGCACCTTGGACAGGTGTAGCTTTGATGGCTGCAGACCAGCTGTTTGTTTTGACTTGGTCAACTGAAAGGGAGAAGCGTGTACGTTCAATCCAGGCGTATAGGCCGCAGTGTACCCAGGCACAACTTCTTCTAAGGCCGGGGCAGACATGTAAGCTAGTGATGGAATACAAAGGGATAAAAGCATGAAAGCCACACGCAGGCCTTATTCTAAAGCCATCTCCTTCCCTGGCAAGTTAGATTTTGGCTTGGCTTGGATGTTTTTCATAAAGAGGCCTGCAAAGCTTTTTGCTCATTTCCACACTAATAACAGTCATATCGATGGTTCTGCAGGAGCCGATTCCAAGCCATCACCGAACTGGGAAGCTGGAAATGCAGACAGCTGTTGGGTTTTTGAGAAAGAACAGACCAAAACAAGTGGATTGTCCTTGCACAACGCTTCGTCAGTGGGCCTCCTCTCTCCACCCAAATAAAAGTTTGTTGCCACCTATTTTAACGTCAAATGAAATTGGCAAGTACCCAGGTGCTGTGAGGGCCACGATATGGAACGATCTCACCTAAGTGATCCTGTCCATGTAGGTTTCACTTTGGTCATGAAAACGTCCCCTTGTTCTCTGCGGTTCTCTAACAATCGACATTGGCTTTGGGGTTATGTTTGGCAGGCTGCCGTTCCTGAGATCCAAGACTTTTGCCCTTAATTCTCTCCCACCTGGGAGTGGGTAGAACTTAATTAATTTTTTTTAAAAAAATATCTAAAATTGGATCGTTTTTTTCAAGACACAAATGCTGGTATTGCTACAAAAAAAAGTGCACTGAGAAATGAGGAAGTGTGTAAAATTATTCCCCAGCTACCCTCCCCCCCCCTGCACGATACATTTATTTTTGCCTCTCGTGTTATTTGGAGTATGGGGACAAAGCTTCCCTTAAAGGATGTCACCAAAGAGTAATTTGGCAGGGCTGGGGAAATTAAATTGAAAAAAAAAAAAAAGGGAAATCAGGCAGACATGGGGGAAGGGGGGTTTGTTGGGGGACATCCTTAAAACTCAAAGCAGAAAATAAAATAAGCAAAACCATTTGCATCACTACGATGGGAAAGGTGTAGGGTGAGGAGATGCTGCGGCACGAAGGCCGAAAACGCCATTTTTAAATTAACTTGAGACTGAAGCAAACAACAGAGAAGAAGAAATACGTGCAGGGCTGTTCTCAGAATCATCACTTTGCTTCTTCTAAAGGTAAACAAGTAGAATTGATTCCCATTTTATGTTTTGTTTTTGTTTTGTTCCAAAAGCTATTTGAAGAGCTCCAAAGAGGGGTGGAGGACAAATAAACTGACAATGGAAGGGAAGGAAAACTGCTGCATAAATATTAATGCTGTTTTTTTTCTGTCTGGACCAGGAGGAAGAGTGGGACACTTGAGCAAAGAAGTCCAACGTGGCTTTTTCTTTTTCTGCCAGTGCCCGCCCCACCCCTCCATTTCATCTCCTGGGAAGAAGGGAAAAGAAAAAAATGGATGGGGGAAGACCCCCCACATGTGCCTGCTAGGACAGTCAAAGTCACCTGTGTCCCTACCCACCAATAAAACTCAAGTGGGAGTGCAGGTGGGGGAAACAGTGCCCCCTCCTATTCCATCAAGATCCATTATCCTTAGCCAGGAAGTAAAAGGAGGGTGGGGAAAACGCAGTCCCAATAGGATCCTGGCTTTGACCAACAGGAATATTTCACTTGTGGCGCTGGATAGTTTTCCTCTTCCTCCTCTTAAAGAAACAGCAGCACCTAAGGAGAAAGGATATCTGCACTGTATTATTACTGTATATTCCAGCGTATAAGGCAACCCGGCGTATAAGACAACCCCCGACTTCGGCGCCGAGTCACATGCCTAGAAAGTCATCTTATATGCCGGAAACTACCGTTATTTCTGGCGTATAAGATGACTCAGCGTATAAGATGACCCCCGACTTCGGCGCTGATTTTAACGCTTGCGAAAGTCGTCTTATATGCGGTAAAGTATGGTATTTCAATGAAAGGAAATGACATTTTCAGTTTATAAAATGTTAAGTTGAAAATGATTATTAGATTTTTATCCCACTTTTATACTTTATAAGGCGGCGAACATACCTAGTATTCCTTCCTCCTATTTACCACACACAACTATCCTGTGAGGTGGGTTGCACTGAAGTAGAGCGAGTGGCTCAAAGTTACCCAGCTGGCTTTCATGCCTAAGCTGGCACTAGAACTCACAGTCTCCTGGTTTCTAGCTTGGTGCCTTAATCTCTAGGCTACACTGTCTCTCTGACACTCTGACTTTATAGGTTTGCAGAAACAGAAAATCAAGGTATAGAGACAGCCAGAGAAAATATATATTTTTATGGGCCTTGCCTCTATCAGATAACCCTCTATCCAGATAACCCTCAAGTCAGTAGTTCACAGACAAAAGGATTAGCTGACCAGGGAAAATTAGCCCCAAACCAGACTGGGGTCCAAGCCAACATCTTGTGGGCAAACTGAGTGGGGCAATTAACTTAGTTTGCAACCGAGCTATCAGTCATCACTCATTAAAAGACAGCCTATGACTATCATTAGATAATTGAGAAAGTGACCTTTTGACATATAACTGAGAATGTAGCTTCCTGAGCAATTTTAGGTCAAAGTTGTTCAGGTTATAGTTGATGGAAAAGCTGCTCTCTGCTGGCATACAGGAGAGATGAGGCTGGTTAGATGGAGTAGGATATTTGCTTAGTATAAGCTTCAAAACTTCACCATGTTTTCTGGTCCTGAACCTGCTACATCGGTCATATTAGAGCCATGGCGTCTAGCTGGCTGCCATAATCCCAAGGCAGTCCTGACACACCTTCCTCTCCATCATCATCTTCCATTTTACAGTGTTTAATCCAAGCTGCAAAGGCTCCCAGCAGAACTAGGCCAAGTGAACCAGTTACTCACTTTGTGTCGTCTGCCACCTCAACCTCGGCAGGTGCCGTGATGGGGGCGTTTGAGTGGCCGGCAGTGGGGTCATCTGTGTTCAATTCCCCATTGGTAGAACTCATGACCTAAAAGAGAGCAAGCAGGTGAAGGACCAAGAATACCGGGCAGGGCTTCAGGTACAGTTGGCTTAGCCTCTTTGCAGCATCACAAATAGGGGAAATGACCAGAGAGACAAAGCAGGCCTCAGACACGCAGGCCTCATGCTGCTAAGGTACACATCAAAACTTTGCTTCTTATCTTGGTCTGCTCCTGCAGAAAGCAGCCACAGGAAGGAAGGGGGGGAGGGTGTCTGCTTGCATCCAGCCAAGCTTTCAAAGCAAAGGAGGCTGACTTTCAGAAGCCATGTGACATTCCATCCAACAGAAACCTGCTTCCAAAGGAAAATAATACAGATAGTCCTCGACTTACGACTGGTTGCTTAGCGGCTGATCGAAGTTATGATGTACCTCCAAAAGCTAATTACAACCTACAGTAGTGGCCAAAATTGTATACAGTAGAAATGCCACCTTTGGTTAAGTTTCCACCAATTTTTCTTCTAATTTCTTTATAACTGTAGCCTTATTCACTTAATAATACTATTTTACATCGCTTTCTGGGCAACCAGTCAACTCTTTGCACCATTACTTTAATTTTATTACGTTTTACAAGCTCACTCAATGAAAGAACACAAAAAAAACCAACCAACTTGATAGCGATCACATCACACACTGACAAATGTCCTCCTCTCAACTTCAATACATGACTTCAATAACTGAATCCTGCCGTGATCTGATTGGCTCATTGCCAAAGCAAGACAACATCTGATTGGCTCTCTAAACACTCACGCTCATTGGCTACAACCAGATGAAAGAAAGCTACCTGATATCAACCTAAGCAAGTTGTGCTTCCTTTTTCTGGTTATTTGGCTATATCTTTTCATAGGCTACAGTACAGATAACTGAACAAACTTTGTTGCATTACATTCTTGATTAAATTATCTTTCCACTGATATATAATTTTATGGTATTACGCCAAAAAAAGTGGTGTTATTAGCCATCAAACCTCAAAAACACTTTTCCCAAAAGGTTTCCACAATTTTGGCCACTCCTGTAGTTTTGAATTTGAAGGCCAGTTTCTCCCCATGGTCATGTGACTGCATTTGGGCGCTGGGTAACTGGCCTGCATTTATGGTCGTTTGTGCGACCGTGATTTATAACATTTTTGTTGCAAACCAGCATTTACTTCCAGCTTCTGGAAAAACGTAGCCCATAAAGAACAATAAGTTTGCTTAACAACTCTGGTGTTCACTTAACAACCACTGCAAAAAGAGGGATGTGACGATCCACTCTACAGCCGTCACGACTTACAACCGTAATTGCCAGGCTACAGTCATAAGTCAAGGACTATCTCCTTGGATCCACAGTATCTGCTTATGTAAAGGAATACATTTGTGTGTGAGGTTCAGCATCTTTATCAAATGGACAGAGAGGTCCTTAATTTTTGAACAGCTGAAGTGGTATCAGGGCTAAAACTGGTTTCCTACACAATGTCATTTCATATTCAGGAGATTCAGAAATAATAGTTCTTTCCTGAACACGCTGCTCTCTTCCTCCCTGGCCCAAAGCTGTTAGGTTTTACTTAATAGCTGTACCAATGCAAATCAGTTACATCCACTACTGGGGTTGCAGACCCAGTTTAATGTATGCTTTTAGTTGCTGGCTTATGAGGGTTCAGATTCTTGCATTAAGCGAAAGTTGGTACCTTTTCACAGATGTGCATCAGACGAGAAAGTAATGCACACAAGAGCTTGGGAGGGGCAAAGAGGAAAGAGGCAACCATGGACAAAGACCCAGAAAAGACAAGAGTGGCACTTTAAGGAACACAGCCATGAGAGCTAGAAATCCAGCACAGATGTAATTAGGTAAATTTCCTATCATACAAATGCTGCCCATTTGAGAATCCCATCATTTAAAATCCGTCCGTTGTTAACAGATTGTTGCTAGTCTTACATCAACTATTTTGATTCTGTCATCTTTACCTGATCATTATTATTATAACTATTGTCTAATCATCATTATTTTAATGTGTCTAGTCCTCGTGGAGGTAGAACAGACCATCAAGCAAGTTTATAAACTGGACAGAGCGCCTGGACATGAAGGACAGCTGCACCCAGCATGTTGGCTCACTGTTCTTTTTCCTGTTGTCCACAAATTTAAATGTTGGTATTATTCTTTGCCAAAAAGCTTTACCGAAGAGATACAAAGTACACATTAGACCTTGTTCTGAACAAACTTTGGACATTAAGGTGCAAATTAGATTAAAACCAATGTTTAATTCAGTAGCCAGATGAGAATTCCACATTGTAGAATCCTAGCCTCTTAGCACGGGCCTCTGTGCCGATTTTGTGGCTCAACAAAACCCAAATGAAACCCAACAGAATGTGATGAACATCTGCAAATCCAGGAATCTGGGTTTCCTTTATGGTCCTGGTGAGGATTTTTTGCATCTCCAAAAGCAGATGGGTCTTGCACACCAACGACAGGCAGAGGAACACAAAAGGAATGCTTACTATACATGTATATAATTTTTTCTAGATACTCTTATGGCTGAACTAGAATCCTCCCTTGCATTGAAGTGGCGCACGCGCACACAGGCAAACACACAGCAAAAACACAGGAACACGCCTTTAAGCATGATTTCTATTCCTACCTACGTTCACAAGATTTTGCTAGTAGAGTCTCTTAATTTCTACAAGTGGTTTTTGTAGAAATTTGACCTACCAAGTATGGCTTTAACATTTTCTTCTTAAAGTTTGCAAGTGTTTATATATTTAAACTCCCAAGTGGTTACGTTTCTTCCCCCTCCATCTTTTTCCTTCTCCCTTTTTTTTTGTTCCTATAATTCAGTGGTTCTCAACCTGTGGGTCAGGACCCCATTTGGGGTCGAACGACCATTTCACGGGGGTCGCCAAACAACGTAATCCGCCATTTTTTCCCCCTTTTCCTTAGCTGTGCTACTCCCTTTTATTCTATTGGCTTTTGAAAGCCAATAGAATAGACTCTCTTGAATAGAGTCTAATTCTATTGGCTTTCAAAAGCCAATAGGAATTGTCCAGGCTGTCTCTGCCCTGCTGAGCCCGCCAAAAGTCCCATTCTGCCAACGGTGCTGCACCAGTTGAGTAATCCTCGACTTACGACTGGTTGAGTAGTCCTCGACTTACGACCGGTTGGGGGGTCGCGGCATTAAAAAGGTTGAGAACCACTGCTATAATTAAAAACGTAAAGTTCCCCTCCTGAAGCCAAACAAACCTGATTTCTTACAGGAATCACTCATTACGAAGAAAGGAATTTTCTTTACTTTTTTCACACGATTTCGGGGAGCCAAGCAGAATGAGCAATGAGGAGAAAGGCGAACTATCTAGTTCAAGGCAGAACAAACTGCATTTCAGTATTTCTGAAATGGTCCACGTGCCATCAAAACAGGACTGAAAAGCAAATTGGTGCCACGGTGGCTGGACCAGGGGTAGTCAACCTTGGCTCTTTTATGACTCGTGGGCTTCAACTCCCAGAATTCCTGAGCCAGCTAAGCTGGCTCAGGAATTCTGGGAGTTGAAGTCCACGAGTCATAAAAGAGCCAAGGTTGACTACCCCTGGTCTGGACATACAGAGGGTCACGGGGGAAAAACTCAGAAGATTTCCATGGCATGGCTGGGGTCCGGCGGCAGCAGGTGGGGCACCCCCCCCACACACACACCTCCAATCTCCCGTCCCATCCCTCTCATGTACCTGAATGGAACCCCCAAGCCTGCTGGCTGCCAGGGGGGCTCCCAGGGCGTCCTCAGCAGGCTGCTGGCCAGCCTGGGGATCCCAAAAGTCGGTCCCCTCAGGTGACTGCTCATGACGGAGGCAGGAAACAAAGGGGAAAAATCACAGTAATCATTTTTTTAAAAAAAAAATGGGATTAGGGAGACAGAAAGATGGGGGATTTTGAAGACAGGTGAAGAAATGGGAAAAATAACCACATGCAAAAGGAAAAAGAATTTGAAACAGCCTAGAAGTGCAAATCAATACAGCATCCCTCAAATGTCATCAGCATGGCCAGGTAGAGAGATGGGCACGCTCCATCCTGGAGCGCCGACCATGTTCCCTGCTCCCTTCGGAACCTCTTTGAGTTTGCCAGAAGTTATGTTTGCCCCACCTATCCCACAGCGCCTCAAATTTGTGGTTCCTCGTTGCATTTGCATAAATTTCAATGTCCAAAAATATTACAGGTCAATTTCCCACCTTCGCTGCCTCCCACGCTTTGTTTACAATGGCTGCATTTTTGCAACCTATGTCAGCTGCTACCCCGGGGGGAGGGAGGGCAGGGTATTTCTTTAGTATGGCAGTAGTGCGCAACTGTAGATGCCCCTGCAAACAAGAAGCCGCCTTTCTGTTGCTGTGTAGTTGCGGGGGTCATTCAGCAACACACACACACACACACACACACACACACACACACACACACACACTTTAAAATCCAGGGTGTTCCCATCAGGATCAGAATCCACTGTCACCAGGCAGAGAGGATCACCCACCTTGTTTCTTTTCTACCTATGCTTCTCCCAAGAGGCAGTCATAGGGAAGGACACACAGTGTGGAAAGTGGAAAATAATCTCAGTCCTTACACAATGCCTATTTTTGTTAAATCTTCTTATAGGTTGCTAACAAAGAATAAAGAGAGAACTGGTATAGCTATTTCGAGTTCCTTTAACTCTCTTCAGCCAGACTTACTCTTCTGAGATTCGAACCTGGGCTATCTGCATGTTAGGCAGATATATTTTCTGAGGTTTTCGCGGGTGTTTGTATGTAGGTCTTTGGTTATTCGGGTTTTCTCCCGCGTAAAATTGGAAGTGTCTTGGCGACGTTTCGACGAAGTCCCATTCATCATCTTCAGGCTGGTGTTTTCAGCTTCGTGCTCCTCGAAGCACGAAGTTGAAAACACCAGCCTAAAGATGACGAATGGGACTTCGTCGAAACGTCGCCAAGACACTTCCAATTTTACGCGGGAGAAAACCTGAATAACCAAAGACCTATATATGTATGTATGTATGTATGTATGTATATATATATGTATGTATATGTCTGTTTCTGATCTCTGTTCTAAAAGAAGAAACCACTTCTTTTAGGACAGAACAGCCTAAGAACCACCTGCTGGGTCAGGTCAAGGCTCACCTTAGCTCAGCGTTTTGTTCACCACAAAAGATGGATGGATCTGCAGTGCGTACAAAGAGGCGAACGAGACCTGCTACTCTAACAACGCTGTCCTCTACCTGGGATTTGAAGGTATGCAGTCCCCAGACCAGATGCAACGTGGAGTCTCCAGGCCCAACAGTCCTTGATGGACAATGAATTTACCCAATCCCCTTCTAAAGCCAACCGCCAGGGTTTTCCGGTGGGCAGGGCCCAGGAGAAAAGCCTTCTCTGTCATTGAGCCTGCCCTTTGGAATACCTTGCCTCCCAGAGAAGCGGGCTTCAATCCTGCAGATCTTCCGTGAGAACTTAAAAGACCTGGCTCTGCCCAGTATGGTATTAATAACAGATCCCACCACCCCATTTGCTCATGCGACTCCCTCCCCATCTTTTAGTTAGGGTTGAGGATTTGTATTTTTATTGTATTTTGCTTGTATTGTGTATAGGCTTTGTATAATTTTGCCCTCTTAATAATGCACAATGCCCAGAGTTACCCTGTGGTACGATGGGCAGCCAATACATTTAATAAATAAAAATAAATAATAAAAGTTGCCCAAGTTAATAGCGTCGTGCTTTGTGATAATGAATTTATGTTAATGGCAATGTAAGGCAACGCCTCCTTTCCAAACATTCCACGAATCCCTGCTCCTAATGTTTTGAGAATGAGAGAGGTTTCTCTTTCTTTAGGACAGGAACCTGGGCAGCCTGAAGATCTGCGGACTTCAACTCCAAGAATTCCCCCGACAGCCATGCTGGCTAAGGAATTCTGAGAGTTGCAATCCACAAGTCTTAAAGGTTTCCAAGTTTGGACACCCCTGTTTTAGGCCATGCATGATTTTGGACAACTCAACCTATCTTTTTTTGCTAAGTGAAAGGACCCCAAATATTTTGGCTTTTCTCATAAGAAAGGTGAAATCCTTCAATTATTTTGGTTGCTATTATATCTCTTATGGTGACCGGAACTGTCCGCATGAGACCAAATGCAGATGAACCCATAGGTGTTGGCTTACAACCACAATTAGGACCAGAATTTCCATTGCTAAGCAAAGCAGTTGTTAAGAATGTTTGATTTTATGACCTTGCTTGCTTCGTTGTTAACTGAATCGCTGTAAGTTGTTATGTTAATCACACGGTCATTAAGCAAATATGGCTTCCCCCTTAACTTTTGCTTGTTGGAAGCTGCTGGGAAGGTTGCAAATGGCAACCTTCCCAGGATACTGGAATCATCACAAATACATGCCAGTTCTGATCTGATGATTATAGTCCTGTTGCAATGGTTGTATGTGTGAGGACTGGTCATAATTTATTTTTTTCAGTGCCGTTGTATCTTCAGATGGTCACTAAACAAATGGTTGTAAGTCGAGGATTATCTGCATACAAGCACACTGCAATGTCACCGAGCTATGTTTTCCTAATTAGGCCTAGCACTGAATTTGCCTTTTTCATATTTAGTACACACTGAGTTGACACATTAATATAACTCTCCATTATGACCCAAGATTTTTTCTTGGTTATTTACAGAAGCTGACCCCCCATCATTATATTCATGAACTTAGTTTTTTTTTTTAAAAAAAAAATTCCCAGTGTGCATCACTTTACATTTCCTTAAACCATTGCCTGACCATTCACCCAATTCAGAGAGATACCCGTAAATGCCGGCGTATAAGATGACTTCCGCGAGCGCTGAAATCGGCGCCAAAGACGGGGGTCGTCTTATACGCCGAGTCGTCTTATACGCCGGAAATACTGGTAGTTTCCGGTGTATAAGACGACGTTCTAGGAATGCGGCCCGGCTATAAAGACGGGGGTCGTCTTATACGCCGGGTCGCCTAATACGCCGGCATATACGGTATGTCTGCCAAAATGAAAGTGTTTATCAGACTGAACAGCTTGCTGCCACCTGCAAACTTGATCAGCATACTGTTTATCCCTACCTCATAGTAATTTATTGAGTTTTAAACGCTAGCTCCAACAGAGACTTTTCTCATATTCCGCCTTTAAAGGAAAGGTCCCATTTACTGCTGCTTTGCTCTTTGATTTTGAACCAGTTAGCAATCCATAAAAGCTACTATTCCAGATCAATTACAGTTTACTAAAGACCCTCTGATGAGAAATTTTGTCCAAAGAGTTTTGAAAATCCAAATATATAACATGGTCAAAGAGTGGCCAACTAACATTCTCAAAAACTTAAAATGGTTGGCAAGCCAAGATTTAGCCTTGCAGAATCCATGCTGGCTATCTATTGTCAGGGCTTCTTCATCTATGTCCTTAATTTAAAAAAAAAAAAACTGTTTATCAAGCAATTGGACTACAATAACTTGCTCAGATTTAGCAGTGTTGCAGTTTCTGCAACAGCTCCTACTTTGCTTGGAGTCCAATACCAAGTAAGAGGGATTAACACCTTTAACACTGAATATGGCTTAGCATCCAAGCACCTACTGGAAAGTTTATCCTGATGTATATACAGGTAGTCCTCGTTTAGTGATCACAATTGGGACCACCAATTTAGTTGTTGCTAAGTGAAATAGCACCTATGCTTTGTTTTGTAGACCCGCGAAGGTCGTAAAAGTGTGGACTTGAGTTGAGAAATTTGTCATCACTGCTGTAACTACAGTTGCTAAAATGAGATGGTCACTAAATGAGACAGTCACTAGATGAGGCCTGCCTGTAAGGGTCTATAGCAGTGGTTCTCAACCTGTGGGTCGGGACCCCATTTGGGGTCGAACGACCATTTCACGGGGGTCACCAAACAACGCAGTCCGCCATTTTTTTCCCCTTTTCCTTAGCTGTGCTACTCCCTTTTATTCTATTGGCTTTTGAAAGCCAATAGACTAGACTCTCTTGAATAGAGTCTAATTCTATTGGCTTTCAAAAGCCAATAGGAATTGTCCAGGCTGTCTCTGCCCTGCTGAGCCCGCCAAAAGTCCCATTCTGCAAATGGTGCTGCACCAGTTGAGTAGTCCTCGACTTACAACCGGTTGAGTAGTCCTTGACTTACGACCGATTGGGAGGTCGCGGCATTAAAAAGGTTGAGAACCACTGGTCTATAGGAATGCTCTTGAGAGACAGGAGGAATCGGTCAAGAGTAGACAACAGGCCGTTCAGCCCACAGAAGGAATGGGGGAGTGACAAATGTCTTTAGAAGGGACCCTCCCTAGTTTCTTAGACTCTAAAGATGAGGGGGGACAAATATACTTTCAGATTTACCAGACTTTACAATATTGTTATGCATGGTGGGGTGGATAGGCCGAGACTTGGTTTTAGCCCATAAGAACTTTAAGGGAAGAAATATGGGAGATTTCCACTCCAGAGGAAATGAGGGGACTGCTACAAAGAAGAGGGAGTCAAGCTGAGCAGGGGGTTGGACTAGATGACCTCCAAGGTCCCTTCCAACTTTATTATTATTATTATTACTACTACTACTACTACTACTACTACTACTACTACTACTACTACTACTAGTACTACTACTACTACTACTATTATTATTCTCCAAAGCTCCTGAAGGCAGGACAAGACACAACGGATGGAAACTAATCAAGGAGAGAAGCAACCTAGAACTAAAGAGAAACTTCCTGACAGTCAGAACAATTAACCAGTGGAACAACCTGCCTCCAGAAGCTGTGAATGCTCCAACACTGGACGTTTTTAAGAAGAGACTGGACAGCCATTTGTCTGAAATGGTATAGGGTTTCCTGCCTGAGCAGGGGGTTGAACTAGATGACCTCCAAGGTGCCTTCCAACATCATCATCATTACTACTACTACTATTATTACTATTATTATAGGGGGAGGGGAATAGGAACCTAGCATCTTCTCAGTGTCTGCCACCCTTCCCAAACATCTTCCTTTTTGAGACATTGGAATGGCTCCAACATCCTGCATGCCAGAAAAATCTTAATACTTTCTGGATTCTGCAGAATACTTTTTGCTTTAATACTTTCTGGATTCTGCAGAATACTTTTTGGGCTGCCTTAATTAGCTAGATTGGATTGTTGAAGGTTTTGACTGCATCCTTCAATTCAATTCAATTCAATTTTACTTATGGCCAAAAGGCCCAAAAGACCTACTGTCATTTTATTATATTTTAGTGTAACCCAATATTTTTCAACCTCAAATCCCTGAAATTTGAGTGTTGAAATCTATACAACACGACCAGGTAGATAAACCAAGAACCCACTCAATATAGGGATGAAAAAGTGGTAGTTTTCATTTAAAACATTTGATTAACTGTGGGTTAAATTATATTCTGCCTATTAGCCACTGTGCAAAGGCCAAATTCAATAAATTCTGAGGTCATGCCAAAGCCCCGTCCAATAAGTCCTCTAAGAAAAAGAGTTGGTGATATAAAGTGGCTGGGAAAAAAAACACAAGCAAGGATCTTCATTATAGAATTCACTATTGCACCTTGGACATCATAGAAGAAGCTTTCCAAATGCTGGAACTTGTAATGAACAAGCCATTAACACACCGCAGTCTGCCTGGCCAATGGTGAAGGGATTTTGACGTAATCAAGTCTTGCTAGTGTTATCTTAGCACATCACTCAGGACTAGAAGAATTGAGTTGGGTGGACTCCATATTTCCAAAATGGTGGTTCAGACACTGTTATTGTGATTATAGCTGATTAGGCTGAACATGCGCAAATCCAGCCAGGAGTCTTTAGAGAAGAAATCTAGGTTAATATAGATTAATATAGACACGTCCTATACACGGGGCTTCAAGGGCACAGACAGCTAGTAAGATGTCCATCCCATTACTAGTGGATAACATATTTCATATTTTCATTCAAAATATTTTTGGGGACCCAATGGGGAAAAAACCCTGCAAAAGATTTGACCAGTCAAGTTAGACAACTAGATTAACAGAGAAAGGCAGCAGAATGGAGGCCCGTACCCAAAAAATACATCCTCTGCCTTTATGCAGAAGGTCCGGGGTTCTGCTCTTGGCCTCTCCAATTAAAGGTGGCAGGGTAGGAAATGACCCTGCTGTGCAGTGAGATTTAAGGATAGCCCTGCAGATGTTTGGAATTACAGCTCCCACGATTATCTTACTGCTGGTCATGCTAGTTAGAACTCATTTATTTATTATATCCCGCCTTTATTATTTTTATAAAGAACCATTTCGATAAACAAGGGGGGCAAACCTATCAAATGCTCCTCCTTCTTCCTATTTTTCCCACAACATCAAAAACCCTGTGAGGTGAGTTGGACTGAGATGAGAGAGAGTGAGTGGCCAGGCTGGTTTTCATGGCTACAGCTGGATTTGAACTCACAATCTGCCGGTTTCTAGCTTGGTGCTTTAAGCACTGCACCAAGCTGGCTCTCTTATGGAAGTTGAAGTCCAAAACCTAAGGAGAGAACTAGACCATCTATCCCAGGTATGTTAAACTCGCGACATCACACGACGTATCGGAGGTTTTCCCCCATTGCTGGCAATGGGGTGGGCACAGTTTTGTTGTGACGTGTCTGGCCCGTGGGCCGGCAGTTTGATACCCCTGATCTATCCCAACCATTATCAGTATGAAGAACCATTATTCTGGATCAAGATCAGATGTCTTCACATCAAGCCATGTTTTAGCCACACTTCCATGGGACAAAGATATCTCTGGTTCTGTCCACCAGGTGGCACCAAGCCTCCATTTCCAGGTTTATTTATTTATGAGACTTATATACCGCTTTAAGTACAAGCACTCTCTAAGCGGTGTACACCAGTAAGCAATGTATATATATATATATATATATTTACATTGCCCCCAACAATCTGGGTCCTCATTTACCTACCCCGGAAGGATGGAAGGCTGAGTCAACCTTGAGCCGGTGAGATTTGAACTGCTGACCTGCTGAACACAGTCAGCTAAAGTGGCCTGCAGTACTGTACTCTAACTGCAGGTGCCACCTGCCTCCCTTGTCAGAATAACTTACAGGAGGGGTTCCCAGTCTTGGCAACTTTAGGCCATGTGGACTTCAACTCCCAGAATTCCCTAGCCAACATGGCAGGGCTGGCTGGGAAATTCTGGGAATTGACGTCCACACATCTTAAAGTTGCCAAGATTGGGAAAACCTGCCTTATACTACTTCTGCTGCACAAATTAAACCTGTGATCTGACTCTCATTTAAGTTACTCACCTAAACACATTCTGACCCTAGGAAAGAAATAAGCAGATCAATAAATCAAAGACTAGTTACCTGCTGTTTGATGTACTGCTGTGCTTTCTCCCTGTTTGGAGGCTGGACTTGTACGTCACTCTGGATTGTGCCAATAGGGGTTGGCTGCAAAAGGGAGGAGAGAAATAGGCAAACATTCAGTGTTTTCTCCACCAATTTAGACAATTGGGCTTTAAAATGTGACCCATCCAGGGGTCTTCTAGGAGAACAAATGCCTCTCTCCCCAAGAAAAGAGAATCAAATGTCTTGAAATAGTCAGGTTGTTTGGTTATCCCAGAGGTCTTCAAACTTGGCCCTTTTATGACTTGTGGACTTCAACTCCCAGAATTCCTCAACCAGGCACGTTTGCCTGACTGAGGAATTCTGGGTGTTGAAGTCCACAAGTCATAAAAGGGCCAAGTTTGAAGACCCCTGGGTTATCCTGTCTTTCTATAATCAAATGCCCAAGACAGCCAAAAGAAACCAATGGTCCAATACAGGAAGTCCTCAAATTACAGCTATTCATTTAGTGACAGTTTGAAGTTACAGCAGCACTGAAAAAGTAACTTCTCACCATTTTTCACACTTACGGCTGTTGCAGCATCCCTACGGTCACATGATCAAAATTTGGATGCTTGCCAACCGGCACGTGTTTATGACAACTGCACTCTCTGGGGGTCAGTGTAATCGACATTTGTAACCTTCTCATCCAGCTTCTGACAAGCAAAAGGGGAAGCCAGATTCGCCTGAAGACTGAACAATTCACTGACCAGCTGGAGTGATTCACTTAAGAACTGTGGCAAGGAAGGCCGTAAAAATGGGGCAAAACTCACTTAACAACCTTCCTGCTTAGCAACAGAAAGTTTGGACTCGGTTGTGGGGGGTAAGTTGAGGACTGCCTGTTAATACAGAATAGTGGCCTTGATATTTGCTCCTTCCCTCTGAGAATGGACAGTGTACAGATAGTCCTTGACTTACAACTAGTTGCTTAGCAACCATTCAAAGTTATCACGGACCTAATTTGGGGCTACCTACAGCCGGGATTTGTTGTTCCGCCTAGCAGTCACTTGACTGAACTTTGAATCTTTGGCAACACAACGGCCATCTAGGCCTGTTTGCAGCATCCCAAGGTCACGTGACTGTATTTTACAACAGTTTTGCAAAAAAACACCATTTATACTTGGTTTTTGGCAAAACACACCCGTAGCAAACCACATTAACGACCACTGCATTCATTTAACAAGTGCCCAGAGTCTCTTGACACTGAGATGGGCTGTATATACATTTCATGAATAAAATAAAATTGAAAACTGTGGCATTCCCTTCATGACTGCTACATGACCAACCCATTTTACAATTGTCGCAACTTACGACCGTGATAAAGAGGCACCATTATGGTCATAAGTCAAGGACCATCTGGACAGCTGTACTCATAATTGAGAAGTTGCAAAAAGCACCAATTTCTTACTTTAATAGGAAAAGTGCAACCTTGGCCATTAGTAAGACACTATTTGTACTTACTTTCCAGATCATAAAGGTGATTCTCAAGAAGTGTTATAACAATCCACATAATATTTGACATCTTTCTTGAAAATATTTGGGTGATGAATTGTTTGTGCTTATGTCATAGCACAGGGGTAGGCAACCTTGTCTCTTTTATGACTCGTGGACCTCAACTCCCAGAATTCCTGAGCCAGCCATGCTGAGGGGAAAGGGAGGTTTCCAAGCTGAGCCATGCTGGCTCAGGAATTCTGGGAGTTGAAGTCCACGAGTCATAAAAGAGCCAAGGTTGTCTACCCGTCATAGCATCTCTGCTAACTTCCTCCACTGAACAAAAAGGCTGTTTATGTGTGAGAGAGAGAGAGAGAGGGAGGGAGGGAGAGAGAGAGAGAGGGAGGGGGAGGGGGAGAGAGATCTTTCTCCACCCACAGACCTCCCTGGCTGCTACTTACTAAAGGTTTCCCAGCCCAGTCGTATTCATAATCAAAGACGTAGCCATTCCGGTCAAACAGATCAGTGAAAAGTTTCCGTAGATAGTCATAATCTGGCTTTTCAAAGAAGTCCAGACGTCGCACGTAGCGGAGGTATGTGGCCATCTCCTCTGCAAAAGAAAAAGGGCACATCTGCTATTTAAAACTCAAACCAGGAGGAAAAATGCAGGCGTGACGCTCAACAAAATGAAAATGGCGGCAACACAGACAGGAGCTAAATTTATGTGACTGCCCTGGAGAAATCAGCAACTGGAAACACAAATGAGGGGGCTGAGTATGGTCTGGATTCTACCAAAACTACAGATTATAGCGAGTCCTCAACTGACGACCACAACAGAGCTCAAACTTTCTGTTGCTAAGCAAAGATAGTTGTTAAAGTTTTGCTCCACTTTACGATCTTTCTCGCCACAGTTTTTAAGTGAATCACTGCAGTAATAATAATAATAATAATAATAATAATAATAATAATAATAATAATAATAATAAGTTGGAAGGGACCTTGGAGGTCATCAAGTCCAACCCCCTGCTCAGGAAGGTAACCCTATACCATTTCGGACAAATGGCTGTCCAGTCTCTTCTTAAAAACTTCCAGTGTTGGAGCATTTACTGCTTCTGGAGGCAGGCTGTTCCACTGATTAATTGTTCTCACTGTCAGGAAGTTTCTTCTTAGTTCTCTCCTTGATTAGTTTCCATCCGTTGCTTCTTGTCTTGCCTTCAGGTGCTTTAGAAAATAGCTTGACTCCCTCTTCTTTGTGGCATCCCCTGAGATATTGGAAGACTGCTATCATGTCCCCCCTCGTCCTTCTCTTCATTAAACTAGACATACCCAATTCCAGCAACCGTTCCTTATATGCTTGTTAAGTTAAGTTGTTAAGTTAGTAACACGGTTGTTAAGTGAATCTGACTTTCCGATCGATTTTGCTTGCCGGAAGGTCACAAAAGGTGATCACATGACCATCAATACATGCCAGCTGCCGAGCATTCAAATTTTAATCATGTGACTGGGTATGCTGCAACAGTCATTAAGTGTGAAAAAAGGTCATAAATTGCTTTTCCCACTGCCATTGTAACTTCAGTCATTAAACAAATGGTTATAACTCGAGGACTACCTGTACACTATCCTCACAAAGGATTCACAGGAAGAGATGGGATACCTCTTACAAAACAGGGAAGGAGATTTGGGCAAGAGCCTTACCAATCTCATCAGGAGAGCATTCAACTACTAGAACAAGAGAGGGAGGGTGGCAAAACTCAGACATATGCAGTTGTGGACTCGGCCCAAGAAAGCTGGATGATCATCAGGATGGGGACTCAGTTTTGCAAGAAATTGCAAGAGAGGTGCCAGTGGACGGTACCCAAAACTTCAGATGCTTCTATTATACTTGTGCAGTGTTTGGGACAGAACAAAATGGAGAAATAAGAGATGTGGACTCAGGAAGTCAAGTATGATGGTGGGATGATATTTATGATTGGCACACAATGCTGGAAAGTCACAATCTATTCAAAAGGAGCAGACCCAAGGGAAAAAAAGGGTGGGGATGTAAATGGAAATCCTGCTGGAAGTATCTCGGATAGAATACTGTCAAAGAAGCAAGAAATAAACTAGGGATCACTGCGATAATTTATTGCAGACCACCTGGACAGGCAGAAAATCCGGGTGAGATCTTTCTGCATCAATTTTTTTCCCAAAAAGGCATGCAATCGTGATCGTCCTTCTGGGAATCCAACTTTGCCAAGAGTCAAGAGGTCTAGCAAAGTCCTGTCCTCTCTTATCGCCAGCTTTATTTCTCAAAAGAAAGAAGAACGATCAAGACAAACCTAATTCTCATCTAATCTTGGATCTAATCCTCACCAACAAAAAGGAATTAGTTGGAAGAATTTAAGGTGATTGGTACCTTGGTGCACAAGGATCATGTTATCTGTGAATTTGGAGGAGGAGGAGGAGGAGGAGGAGGAGGAGGAGGAGGAGGAGGAGGAGGAGGAGGAGGAGGAGGAGGAACTGAAGAGAGTCAGACCTCCTGTCAGGCTTCAGAAAAGCTGATCTGATAACTTCAAGGGAAAGTGGGTCAGATCCAAAGGCTATAAATCTTGAAGGAGAAAAGGGTCCAAGAAGGACAAGGGAAATTCTATTAAATGAAATGATTTGATGGTGTTGACACTTTTGCCCAGGAGGGTATGTCTCCAACTTCCAACTCTGCAATAACTGAGACATCCATCTTGTTGCTGGCCATCCTATTCTCTTTCTTCTCTATCACATACAGATAGTCCTCAATTTACAGCAGTTCATTTAGTGACCATTCAAAGTTACAACAGCACTGAAAAAAGTGACTTATGACCGTTTTTCACGGTTACAATCTTTGGGGCATCCCCATGATCACGTGATCAAAATTAAGCTGCTTGGCAACTAGTTCATACTTATCACTGTGGATGTGTCCCAAAGTTGTGTGATCCCCTTTTGCAACCTTCTGACAAGCAAAGTCAAGGGGGAAGCCAGATGCACTTCACAACCAGGTTACTAACTTATCAACTGCAGTAATTCCTTTAACAACGGTGTCAAGAAAGGTCGTAAAATGGGGCAAAACTTACTTACCAAATGTCTCACTTAACAACATAAATTTTGGGCTCAACTGTGGTCAAGGACTACCTATTAAGGTGTCCAAAATAATTATAATCTGAGCCTGATCATTTGTGCGGTTGAGAACTCTTAGGTTGATGATCCATTTGCTTTTTTACTTGGCTACGAAAGGAGATGCTGAATGTGTTATCACAAACAACACAAGGAAAAATGAAACGGACAAATGCAGAATTCTCTAAAATGCTGAAGAGGAAAAAAAAGGGACATAATTAAGTAATAAAAGTTGAACACAACAATTAAGAGTACAAAGAGAAGCTAAAATGAACTGAGGTTTGCAAGATACCCAAAATAGCCCCAAGCGTTATTTAAAAAAGGAGAAAGTGATGGAGTGATGTTGTGCTTTGGTGAGACAGCAGAATTTCATGAATGAAGGCGAATATATGTGTCTCAGGATAACCTGGGTCGGTCACCGAGACCAAAGGTTTAGTCTTCCGAGCTTTTAGACTTGTGCTGGAGCCCATTCTCAGGGAATTTCTCTCTCACCAGAATGTATGCCTTGGTCTATTCTATGCGTAGTATTTATGTGGTGCCTGGTTGTGTGTGGGTTTTGTTTTTTTTTAAAAGGCAGAATTTCTTACTTCTTATTTTGCTACTGTCTTTTCCCAGAAGGTAAATGGAGCCCTAGCTGATCATGATCATGCCATTGGGGAAAAGTAAGGAACTGCAGTTTAGGACAGGCAAAAAAAAAAAAAGGGGGGGGGAATAAGAATTCAAAACCAGTGGAAAACTAGAAGAGACTGATTTTCAGTCAGTTCTGAGAATTCCTGCAAGACCAATGAGGTCTCATAAGACTGGAGGAGAGGAAAAATCATCCCCATCTTTGAAAAGGGAAACAAAGAAATTACAGAACTGGCAAGCTTGGTATCTACAGTGGGTAAGATCTTCAAATAAATTGTCAAGGTGTACACTGGGAGTACCTGAATATCCATGCTACAGTTTAACTGGATTTTTCACAAACAAATCATGACAGGTTACTGAATTGTCTTCTTTCACAGAATTATTAGTTTAATAGATCAAGGGAATGCCACAGACACAGTGCAACGCAGCAAAAGCTCTGAGCAGAACATTTTGCTTCACAAAATGTGAAATATGGGTTAGAAACTACTGCCGTTAGATAAGCTCAAAACAGTTGAGGGAAATATTGAGCGGTGGGTCTCAAGGCTCTATTCTGGGTCCTTTGTGCCATTCAACATTTTTATCACTGGAATTGAGAGGGCTCTTATAAAGTTTACAGATGACACAAAACTGGAAGATTCCAGATGACTTAAACGAAAAGGTAAAGATTTCCACTATCCAGTCGTGTCCGATTCTAGAAGGCAGTGCTCATCTCTGTTTCTTAGCTGAGGGAGCCAGCATTGTCCAAAAACCCTGGCGATGGTCATGTGTCCAGCATGACTATATGCCGAGGCACACAGAATGCTGTTATCTTTCCGCCAAAGTGGTACCTATTTATCTGCTCACATCTGCATGCTTTCTAATTGCTAGGTGGGCAGGAGCTGGGCAAGGAATGAGAGCTCATCCTGTTGTGTGGCACTCGGGTCTTGAACCTCCATCTGACAAGCTCAGCGTTTGTAATCACCGCGCCCACCCACCCCTATATGGTTTACATAGGCCCAATTAGTGGCTTGAAATGAATAAAACCAAATAAAATTGAATTTAACAAGAGGAAACCTGAAGTTCTACATGTGGGTAGGAAAAACGATTTTATTACGCAAGCTGTACTGGCTGCCAATATGCTTCTGGGTGTAAGTCAAGGTGTTGGTTATTACCTTTAAAGCCCTTTATGGCATGAGTCTAGGGCAGAGGTCCCCAACCTTTTAGGCACCAGGGACCGGTGCCATGGAGAAAGGTTTTTCGGTGGACCAGAGGGGGTGTGGTTTTGAATACTGCCTGCATCCTGAGGATGGAGCTTTGCTTATTTGTGCGGCCCGCTTGCTGGCATACTGCGGACCAGTTCCAGTCCACGGACTGGGGGATGGGGACCCCTGGTGTAGGGTATCTACAGGACCTTCTTTCCCCAGTGGGATTGGCCCACCCCATTCATGCTGGAATCCGCCCTGTCTCTTTTAGCCTTCAGGAGGAGCTTTAAAACCTGGTCATGCCGGCTGACATGGGAGAAGCTGTTGGCTGGTGGTGGTTGGTGCACTAACAGAGAAGGCACACCCCCCCACCTCTTGTTTTAATTTTTGCAATTTTAATCTGTTTTCGTATTTATAATTGCAGTTATATCTTGTTTTATCCTGATGTAAACCACTCACAGTCTCATGAACTGCGAGATGGGCGGCCAATAAATTTGATAATAAAATGAAAAATGTAAGGGCTAAGTATAAAATGGGAAGACATCTGATTTGGCCATCGTACATGTAAAAAGGAATCTAGGTGTCCTTGTCAAGCACAGTTAAACGTACACCAGCAGGGTGATGTAGTTGCTAAAAAGGCAAAGTCTACCTTAGGGAACATCTGCTGTATTGGGAGTTTCTAGTCATCCATCAGGCCTAATATTTCCATTGCTTAGGTAGTCAAAATAGCACTATCCACACCCAAACCGGAAGGGCTTACCAGGATAAACCACCAAGGGTTTAGTAATCCAAAACATTTTAGAAATACAAACAGGACTGTGCATGTTTAGCAACCCCAAAAGTTTGCTGACCGTTATTTAAGCATGGACGAGAAAACCGAGGGGGGCGGAATGGAAAAGAGTAAGCTCTCCCCAACTTAATTCCTTGAATTTGCAGCCAGGACAATGAAAGCTGGCACAGAATATTTTTAGAAGAAGATGTAATCCACAAGATGGGTGGCATATCGATTTAATAAAATAAAAATAAATAATCAGGCAGCATTGTGAGCAAAGACAACCTACAGTACAACCCTTGACGGCAAACCAAGCTTAACCTTAACTATGGTCCTTTGATATAAACTGCCTCCTCCCTTTTCAATTATCTGAATCTCTCTTCCTGGCAGTGAAACCAGATACTGTCTCTGCAGTTGCCGGAGATCCTTACCAGGGAAGCTTTCACACAGCACTTCAACGGGTGTGGCTCTCTTGGTATCGCCAATCTTCTGGTACCGCTCTTTCAGGGTGTCCGCCTAGGAAGAGACACCAAGGGTGGGAAGCAGGAGGAGAGAGGTGTCAGGTCAGGCTGTAGAAGCCGGGTGTTTCATAGGGAAAGAGTGCCAAGAAAAACACAACTGTTCTGCAAGACATTGGCTAAATTGTGAGGATTGCACAAAACGTGCACCAGGCATTTATTTGCCCAGGTGGACTAATAACAACAAAAACACATTACTGCAATTACATGTTTTTACTGAGGTGTGTACAGATCAGAAAAACACTGTACTATAATTACAAAACCCCATCCCATCCAGTTAATTCACAATTTAGTAACCAAACCAGTAAATAGATATTAATAGCCAAGACAAACAAAAAGACAGGATCCAAAAGGTGGTTTTTAAAAGACCTTGCAGTGCAATCAAGCGCCTATAAATTCATCATTGAAACAAGGCAGGGCTTAACCTAGGAATGGTCAACTGAGGAGAGAAGGCTGGGTTGACCAAGCACTAACTCCTTTGTCAGATAAAAGGGTCTTTAACTCCTTTTAAGGGCTGTTTGCAGTAGCAAAAGGAAAAACATGCAAATGCTTAAAATTCGGTTCGTTTAAATTTGCATATTTTCCCATAGAGATAGGACTCACCTTGAGGCCTTGCCAAGGCAGACTTCCCCGGAGGAAGTACATGAACATGTGACCAAGTGCTTCCAGGTCATCTCTTCGGCTTTGTTCTACACAGATCACAAAAAATCTGAATGAATCAAGAGCATTCTTGCAATTACATTGCTTTAAAAAAAATGCTTCTGATTGGGTCTGCATACTGCAAACCACCGCAAGGTGGGAAATGATTTGATTGACTTAGTGTACTTTATGAACACCACCGCATTTGTAAATCATGGTTCAGGGTTTATTCTATGGTGTGAACTCCGCTATTTATGACTTACTCAATAAAGCATTGAATGGAGAGCATGATGTAAACCCAGCTAAGATACCCAGTGTAGTAGACCATATATGACTTAATCCTGTCTCACTCCTCTGTGTCTAATAATCACCAGGATAAAGAAGTAAATTATAAACATTCATTGCATCTTTGTCATCTATGAAAGAATCTATCCAGATAACCTGCTTCTGACAGTAGAAAACAAAACGATTCAAGGACACCCCCCTCCAAATAAGGTTTATTCAACAATTCAGCAAGTCTTTAAATGTAGAATTCAGAGACTGCCCTGACCATGGTTCCAAACCATGACAGCCAATAGCCTAAACTATTTTCACGCAACAGAGGCATATTATGGTTTGTTTGTTTATATTTTTGCTTGCTGCATGATCCTAGCTAACTGCAAGTTATTCAATGAGCCATGAATACAGGACCTGAGGTTTAGAATACAAGTGTTAGACCTCATTTGCACACTTTGTAGCACTGAGTCCTGTAAAGTCTGTATTGTCTCCAGCAGAGACTGCATCAGTCGTAAATATGTCTACTTATGCTGGGCAGAACCCTCCAACCGTAACCCTCTGCGGGTCTCCTTGAAACTGTGATTTGAAGTTGGTGGATGTGCAAAACTGCAAGGACAATAAGCAGCAAGCAAAGCAGTGAGAAATTAGCAAACATATCGTGCCAGCTCTTGTGCAAGAAAGTATTTTCTTCTAGTGCAAAGACACTTTTTGCTACACAACAGTTCCAGGGAAATTTTGAATCAACCTGCAATCCGTTTCACAGAGAAAACCACTTCCAAAAGCATTGCCAAGAAAACTGCAGGGACTGATCCAGACAGTCGTCAAAAGTTCACAGCAACTCAGAGGGACAGACACAGACACACAGACAGACAGACACTAGTGAGGGAAAGCAGCTTTTTAATTTTTTGTTAAAGTGAGATTTATGAGAATTCCCCTTCCCCGCAGACACCTATCTTCCATCCCTCTCTCCCCCTCCCTGGAAACATGTCAGGAAGTGCCCCTTCTTCACCTTTCCCCAGGTGAGTATTGATGCTCATGTACCGCGCCGTTCCCGTCAGACTCTTGTGCTCTCGGTAGGGGATATGCTTTTTGGTCTCTGGGTCAATGTACTCTTTGGCCAGGCCAAAGTCAATTATGTGGATGGTGTGCTGGCGTTTGCTTCCGGGCCTTCCCACCAGGAAGTTTTCTGGCTTTACATCTCTGTAGATCAAGCTTTTGGTGTGAACGTACTCCATCCGTGTAATCTGGGCCGGAAGAGAAGGCAAGGAGGGAAACTCTGATCAGACTATGGTTAAAAACCCAACCAAAACATCCCACATCCTAAGTTCTTTTCCCTAGAACTTTTAACAGCAAAATATATGTTCATTCAATCAGGTAAGCTAACCCTCAACGATTAGTACTCTGTAACTTTTTGAAATTAACCTTTCTCCAAATTCAATAAGGAAACAAAGGCGCTCTGCAGGTTAAAGAGAAAATTCGCTTCCACTGTGTTTTTGTGCTGATTGGCAGGAAAGAAGCTTTACGTACGGCACACAAATCAAGAAGGGTAATGAAGAAGAACTGAGCAGCTTGCTGCCTTGACAGCTGCTCCTTAATTGAGAGAATTCCAGGTTACAGGAATGCTTTAACTGAGCAGGAGGTTTTGGACTGGACCTAAGTCTTGAGGGTTGCGTGAAGATAGTAGCAAAGAATGCACGTCTCTACAGAATGGATGCTCACCAGTTGGATGGCAATCATAAGAACGGTCTTGAGAGTGAATGTCCGGTCACACAAGTCAAAGAGGTCTTCTAGGCTTGGGCCCAGCAGCTCCAAGACCATGGCGTTGTACTTTCCACATGGCCCAAAGTAGTAGACCTGAGGGATTCCTTCTGGAAAGGGTGGAAAAGAAAGTGATGTGATTGCAGAGAGGTAGTTGGATGACGTGAATATGGCTCTACAGTTTACTTCTAGATCAGGGGTGTCCAATCTTGGCAACTTCAAGTCTTCTGGACTTCAACTCCCAGAACTCTGGGAATTGAAGTCCACAAAAAGTTAAAGTTGCCAAGGTTGAGACTCACTGCGCTAGAAGAACATCTGATATTTAACGGAATAACAGAGTTGGAAGGGACCTTGGAGGTCTTCTAGTCCAACCCCCTGCATAAGCAGGAGATCCTATACTATTTCAGACAAATAGTTGTTCAATTGCAATATTCTAACATAAGCGTTCTGCAGGTCAACACAGATCCTATTTAAAGTCCTTATAATCCTTGAGGAGAGAATATAAAAAACTCTTCTCTAAACATGCATCAGCTTTTCCTTTGAACTGCATTTTTAACAGACAAAATTTTAAAATATTATTTACATATAAACACGAGTTCACAGAAGTTTTAAAAATGTAACATGCATCAACTTCTTTAAACACCTGCAGTAGGGTCAATACACACAAAAAAATTCATGGTTACTGAGGTGAGAGTTTTATTAAACTATCAAAGTTTAAAGGGGAAAAAAAGAGCTTCAGAAGTTAGAATGACTACGATAATGGAGACAGGAGAGAGGTTAGTAATTAGGTAATCAACCAGGCTTATTACGCAAGCATGTTCCAAGAATTAAACTTCTTACAAACACTTTTAAAACAAAGCAACAATTCCTCTGCACTCACCAGGACAAGGAAACTGAAATAAACTTAAAAAAAAAAAACCTTTAAAAAAACTTTTTCAGAAAACTGAAATAACTTTTTTTAAAAAAAACTTTTTCTGGATAGTTCTACAAATCGGTTGCTTTTACTTACCTGCATTGCCAAGCTGTTTATAGAATCGATATTCCAAATGCAGCTGAGGAGCTCTGGATTTGATAGGTTCCTAGAAAAAAGAAAAGTTACAAATCCTGTAGACATACATTTGTTAATGAAATAAGAGATAATTGCAAACAAACAACAAATGTGAGGCAGTGATTGTGAATGGAGGGGAACTAAGGCTGCAGGCCTACCTGACTGAATGGGACTTGCCTCTAAGTCAGGGGCCTTCAAACTTGGCCCTTTTATGATGTGGACTTCAACTCCCAGAAATCCTCAGCCAGCCAGGGCTGACTGAGGAATTCTGCGAGTTGAAGTCCACAACTTGGCACTGGAGAGGAAGTCCACGATGTTGGCACTGGAGAGGATCAAGGACATCAAGCCAACTCAGCATAGGAGTTATTTAAAGCCCACCCACCGTTTTTAGTCTGAACCTTCAATGGTGTAGTAACCACAACTCCCAGAATTCTTTCTAAAAAACCAAAATGGCAATGCCAGTTAGGCATTTGGGGATACGGAATCCCAACACTTCTGGAAAGAATGCAATCAGGAAGACTATATGAAAGAAGAGGGGACAAATTGTTAGGAATGGCTATGACAGCAAAACCGAAGAACTAGCCAGATTCTAACTCTTTCCAGTAAATTATGGGGAGATACACCAATATACTACCAATTTTAGAAGCACAGTCACACTAGTAAGCCTCAGCAAGAATAAGCTGGAGCCTTGTGGTACTTGAAAGGCGAATTGTTATGAGCCAAACTTTTGTGGGATTTTCATCAAACCAAATGGAGCACAAGGCCCCCAAATTTTCATTGCTGCTCTCAGCTTTTGAAGTGTCGCTGAATTATTTCATTTCTTTTTCAAAGGATTAATTTGCAGAGGTCAATCAATATTTCACACTAACTTAAATCAAAGTGACCATTATTGTATACCATGTCTCTCTTTCTGGGGAGAGAAACTGTCCTTTCTTTAACAGATTTGCTGGAGGCTGGCTGCTAATTCAGATGATGCTAAGCATGAAAGAGATCAACACCGTGACTCTTTGATAGATTTAGATCCACAGCCCAGGAGCAGGCCACATGCCTGGCCTATAAAAGGACCTAGACCAGGTTGTTCAACTTTGGCAACTTTTAAGACTTGTGGACTTCAACTCCCAGAATTCCCATGCTGGCTGGGGAATTCTGGGAGTTGGAAGTCTATGCATCTTAAGATTGCCAAGGTTGGGAAACACTGATCTAGTTTATTAGGAATTAATAGGAAGGGGGGAAAAAGGACCAGCTTTAAAACCTGACAACAATATACACTAGAAATAAGCTTACCAACTTGATTGCTACATATTCATTTGTGTAGAGGTTCTTCCCTATAAAATAAGAAAGAGAATTAAGACAAGGAAGGAAAGAAAAACAAACATTTCCCATTTAGCATCCCACACTAGGAGATCACACGACTGAGTTTTATACAGAAAATATATTAATTTCTGATTTCTAATTTAGCAGCATACTGGTGAACTGAAAAAGACTGCATAAGTCATGAACGCAAAACCTGCTCACTGAAGGACGATTCACTGATCACGAGACAAAATTTAAACAGACAACTCCTGCAAGACAGCCAGAATGCAGTCAATGTCCTCCTTTGATTGCAAAGTAAAAACTCTCACAAAAGATGAAAAACAACATTTTTTTTTCCTCCCAGGCAGCAATACAGAAGCGTTTGCCACTGTCTTTTTCAGATGTCCAGTCCAGCCTACAGCCAGACCCTGGGATTTCCCTGCAGTGTCCCCTTCAGGCTAGTCTGACCTTGCTTAGCTTCCAAGATCAATAAAGACCCCACAAGGCGCTTCCCCCAGTTGCAAAACTCAGTGAAAAGAATCCAGCAGCGATAAGAAGGGAGGTTTCTCTTTTTATAGATTCCAGAGACAGGAAATATCAACCAAACAAAATCACACATGGCTTTCAGAACTGACTATGATTCAGTTTATCAGTCATTTAAATGTTGTCTTCCTTTTTTCACCCCAAAAACGAGGATAATATATTTCCCTCATTCGTGGTTAAAAGGTAACGAATTTCACAGAAATGTCAACGGAGGCTCAGGACTTGCTTCATAAAGAGAAAGAAGGACTGTAGGCCAGAAGGCCAGTGTAATATGTGGCCTGCTGGCATTTGTAAAAAACTTCAGTTAAATTCAGTATTGTCACACTTTGCTGATGCCAGGAAGAATCGGCTGCCATTATCCTGGCAGACCCTCTCCTGGGTGCCTCCAAGTCTCACCAATGACACCAGGTCCATCACTCCTGCCAGCCATCGGACAACTAACTGGTACACCAGCTATTTCTTTGTGGCCTGCAACTATTTTTAATTTTATCAGTGTAATCCTTTCTCGAAGCTGTGCAGGCCTGCTGTATACAGAAGCAGACCATTTATGAATACAGGTAGCCTAGTTGAAATCCATGTGCACCAAGGCATTGTCCAGCCTATCTGCACTCATTTAGAGAAACAGTGCTCACTACTACCATGATAGGGATTCTGCCCATCATAACAATTTTATTTTCTACTGGAGTCTTATCACTCTCTATAACTGAGGCTCTTTATTCTGTATCTTATACTCAGTGAGACATAGGTAGTCCTTGACTTACGACCACAACCAAGTCCAAACTTTCTCTTAAAAATCAAAAATTCCAACTTTCCATGGTCACTTCCCCTAAAAATTGCTGCCAGTTCCACTTTGTCTCCTATGTCTTCCATTTTAGTAAGTATGAAATTGTTGGTTAATATCTAATTCCACTGAGATTAAATTAGAATCCTCATGACTGGATTTTCAAAAACAATTAAAAGCAGAGGCCGGGCCTCTTGGGGAATGTATGGTCACCATGACACTTCAGGTTTAGTGGTGGCTTGCGTTTTTAATCAGCTTTTATGTGTTTACTCTGTTTTATGTTATAAAATGCCAGGATGGATGGGTGGGTGGGTGGGTGGGTAGGTAGGTGGGTAGGTAGGTAGGTAGGTAGGTAGGTAGGTAGGTAGGTAGGTAGATAGATAGATAGATAGATAGATAGATAGATAAATAGATAGATAGATATGGATGGATGGATGGATGGATGGATGGATGGATGGATATAGATATATATACAGGTAGTCTTCAACTTGTGACCACAGTTGAAGCCAAAATTCATGTTGTTAGGTGAGTTTTGCTCCTTTTCATGACCTTTCTTGCCACAGTTGTTAAGTGAATCACTGCACTTGTTAAGTTTGTAACACGGTTAAGTGAATGTGGCTTCCCCATTGACTTTGCTTGTCAGAAGGTTGCAAAAGGTGATCACACAACTCCAGGACATTGCAACCATCACAAATATAAGTCAGTTGCCAAGCATCTGAATTTTGATGACGTGACCATGGAGATTCGTGAATGGGAAAATGGTCATAAATCACTTTTTTCAGTGCTGTTGCAACTTTGAACAGTCACTAAACAAACTGTTGTAAATTGAAGAATGTATGTATGTATGTATGTATGTGTATTAATCTGGGAATTATAGAAGGGGAGGTGGTGCTGATATGCTCACAATATAACATGGCAAACATATTGAATGAGAAAGCTGTCGGCAAAACATTAGGGATTTTTTGAAAAATTCACAAAAGGCAGAACATATTTTGACTCTGTTGGCCTTCTAGGATTCCTCAAAACTGCTAATGGAGCCTGGCTGTGTGGTTTGCCCTGCACTGTTAAGGAGCTGATTATTTTAACTGGTGTCTTATATTGCTCCTTTCACTGGTTTGAATGCTTTTCTTCTTGTTGCATGGTTAGCCAGCTGCAGTTATTGGATTAAGGATGGGCTGTCATATACAATTTGCAAAATAAACAAATAAATGAGCCTCCCAGGTATGGTTAGATAATTAATGCCCTCATCACTACTACTGCAATCGGTTGTGGGAAAATCATCCACCTGTTCAGCCTGAATGGTTGATTGGTGGCAGTCACCAATCACAGCAGGTAGCAGAATCTAAACAACCTTGGCTGATTTTAGGGAAGCTAAGCAGGACTGGACCTTGTTGGTGTTATTAGACAGAGAGCGCTTGAAAACCCCAGAGCTGTAGATGGGGAAGGCAAAAAGCAACCTGGAAGAAAACAATGGGAAGCCATTTCCAAATTGTTTCCAGTAAAACTTCAGAGATATGGATAGGTAGCCACTAGGAGTCAAGCCAAACTCAAGGGAGTTTATCATTTTTAGTAGGTTTAGATAGTCCTCGACTTAACGACCACTACAGGGACCAGAATTTCTGTTGCTAAGCAAGGTGGTGGTTAAGTGAGTTGCGCCCAATTTTACAACCTTATTTTGCCACGGTCGTTAAGCAAATCATTGCAGTTAAGTGAATCTGGGTTCCTCCATTGACTTTGTTTGTCAGAAACCATCTGGGAAGGTCACAAATGGCGACTTCAGGACTCCTGGATACTGAACCATCCTAAAAACATGGCAATTGCCAAGTGCCAAATTTTGATCCCATGACTGTGGGGATGCTGAGATGGTTCTAAGTAGAAGGGCCAGTCGTCACTTTTTTTTAAGTGTAAGTTCGAACAGTCACTAAATGAATGAGTGTAGATTACCTATGCCAGGGGTAAGCAACCTTGGCTCTTTTATGACTCGTGGACTTCAACTCCCAGAATTCCTGAGGCAGCCATGCTGAGGGGAAAGGGAGAGGTTTCCAAGCTGAGCCATGCTGGCTCAGGAACTCTGGGAGTTGAAGTCCACGAGTCATAAAAGAGCCCAGATTGCCTATCCCTGACCTATGCCAAGAATATCTTATTTGGTTGTTCGAGATGGATGGCAATAATAAATAAATAAATCTTGGTTTTTTTCTTTCTTTCACATTTTAACCAATTGGGTCACAAGAGAATGAAGGACAGGTAGTCCTTGACTTACAACTGTTCATTTAGTGACTGTTTGAAGTTATGACACTAAAAAAGTGACTTATGACCATTTTTCACATTTACGACTGTTGCAGCATCCCGATGGACACCTGATCAAAATTCAGATGCTTGGAAACTGACTCTTATTTATGACGGTTGCAGTGTCCCAGCATCATGTGATTGCTTTTTGCAACCTTCTGACAAGCAAAGTCAATGGGGAAGCCTGATTCACTTAACAACTGTGTTACTAACTGAACAACTGCAGCGATTTACTTAAAATGATGGCAAGAAAGGTCGCAAAATGGGGCAAAACTCAACTGTCTCACTTAGCAACATGAATTTTAGTCTCAATTATTGTCATAAGCTGAAGACCATCTGTTACATTTCCCAGAACCTGCAGATGAAGACAATTCCATTTCTTGTTTCTCTTCCTCTTAAGTAGTTGCCTCTTTCAACTTTCTTTCATCCAATTATGAGATTATCCCATCAGGTCTCTGCAATAGCCATTAAAATCATATTTGTCTTCCTGTCATGTCATAAGAGTTCAAGGTCATTTTGTTTCTTTCCCATATTCTATCAGGTAATTGGCTTCTTCTTTGATTTATTCTTTGATTTATTACAGCAGGGCACAGATTTCTGTCTGAAGTTCTTAATCCTGGGTTATCATTCCCAATTCCCTCTTTAAAGCATCCAATTGTGATGCAATTCAGAAAACTCCTAATTCCTAAGTCTTTCTCTGTGCAATCCATCATGGTCTAAGTAGACCATCATGCTGGTAACACACAACATGTTCCCAGGAACTAAATCCCTCCTGTCAACACCATGTCCATGTCCAGCTACTTTTCTGTGATATTTATCTTTTATTTCCCTTTCAAATCTTCTTCTATAAACTGAAAGAATGGATATAAACTAAGAAGAACCTTTTAAAAAATATATTAGAATGATAGATTCATTTCAAAACACTCAGCTAAAAAGGAGGCATTCAAGGATTTCTTTTTTAAGAGCAATGGGTGGAGAGTTTAATGCCCTTCAGGATCTAATTCCTTTGTTGGCCACAGCAATATTACCCAATGTTCTCTTTAAATACTACATTTATAGAGCCCTATTTAACACTTAAATATTTGCTTTCACTTGGGTGCTGACTGCAAACATGCAAACCTAAGCACGTCCAGAGTAAAACCAATACCACCCTAGCAGGCTTTGCTTAAAAAAAAAAAAAAATTCCGTATGAAACTACTTTTGTTAGTTTGACTGAAGTCACACACAAAAAGAGTGAAACTTTCAAAATGCCAAGAAATGTTGATCAAACAAACAGATTAGAAGACATGGGGGAGGGAGGAGGAGGAAGTGGAAATATATACTTTCTTAATTAGAACTTCCAGACATGCAAGTAGGGCACCATCAATCATGCAGTTACCAAAACCTTTGGACATTTTTAACACTTCAGAGGCCTAAAGCAGC